TGGTGTGGTGAACAGTAACAGTTTACACAGAGCCCTGTACAGTGTGTTGTTGAACAAATATCAATCATAAAGCAAACCGTTTTAAGATTCATAACTTTTCCTATCATTTGATGATGCTAAGAAATTAATTCATGCTTTTATTTTCTCTCGGCTTGTTTATTGCAATGCTATTTATACTGGTTTACCTAAGAGATCTATAAGGAAGTTGCAACTAAATGCAGCAGCCAGAGTTTTGATGAAATTGAAGAAATGAGAACATATCACACCAGCATTAATAGATACTGGTATTTATAGATAATACACTGGTTACCATTGCACCAAATAATAATAATAATTCCTTACATTTATATAGCGCTTTTCTGGGCAGTCAAAGCGCTTTACACAATGGGGGGATCTCCTCATCCACCACAAGTGAGCAGCATCCACCTGGATGACGCGACGGCAGCCATTTTGCGCCAGACCGCACACCACACACCAGCTGATTGGTGGAGAGGAGACAGTGATAAAGCCAATTGAATATGGGGATGGTTAGGAGGCCGTGATGGACAGAGGCCAGTGGGCAGATTTGGCCAGGATGTCGGGGTGAAACCCCTACTCTTTTCGAAGGACATCCTGGGATTTTTAACGACCACAGAGAGTCGGGACCTCGGTTTAACGTTTTATCCAAAAGACGGCGCTCACTGAGCAATATAGCCTCCCCTTAAAGGCTCAGGACACCCCGGAGAACTTTTTTTTTATATTAACAGATTTGTGTGTGTTGAGCATCAGTTAAGACAATGTTAGCACCCATCAGCTTTAATTGTGGGGAAAACTGGATAATTTTGAGCTTTTGTCAGCTAATTTCAGCTTCCGGGTTTAAAATGATTTTTGGGGAGGGATCAAAATCGGCGACGTAGCGCAGTACTGCAAGTGCAATGATGATGCGTCGGTTTCTCATTATTATTCATAGCGGAGTTTCCTTATCCTATGAGAAGAGCCGGCTGCTTAATTATTCATGAGACCTGCCAGACCTGACAGTGTCAAGCCCGAGCTGAGAGACACGGAAACCACGGCACAGTCATGAAGGCTCGTATGTGTTTGTTTCCATGATCCACGGGGTTTGTTGCATGTTTTCCCCCGCGATCTTGTCAGGGCCGATCTTACAGCAAAGCTGTGTGTGTGCTGCTAGCATTTTTGTCGGGAGAGCAGCACGAGATATAGAGAATGGCGGACGCTGTGTTTTATCAGGAGTTCGTTAACATTCAGACACATCGCCGAGCTGCTGTGTTTGCCTAAATCCTCCAGATTACCAGCAGGGCTAATGGTTAAAATAGACAGGTCAGGAGACCTGCTGCACTGAGTCTGCTGGATACGGGGATTGAGGGAGAAGTCCTCATTTATAGTGTTTACATGAACACACATCTTTGTAATGATATAAATTGTGGTTGTCTGTATATGAAATTACGAATAACAAATGTAGCAGGGCATTAAATCACTGTTCATTTCTTTGCATTTTAACTTTGTAAACTATAAACTCATGCGTCTCCTCATGGTTTGTCTCATTTTGTGAACTAACTGACATTAACAGTTGTTCGCTCCCCTTCTCCCCTGCTGGCCACGCCCACTCCTGCCCGATGCTCGCGGAGCTCCACGCACATTAATCATGCATCTTTTGAAAAAATTCTGAAGTAGACTTTAACCGAAAGTGGGGGGTGTCATGGCCCTTTAACTATACTGGGGCATTAGGACCCACACAGACCGCAGGTTGAGCGCCCCCTGCTGGCCTCACTAACACCACTTCCGGCAGCAACCTAGCTTTCCCATGTGGTCTCCCATCCAGGTACTGACCGGGCGCAGCCCTGCTTAGCTTCCGTGGGTGACCATGTGAGAGTTGCAGAGAGCTAGCTGCCGGCAAATGATAGATTTTAAGATTCTTTTATTAGTTTATAAGGCACTACACAACATGACACCTTCTTACATTTCTGACTGCTCATCAAAATATAATCCAAACCGTTTGCTACGCTCTTCTAGCGCTCGACTTTTAAAAATTTCACTCTGTAGACCTGATGCGATCTGGCGGCACTGTTTTTAGTCACTATGCTCCAAAAATTTGGAATTGTCTCCCAAATGAAGTGAAAGAATCCCCCAGCATTCATGTTTTTAAAAAGCGTGTTAAGACGCATCTTTTTAAAGTTGCGTATGAATACAACAGTTTGTGAAGTGTGTGCAATTTATGTATATTGTGTAGGTGTATGTGAGGACTATAGTGTGTGTGATTATGTGGTTATATGCATATATGCACATGTACATACAGTTGAAGTCAGAATTATTAGCCCCCTTTTAATTTTTTTTCTTTTTTTAAATATTTCCCAAATGATGTTTAACAGAGCAATGACATTTTTACAGTATGTCTGATAATATTTTTTCTTCTGGAGAAAGTCTTATCTGTTTTATTTCGGCTAGAATAAAAGTAGTTATTAATTAAAAAAAAAACATTTTTGGGACAAAATTATTAGCCCCTTTAAGCAATTCTTTTTTGTCGATAGTCTACAGAACAAACCATCATCATACAATAACTTGCCTAATTACCCTAACCTGCCTAGTTCACCTTATTAACCTAGTTGAGCCTTTGAATGTCACTTTAAGCTGTATAGAAGTGTCTTGAAAAATATCAAGTAAAATATTATTTACTGTCATCATGGCAAAGATAAAATAAATCTGTTATTAGAAATAAGTTTTTAAAACTATTCTGCTTAGAAATGTGCTGAAACAATCTGCCATCCATTAAACAGAAATTGGGGAAAAAAACAGGGGCGCTAATAATACAAGGGGGCTAATAATTCTGACTTCAACTGTATATGCTTTTATCCGAGTATATATTTGTTGTTTATTATGCTGTATTTGTCTGTACATTTTTCATGTGGTTGATTTTAAAGGGTCACGAAACACCAAAACACATTTTTTGAGCTGTTGACAGTCGTATATGTGTCCCACACTGCTAAAACACTATTAGGACACATATATTTCACTAAAAAGTGAAAATTGATTGTTTTTGCTTTATTTTAAGCAAATTCGTATTTCCGGTTTGAAACGAATTTTTGAAGCTGCGTCACGGCCAAGAAATCTTAGCGTGTATTCCAGCGTGTAGACTGGATGTCTGTACCAGGGTGTCCCGTATTACGTCTCTGAGTGTGTTGCATTCATTCATGAGTAAGGCTTGGTTCAAACCAACCAGCGCGCGCCATTATGTATGCGCTGCAACTTCATAAATATGCTTCATTAATATATTCAGACGGCAGAAAGACAAGAGAGAGAGACAGGTCCTGTTGCCAAAAGTTGTGGGAAAAGAATTGTTTGGAGATACGGGTCACCAGTGTTGCTTTCATAGTGTGAAGGTTTTGTTTCATTTTCTTTCTATGAGAGCGCTGCTGGACTCACGTGTGGATTCGTGTACGTGCGGCAGAAATGCGTTTGTTTGGAACATTTTTTACTCAAGAGCATTTCTCATCAATGGTGAGATCTGGATTTGCTGCTTGTCTTCTTTAAAAAAAAGACGCAGCTCCAGTATGTGTTGATTATCCTGTCTACAGATTTGGTAAGTGTGTGCGATCAGCGCCCTTTCTTTGTTCATTCAGATGGCAAAGTTATAGTTCGTATGGTCAGCTGTGCTCTTTCAGTGTTTAAAGACAGACCCTAGTCAAAATGATTTTCAAGTTACTTAGTTTACAGTTCGTTAATATCACTACAATATTGAAAGATCCGCTGTAAATGCTGCTTTGTGTATAGACACGTGAGCACTGTAAGCAAACTTTTGCTGACCGTCTTGTTGAATTTTCGCTACATTTTGTGACAGGATAGTCTACACGCACGGCTTTCTTACTTACTGAATGCATCTGAGTTGCAGAGAAATGCAGAGGCTTTTTTCTCCAATACGACGTGCGGTATCAAACATTTCACCGTGATTAAACACACTGTCTTTCTCCCCTGCGTGCGTGTTTGTTTTTCCTCGTTCAGAAGCGCGTGCACAAATGGCAACTCCCATTTTAATTCAAACCCTGCCCATTTTCCCTCCCCCGAAACTCCCACCCAAACAGAGCTAGACACACCCACTTTCCTGACTTTTTCCAAACTAGAGGTGTGAAAACATCCTGCTGAAACGGGGGGTTTCATGGCCCTTTAATGCTTGTTTGGTGTTTGTGAAGCACTTTGATTTGCGTGTATGTAGAAAAAGTGCTATACAAATAAAATGTATTATTATTATTATTCAGTACAGACACTAAATAATCAACTTTAAGAAGATAAACTATAAGATTATATTAATATCATACGACAAACACTTTCACTGCTGGATAAGCAGTAACTGTTGAATAATACAAGTGCTGTGCCTGTTCGACCAATCAATGTTATTAATCTCATGAATATTTAAATAAGAATGTTATAGTTTAACAAATGTACATTGTGACAACCTGAATGAGCAATATACAGGCTAATCACTAATCTACAGTTATGAAACGTTCATAAAGGTCATAAAAATAAATGTCATATTGGGTTGTTTTTATTTGTAACTATGGTGACCTCTAGAGGACAAAACAATTTAAGTCCTCCCACATGAAAAAATACTAAGGTAAATAGGCTTCTGTTTTGAATCATACTATAGTAAAATATAATATACTGTATATATTATAGATTTTATAACACTTTGTTAATGAATGCTACAGCACAAGGTTACGAACTCAATGGATAACTGTAATAAATACTGTAGTATACTGTAGTTTTTTAGTTTTAAACTCTGGACTAACCCAAACAATGGGTTAAATGTAGTCCTATTACTTTGATAATAATAATAATAATAATAATAATAATAATAATAATAATAACTATCAGTTGGGTTAGACAACATTACACCCAGATTTGGGTTGAGTTAACCCAACATTTTTACAGTATTCTTCAGAGTTTTTACAAAGATTTTCTCTCACCTAGATCGTGTTATTACCGTCCTCTGTTTTCTGTTTGTGTTATAGGAGAGTGAAAGCTTGGAGAAGGAAAACGCAGCGCTCAGGAAAGAGGTGAAGAGACTCACAGAAGAGGCCAAATATCTGTCTACCGTCCTGAGCAACCATGAGCCGCTGTGCACGGGCCTGAGCGGCGCGTCCCCGGAGCTGCTGTATGGCGCGCACCACGGAGCGTTCCACCAGCACATCAGCGTGCCGCACTACCCACTCTGACCGCCAGAGGCCGCCGGAGTCCCGCACAGAACCCGCCCGGTCCCGTCAATGAACTTTGGTTGAGTTAAAAACCACGTACATAGTCATCATCATCAGCAGGCATCTAAGTGATCTTAACAACCATTGAGTATCAAAGGAATAGAACAAAATCCTCCAGATGTATCGATTTTGTGACAATGATATTTTAGTTAGTTAAAAAAAGTATTGAACAAGTTATGTTTCGTTTCTGCTAAATACATTTCTAAAGGAGCTGTTGACATGAAATTGCACCAGAGTTTTGGAAAAACCCCAAACAATACAAACATAAAACAAAACTTAATAATTAGTTAAGTGCAATTACAATGGAATGACAGAAGGAGAACTCCTGAACAAATGTAATGAACTTAACACTTTATATAAAATGAAAGCTTCAAGACTCCTCTTGTATGGAGAATGGAGCTGCATATATTGTTCAGGTGTGATTTTGCTCACAGACTTTAACAGTCTTCAAATCTTGATGTTTCTGTGGGTCTTGTCTATCAACTCTGATCTTTACTTCTCAATTGGATTCAGATCAGGAGACTGGTTGTGCCATTCTAGCAGCTTTAACTTCTTTTCTAAAAAGCAGTTGAGAGTTTTATTGGCTTTATTTGGGATTATTGTCTTATTATAAAGTCCGCCCTGATTTCATATTCATCATCTGGTAATATAGGTATTTGGATTAAAGCAGCTAATATTCAATTACACTGACGAGGAGCTGAAAATCTCTATATTAGCATTTGTCCGTGTTTTGTGATTCATGTTTTTATTTTCTTCTCGTTTATTTATGCTTTTGAATTGCATTATGGGGCCTTGGTCTTTCTTTCAACAACTTTTAACCTTAACAAGAATGAAAAAATGACTTTTATTAACATTTTTAATAGTTTAAAGTGATATATTGTCTTGGTGTTGTAAATTATGCTACAAAAACCCTTTCACTTTATTGCCTGTATATTTTCTGTTATTTAATTTCTCGATACATTATTTCTTATACATTATATTATCTCAAATTATAAACTATTAAAATGTCAATAAAATCACTTTGTTAAAGTGTGGAGTTGAATTTTAACATCTAAAGTGGCAGAGATCAAGGTCCCATAATGCAATTCACAACCATAAATAAAGCAAAAACACCTGTGAATCACAAAATACGAACATTGTTAATTAACATATATATTTTTAACAGTGTACTGAAAGATTTTAGCTGCAGTCTGGGCTTTCCTTGTCATTTCATTTTATTACACATAACTTCTAAAATGAATTAGTTTTGTTGTCTTTGCATGTGTACAGAGATATTTCAGCTGCTGTCTGGGCTTTCCCTGCCTCGTTACACCACCTCACTTTCTTCATGTGTTCAAAATGTTTCCCTCATTTTATTTTATTACTCATAACTTAATTTTTAAACTAGTTAGTTTTGTTGCCTTCGCATGCATGGATTACTTTGGTATTACTGACATCTGGTGAAAATTTCAAGTCATCAGCACCTTAAGACATATTTTTTGAGAAAAGTGTTGATATGATCAATACTTTTTTTAGCCACTGTTTATCATTTTTAGTTGTTTTTTTTTGTCTTAAGTTAGTTATATATTCCCAACTCCTTGAACAAAATCTCATGTCTGTATAATGCAAGCATATGTAGTGTTAAATGTTGGCTACTCGCAAAGGTGCATGGCAATGACACAATGAATGTTTTCAGTTTAGATTTCATTACAAGCCAGTCTACTGATTCATATGATCGTCGAGTTTATTCTATTTCTGTGAAATGTTTTATGAGATGACTGGACTTAATTCTTAAGAAAATGATGTCGATTGTGTATCCTCCTCACATGTTTATGTGTGAATGTTTTTCTATTATGACTCATTTAAAATGTTGAATTGGTCAAACGTTCTGAATGTACTTTATACATGCAATTTTAGCGGATTGTTTTTATTCTGAACGCGTTGAGATGTTCGAAAGTTGTACTAAAACTGCTGCATTTTATCTCGGTTGTTTAGGAGGGAAAAATTTGTATCCGTGATCTTCTGTGATCACCCGTGAAGTAAATAAAACAATAAATATAAAAGATATTGACACAAATCATGTATTTGAACACAGTGTCCTCTTTACTTAAACAGTGCTATTCAAGGGTTTCAGTGGGTTTTAAAACCCTTTATTTTTTTCCACAAATTAAAATAATCATAGCAAAATGTCTTAAGTTCGTAAAGTAATGACTATAAAAAATAATATCTTCATGTGCAGGGGCGGATTTGGGGGCCCTAAGTAATTTATGCCATAAACAGTCCTAATATGCACCATTAGTATTTACACTCACTGGCCACTATTTGTTATACCTTACTAGAACCGGATTGGACCCTGTTTGCCTTCAGAACTGCCTTAATCCTTCGTTGCATAGATTCAACAAGGTACTGGAAATATTCCTCAGAGTAGGCTGTGGCGTTGACACGATGCTCAAGTTGTACTAATGGGCCCAAAGTGTGCCAAGAAAATATCCACCACACCATTATACCACCACCACCAGCCTGAACCGTTGATACAAAGAAGCATGGGTCCATGCTTTCATGTTTCGGACACCAAACTCTGACCCTACTATCTGAATGTTGTAGCAGAAATCGAGACTCATCAGACCAGGCAACGTTTTCCCAATCTTCTATTGTCCAATTTTGGTGAGCCTGAGTGAATTGTAGCCCCACCTTCCTGTTCTTAGCTGACAGAAGTGGCACCCGGTGGTCTTCTGCTGCTGTAGCCTATCCGCTTCAAGGTTGGACGGACACGAGATGCTCTTCTGCAGACCTTGGTTTTAATTTGACTTACTGTTGCCTTTCTATCAGCTGGAATCAGTCTGGCCATTCTCCTCTGACCTCTGGCATCAATAAGGCATTTGCACCCCCAGAACTGCCGCACACTGAATATTTTCTCTTTTTCGCACTATTCTCTGTAAACCCTAGAGATAGTTATGCATGAAAATCCCAGTATATGGGCAGTTTCTGAAATAGTCCAGCCCGTCTGGCACTAACATCCATGCCACGTTCAAAGTCACTTAAATCCCCTTTCTTTCCCATTCTGATGCTCGGTTTGAACTGCAGCAGATCGTCTTGACCATGTCTACATGCCTAAATGCATTGAGTTGCTGCCATGAAACTTGTAAAGTAGTGTAGAGAGGATATATTAATGCCTTTGAATCTTCACGTAAAAAGGAAAGACGCAAAAGACTAATTGAAAGTGAAAATATTCTTCCTTCCATGTTCATATTATTTTCCTTTTTTTATATAAACTTTCACTTGTGTTTTGTTTTGTTTTTTCCTCCACATTCTAAAATATACAAATTGCATTTTCAATTCACATGTTCATAATGATGTTTTTTTTTCCCCCAGATTTTTCTTAAAACAGATTTCTTTTTCAGATAACAGTTACTTTTAAGCACTTTCTTTGATCAAACAATATTTGCTAATAGCGTTTCCTCTAAATCAAAAACTCTGCTGCCCTCTATGAGTGACCATGAGAATAGCAATCCTAGAAAAAGGTTCTTTATAGTGGAAAATATGATTTTCTTCAGAATATTAAAAAGTTTTTGCAGGAATAAAAACATGTCTAAAAAGATATTTGATAATTAAAAATGTTTTTTTCTGTCCTCAACAACTGTTTTGCTACATTTTCTAAGAACTCTGGTTTTTCTGCAGAGACATTTTGCCGTTTTAATTGGAGGAAACTGTAAAAGTTGTTTGCAGGCAAGCAAAACCAATCTATTTGCATACATGTTACCTCAAAGAACTATGTGGGATCCTACAATAAATGGTAAGTAGAAGGACGAGACCACCAGCATGGCACAAATGACTAATATTTCAAAGAACACCTGTATGGATTTTTTTTATGATGTAACATAATAAAGGTGACACTTCCCTTACAATGGATATGTGTTGTTAATCTACTGACACTCAGGCCATTCAAAATGCACATGGGATCTTTAGTAGAACATTAAATGATCTGTCTATGCAAGAATCATTTATTATATTTACAACATTGTTAGCTTTAATCTATTCTACATCCTCTGTTAAGTTTCTTGAATGTTTTGCTTCATAAGACTTCAGAGCATCATCAACAGTCATAGGTTGTTTTTTGTTTTGCTAATGTTTTTCTGACTCTTAAATGCCACCACAGTTTCAGAGGAAAACCCTCATTTAAAAATTTCGCCACTAGAGGGCACACATGCACAACAAACAAAGGCGTAGTTTGATGACACTGTGAGGAATCATGGGGGTTGTGGTCTTTATTACATCCTATGCATCCTCCTGCTGAAAGCTAATTAGTTAGAATTGCTAATTTCTCTGAATATTAACATTTAGGATAACGTGAGTACACAATTCAGCAAAATATACAGCACTGTACTAGTGATTTTTGGATATTTTAATGAAAAGAAAATCTTACATACTGTGCCTTTAATGTTCACATAAAGAAGGGAAAAGCCTCTTGAATGGCCTGAGGATGAGGAAATTGCTGTGAAATGTGCATTTTTTAATTCAATGCTAGACATAATCTCAAATGATGCACAGAGAGGGCGGGACATAGAGTAGCCCCTCCCCTTTAAAAAAAACAGCCAATAGCGTTTAGTTTTTATCACATCTCTGCCAGTGAGAGTGGTTGAGCTCAAGTGCATCAAATTAAAGGCATCTTGAAAGGGGCGGGGCATGTCAGACACTAGAGAGCATTTGATTGGTCAGAAGAATTGATTAAAACTGAAGTATGAGGTGACGTGAAAAAAACATTGATCCTTTTAGGCGGAAGTGAAAAAATACAAGCTTTGGATGTTTATATCAGGTTTATATTTACCAAACACAAATTTTGAAGCACACTAGCTAATACATATCCTTAAAACTAACTGAAGCTAACATCTAAAATGTTTTATTGTAATTTAATGAGTCCTTTCACAGAACATTTTCATTTTTGGGTGAACCATCCCTTAAATCAGGGGTCACCAATCCTGGTCCTGGAGGGCCGGTGTCCCTGCAGGGTTTAGTTCCAACTTGCCTCAACACACCTGCCTGGATGTTTTAAGTATGTCAAGTAAGAGCTTGATTAGCTTGTTCAGATGTGTTTGATTAGGGTTGGAGGTAAAATCTGCAGGGCACCGGCCCTCCAGGAACAAGTTTGGTGACCCCTGCCTTAAATTATCATCATCACAAACTCAAATCATCCCTTAAAAGAAGGGTTTTTGAATATTGATTGTAAAAGAAAACAACATGAGCGGTAACATAAACAGTATCCTCAAATATGTGGCTCATTACAGCTTATTATAGATTGGAAAACGTAATGAGACAACACATTTCTGTAGCTCCCTCGAGTTTTATACTCACAAGAGAACGCAGTGTAGCAACCTGGAAAGAGCTGGGTTTGGTTACAGCAACACTGACTGAAAAAAAAGAGAGAGAGAAAGAAATGACGTTTGTTGTTTAGTTTGTAGACTGACTGTCTACATGAAGATTATTAGAGCACCTTCAATGACAGATAGACTAATTAAAACAGCACAAAGATGGAATATTTGCTCTTGATGGAGGGAGTAGTTGGTTGATTTCAGTCTGTTTTCATTTAACAGCTATTGTTTGGGCTCAGATGAACAGGCCACAGTAACAAGGGTGGACTAAAAACATCAAGTTTCCAACTGAATCAGGTAAGATGATTATTGTTTATACGCTTATAAATTTGACAAACTTTTACATTTATACTAGTATTTTTTAATGTTAGAAATATAATCAAAGTGATTTCAAATTGGCAGTCATGCACAATATTTATACTGTTTAAAAATATGTAAAAAGGAAGTAGGACACAACGTACTGTGTTAATATTAAGAAATTGTCAGCATTAATGTTTACTGGTGTTTCAGCTGTTATTAGAATTTTTCCATTGCATTGCGTTTTAGGTTTAACACATATATATTAGTAAAAATAAATGGATAAAACCCTACACAAACAAAAGTACTTTTATATTTTTTGTGTTTTTATTTAGTTTAGATTGTATTTTGTATTTATTTTAAAACTAGTCATATACACTGAAAAAAAATGATTCAAAGACGATTCCTTGTTTTTACTATTTACTATAACTGTTAAATAAAATTATTATAATTATTATATTATTATAATTAAATATTAAAGTTAAATGGTTTTTAAGCAATTTGTTTGGGCTCAGTTTAAACAAACAAATTAAGTTGAACATTACTAAATTAAATTTGTTTGTTTAAATTCAACTTCTAAATTATTTTCAGAAACATTTTCAGTGTATTGGCACTGTTCTACAGCAAAATATGTTCACAATTTTTCAGAAAGATCTGTCTTTTTAACAAAATTACCAGCATAGTCTCACATAACAATTTATTTATTTATTTATTTTCCAAATTTGCAATAGGGTGAGGGTGGTGTTATGCTTAAATTGGAGCAACACCAACCTTGTCTTTACCCTGCTAAAATGGCTGCCAGAGACAGTATACAGTAGTCAACATTTGAAATGAATCAAAAATGTTTGCTTTTTTATTTTAGGACAAATGTAAAATGGTTTTAGGACAACTATGATAAAAAGTTTTGATCCGCTTCAAAAGCTGACTATACTGTATACGTTACGCAGGTTTATTTGTAATGTAATGTTATTTTGTTTTTATAACATATAGTGGTAAGTTTATATTCTTATATCATATTTGATTTTTTAATGTAGGCTATGTTAATATGTGGGGCGCCACGGTGGCGAAGTGGGTAGCATGATTGCCTCACAGCAAGAAGGTCTCTGGTTCGAGCCTCGGCTGGGTCAGTTGGCATTTCTGTGTGGAGTTTGCATGTTCTGCGCATGTTGATTTCGGGATCAATATAATAACATTAAACTAAACAGCAGATATTTTTAGTGTGATTTGACCTTACCTGTGGTGACAAAAACTAAATATATAAACTAAATATTTTTTTCTTCATAAAGTCAATTACAAATTATAATAAATGTCTTATATAGGTGCTCGAGGGTTCATGGGAGTATGCCCAACCAGTCCACATGGACTTGGAGAAGACATTTGACCATGTCCCTCGTGGTATTCTGTGGAGGGTGATCGGGGAGTGTGGGGTCAGAGGCGATCTGTTGAGGGCCGTCTCGTCCCTGTATGAACAGAGTAGGAGTTTGGTTCGCATTGCCGGCAATAAGTCAGCAATGCGAACCAAATAATAAGATTTGTTTCCAGTGCACGTTGGACTCCAGCAGGGCTGCCCCTTGTCACCAATTCTATTCATAACTTTTATGGACAGAATTTCAAGGCGCAGCCTTGCGCTGGAGGGGACCGATTCGGTGACCACAGGATCTCATCTCTGTTTTCACAGACGATGTTGTTCTGTTGGCTTCATCGAACATGGACCTTCAGCATGCACTTGGGCGGTTTGCTACCGAGTGTGATGCAGCTGGCAAGAGAATCAGCACCTCCAAGTCAGAGGCCATAGTGCTCCACTGAAAAAAGGTGGTTTGCCATCTCCAGGTTGGAGGAAAGTCCTTACCCCAGATGGAGGAGTTTAAGTATCTTGGGGTTTTTGATCACGAGTGAGGGAAGGATGGAGTGTGAAATTAACATGCGGATTGGTGCAGCGGTAGCAGTAATGCGGTTGATGTACCGGTCCATTGTGTTAAAGAAGGAGCTGAGCCAAAAGGCAAAGCTCTCGATTTACCTGTCAATCTACGTTTCTACTCTCACCTATGGTCATGAGCTTTGGGTGATAACCGAAAGGACAAGATCTCGGATACAAGCGGTCGAAATGAATTTCCTTCGAAGGGTGGCAGGGCGCACTCTTATGGACAGGGTGAGGAGCTCTGACACCCGGGAGGAACTTGGAGTAGAGCTGTTGCTCCTCCACATCGAGAGAAGTCAGCTGAGGTGGCTCGGGCATCTGTTTCGGATGCCTCCTGGATGCCTACCTGGGAGGAGGCCTCGGGGAAGACCCAGGACACGCTGGAGGGACTATGTCTCTCGGCTGGCATGGGAATGCCTCGGGAGAGTAAAGTCTGGGATTCTCTCCTAAGTCTGCTGCCCCCACGACCCGACCCTGGATAAGCGGCAGAAAATGAATGAATGAATGAATAATACAGTAATTCCAAATATGACGTCAAATTTTAATTGTACAACATAAAGATCTAAAAATTCAGTCACATCAAATAATGCGAGCGGTGTTCTGTTGCTATGGTTACATGCTGGTATGCAACTTTTGATCGTGACCGATTTTTGTGTGCTTGCATAAAGTAAAAGAAGTAGTTGAAAAGTTAGGACTAAATTGATAAGTTATAAAACTGTTGTTTTTTTTATTTCATATTAATTTAGTTATTAATATTTATGTTTGTGACTCATTAAAGTGGTGGTCCAGAGTGTATTCTTAAGATTTTGTTGTGTTTATAAGATGCAAAGCAATGTCTGCTCATGCTTTATTTGTAGAAAATCAGGTTATTTGTTCATACATCTTATTTTGATCATATACAGCTCAGCTAACATGAAAACGACTGTCATATTTCCTAGTTCCTCTGAAAGCCCGCCCTCAAGAGGCTCTGATTGGTCAGCTAACATAATGTGCTGTGATTCGCGGATCGGCTCCAGGACACGTCTTTGTTATAACATTACAGCACATGTGGCCACGCCCCTTTGCTGCATGACGTGTATGCTCGTAACCTGAAGAGATTATGATCTCACTGACCCGGATGTATTTTTTTGTACTCCTCAAGTTTCATTTGCTGTGGGCTTTGCTAAGCTAACTCTGTAATAGCCAATGTCTTTTTTTTTAACATTGAACTTTGAGCGTCTTACATTCAGAGATGTTGTTTATGTTCACACAGCTACATTACACATCAACTAATGTTTAAAGTATGATATCGTAGTGGACCACCCCTTTAAATAATTAAATTATCAGTAGGTTATTCTGTGTTAGTGTTTGTGTTATTAATTATTCACCACCATGCCGTCCCAATCCCCTGAGAACTTTGTTCATCTTCAGAACACAAATGAAGATATTTTAGATTAAATCGAGAGCTCCCTCATCTTTCATAGACAGCAAGGGTCCAAAGGAGCCAAAAACACTGTCAAAACATTCAGCTTCAGGGGTTGAGCTGTAATCATATGAACACTTTTGTGCTACAAAACATTTTAAAATGACTATGTTTGCTAAAATGTCCTCTCGTCAGCTGCATGAGATGTTCACCAATGCTTAATTGCCATGCGATCAGATTTTCCCTCCGATGAAGTTCTGTGTGTGGGGGCGACACGGTGGCTCAGTAATTAGCACTGTCACCTCACAGCAAGAGGGTCGCTGGTTCAAGTCCCAGCTGGGCCAGCTGGTATTTTATGTGTGGAGTTTGCATGTTCTCCCCTTGTTGGTGTGGGTTTCCTCCGGTTTCCCTCACAGTCCAAAGACATGAGCTACAGGTGAATTGAATGAACTAAATTGGCTGTAGTATGTGTGAATAAGAATGTGTGGGTGTTTTCCAGCACTGGGTTGCAGCTGGAAGGGCATCCACTGTGTAAAACATTGGCTGGATAAGTTGGCGGTTCATTCCGCTGTGGTGACCCCTGATTAAAAAAGGGACTAAGCTAAAGGAAAATTAATGAATGAAGTTCATTGTCAAACAATTATTGACACTGTCCTGTAGTGTGACTTCAGTGACGACGAGTGTCAATTCAAGAACCAATAGGAGCGCTGAATCTGCTGAACTTTCTCAAACATCTCAAAACAGCTCTGATCTGTTTTTTTTTTTATTATGGAGGCACGCTGTCAGCAAAATTGCAGCTACAAATTGTTTATGTTTGCCTTGTAGGTATAATGTCAAAATATGGGTTACTAAAAGTATTGATGACGTCAAACTTTCTGTGAGTTTTCCTGCATGTTCTTGTGTGAAGCATCTTTACTGTTTATGACAATTCAGATCTTCCAGTGTGTCAAGGATCATGTGCGTGCAGTCTGACATGCTAAAATCTAGTGTAAGCCGGGCTTAACGAGAATACGACGTAATGTCTGTAGTCTGTAGTAAATGTGCACCCTCTCCTCTCCAAAGCTTTTTGTTGTTGATTTTTTTGCATTTTTGGTGCACAAAATTGTTCTTGGAGCTTCATTTGATTTCAGTTGAACCTTTACAGTTAAAGGTGCAGTATGTAAGTTTGACACCCTGTGGTTGAACTAGGCATTGCATTCCTGGATCAAAACAAACGGTTGTCAAATTAAGGACCAAGCGAGTTTAAAGCCTCTTTCACACTGCCTGCGAGAGCAGCGCTTGAGCAGAGCGTGGTTTTCTGACGTCCATGTCAACAGATTAGAGATTTCAGAGCAGAGCATGGGCATCGCTGAAGCAGCAGTGCCCTGTTAGTTTCGGTGCTGGGTCTATTTTTGCTGTGCTGCTCCCGCTTAATTAAAGTGACAGTGCATTGATAATGACCAAAACACATTGAATGACAGTAAAAAGTAACATTCATTCATTCATACATTTTCTTTTCGGCTTAGTCCCTTTATTAATCCGGGGTCACCACAGCGGAATGAACCACCTAAAAAGTAGCAATTTTAGCCAATAACTGCATGGATAATATCCACTGATTTTGAAATAGTCAATCAAATGAACTTCAACGATTAAAAACCGCAACAAATATTTATTTGGGCCCGAACTAAAAGATGAAATTTAAAAGCATTTTTGTATTAGTTTTGAAGTTGCACATTAGTTTGATCATGAATAAATATCATCATAATTATTCTGTATATATATATTATTAGAACTATAGGCCTACATTATCCTGACAATCAAAAATAAAAAGACATGATATCACAGGTGTTTGTCTTCTGACCGTGTGCACCTGAAAAGACATGAATGACACTCCTCAGAGCTTGAGAAGCAAACAGTCCTTTATGATCTATATAATTTGTAAAATAAAGAGTTGCAGGTTAAGGAAACAGCATAAGAGGAAGTTGCCGAAATGTAATTGGCTAAACTGACAGTGGGCGGGTTAAGGGACCAAAATAAAGACAGCTGTTCCGGCACGTAACTCCCATTTTCAAAGCTGAATACCTGACTTCAGCAATGTTTTTCAGATAAACAAGAATGTTTACTTCTTCTGCAAACATTTTATGATATTTTTATGTTGTAGAAGAGTCAAAAACTGACATACAACATCTTTAAAGAGCCCCTATTTTGCATTATAAAAGGTACTATTTTGGTTTTGGGGCTCTCCAATAACAGGCTGACATGCATGCAAGATCAAAACTTCTATCGTCTCATAATATGCATTATTTACCTAATTATTCCAATGACTTCCATATGAATCGTTCGGCGATTCATTTGTTCCCAAACCCCTCTTTTGGGTGAGAAACACCCACCACGGCTATGGAGTAGCAGAGTATGCGACAGCTTAAATGCAGGAGTGCATTAAAGCAATGCAGTTAAACACCAGCATATTACTCTACTCTTAAACCTAACCCCAAGTAATAACAACGACACACATTCAGTATTGATCCACACAGTGGCAAAAACTGAACTACAGTATTTTGAAAATTGACTGAGCATGTGAGGAACAGCTGATAGTGAAACGCGCTTAAATTGGTAAAGGAAGAGGCACGCGTCACATTTTTAACATGGTTTTGGACGCAGCATGTGAATAGCCCCATGACGATTTAACACTAGAGATACATTACAAGCAGTGATCTATAACAGATACATGATTACAAGCCAAGCAGAGCGATTACAAGTTACAACACATATTTTGCAAACTACAGAAAAGGAGGCAACAATTTTTTATGACACTTACATATTATGATCCGGACCAAGAAGAAACTGGTCCATATGAACTGTAAAAATTGCTGACAAAGTCCCTGTCAAAGTCTGACATAGTCCTATACATAATAGTCTCTGCTGCTCCTTCGTTTAATAGCAAATGGCCGATGAATCCTGCATGGCAGCGTAGGTTATTGTATCAAAAATCTGAAAAATTACAGGAACAAACAGCACTAGGCTATACTTTGGTATCGTTGTGAAAATAGCTTTAACCCTAGTTTCCCCACAGCCGAATCTCCATCTGTCAGTGATCATCATCTTGACGTCATGATCAGTCCTGTGATTCCTGCGCCTCCGCTATTGTGTCTGAAAGGAAAGCGCGTTCACATTTTACTGGAACTGGAACTACATATTTAGTGATGTACCATATCGACGTTGGCACGTTCAAGCAAAAGATCCGAACCCAACTTGATACATTTATTCGACTCTGAGAATCAATAGTTTTAAACACGGTGCACTTTCAGATTTAATACTCAGCTGGATGTTTTCAATCACTTAGAGCTGTGTTAAGGCCCGTGCACACTAAGACGTTTTTTGCTCGCGTTTTCCGTCGACGTTTAACGCCTCTTGACTAAATAACGTGCGTCATTGTGATCGTGCACACCAACGCGCAAAACGCCAGGCGCAAATGCGTCATTTAAAAAAAAACGCCTCATGCTTGTTTTTTTGTTTTGATATGCCGCGTCAAAATCTTCTCCACCAATCAGATTGGCACTTTTGCTCATGTGCACTGAGGCGCTCAAGCGTAAAACTGTCAACGCGAGCACACATTGAAAAAGATGCCCAGAGGCGATATGAACGTGGAGCTGCTTATTGCACTGGTGAACAATAATCATTTCTAGAGCATTTCTTCATCGAGCTGGAGCTGCTGCTTGAACCATCCATGCTTGTTCGAGTCACCAGTAAGTTTACCAATAAGCGTGTGAACTTCATCCCCTCCTCTTCTTCTGTGTTATAAGCGGGTGTCAGAAGCTTAAAGTTGTGTAGCGCCATCTAACATCAAGGAGTGATTTTGCATACTCTTCTGCTTGACGCCAGTGAAAAGCGATTGGGTTTGAATACGGAAAAACGTCTTGTAAAATGCCGACGGTAAACGCAAATAAAAAGGTGTGTAGGAGCCTTTACACTGCTTGGAAGATTATTTTCAAAAACCCATAATAGGGGCGCTTTAACAGTTGCATGTTTTTGATTCTTTTTCTAAACTTTGAGGGTCCCGGGAACATTTGCTCTTTATGGAAGTGTAACGGAGGCCAGTTAGTGTGTGCTGTGCAGGTAAACCTCACTCCTTTGACCTCTAAAGGTGCTCTAGCGACAGACGCTAGAGGCCATGGTCTTTAGCCTCCTTGGTAGAGCAACCGACTCTCATGCGGAGGGTCGCCGGTTCGATACCAGCTCGGAGCGGGTTGGGTGGTTGTAGGACCGACGGGGTTACATTGGTGCTGTGACCCAGATGGGAGTGAGGTTTAGCGGGGTGAGTGTAACAGAGGCCAGGTAGTGTGTGCTGTGCAGGTAAACCTCACTCCTCTGACCTCTAAACGTGCTCTAGCGACAGATGCTAGAGGCCATGATCTTTAGCCTCCTTGGTAAAGCAACCGACTCCCATGCGGAAGGTCGCTGGTTCGATACCAGCTCAAAGCGGGTTGGGTGTGGTTATAGGACGGCGGGGTTACAGAAGAAGAGGGAGCTCTCGGATTTCATCTGAAACACTTTCATTTGTGTTATGATGATGAACTAAGCTTTCAGGTGACTGGAACAGCGTGAGGGTGAATCTTTAATAACTGCATTTTCTTTTTTTGGCTGAACTAATCTTTTAACAGTGCTTTCCCACATCTAACTTGCCTTGTTTTTGCTGTGTTGTTGTTATATTTTAAGGATGTGGAGGAGCAGCTGGAGATGTGTTCGCCATGGAAACGGAGCCAAAGACCGTTAAGGAATGACAGACTGAATCTCTCCGGTGTGTTTCTCCTCAAACCCGAGCGGAATAAACTCGGACGACCGTGACGGATCTTCCGCTGCTTGCAGTATTACTCGTCAAGCATCTCTAGAGCTCCAGTATGTCGGCGAACGGGACCCAGGACCGTCCGGTTACAGTGGCAGAGCCGCACACTAGTGGAGGCGCGCAGGAAAGGACTGTGCGTGCTCCCGGTGTCTGTCCGTCTCTCCTGCGCTTCCTGCGACTCAGGTTCACCCCGGAGTCTCTCGAGAAAATTTATCAGACTTATTTTCTGCGGCAGCGGCAGGAGACGTTACTTGTGTTGATCGTGTTCGCAGCACTGTTCAACGGCTATGTGATCATCATGTGCGCGGTTGTTTACTCTCCGGATAAACTGAACACGCTCGCAGTTGCGGCAGGTGGGCTGGCGTCGGATATTCTGCTCTACATCACATCCCGGTTTCGTTTGCTCCCGGTGCACGTGTCCGCATGCCTCGTGCCGTACGCGCTGTGGCTGCTCATCATGGTCCACGTGCTGTGCTACTTCAGCTTAAACTTCGCTGGGTTTTACGCCGCCGGTGACACGGTGGGATGGCAGACGTTTTTCATCTTCTCCTTCTTTCTCACGCTCCCGCTGCCACTCGCGCCCATTGTGTTACTGAGCGTGTTCTCTTGCTGCGCGCACACGCTGCTGCTGGGATTCACAATATCGCTGAGAAACCAAGACAAACTGCAGCTATCAGTGCTGATCAGACAGGTAACACATACACACTGGAAAACAACATAATTAAATAACACGATGATAAGAATGTTTGGCATACTTTAATATCAGCACTTTTTAAAAATTTTTTTTGCTTGCAAATGTGTATATAAATACAGTATACAGATTTTAATGTTTAATTTTTTTATTTAATCGCTGAAGTTGATACTTTTGCTAACTTCAAGTATGATACATTACATTTATTAAAAGTAAAGACATGCATAATTTTACAAAAGAATATATATATATATATATATATATATATATATATATATATATATATATATATATATATATATACACACACACACACACACACACACACACACACACAGTGCATCCGGAAAGTATTCATAGCGCTTCATTTTGTCCAATTTTTTTATGTTACAGCCTTATTCCAAAATGGATTCAATTAATTAATTTCCTTAAAATCTTCCCTCTATTCTGACTAGTCTTCCAGTTCCTGCTGCTAAAAAACATCCTTAAAGCATGATGCTGCCACCACCATACTTCACTCTAGGGATGGTATTAGCCTGCTGATGAACGGTGCCTGGTTTCTCAAAACAAAACGCCTGGCATTCACTCAATTTTAGTCTCATCAGAGTAGAGAATTTTGTTTCTTATGGTCTGAGAGACCTTCCGATGCCTTTTGGCAAATTCCAGGCGGGGAGTTGCTTCCGTCTGGCCACTCTACCATACAGACCTGATTGGTGAATTGCTGCACAGAAGAACGCTGGAGCTCAGAAAGAGTGACCATCGGGTTATTGATCACCTCCCTGACTAAGGCCCTTCTCCACCGATCACTCAGCTTAGATGGCCGGCCAGCTCTAGGAAGAGTCCTGGTGGTTCCAAATATCTTCCACTTATGGATGATGGAGGCCACTGTGCTCGTTGGAACTTTCACAGCAGCAGAAATGTTTCTGTAACCTTCCTCAGCCTTGTGCCTTTAGACAATCCTGTCTCTGAGGTCTACAGACAATTCCATTGTCTTCATGCTTAGTTTGTGTTTTGGCATGCACTGTCAACCCTGGGACCTTATATAGACAGGTGTATGCCTTTTCAAATCATGTCCAATCAACTGAATTTATTACAGGTGAACTCCAATGAAGCTGCTAAAACATCTCAAGAATGATCAGTGGAAACAGATTGTACCTGAGCTCAATTTAGAGCTTCAAGGCAAAGGCTGTTAATACTGATGTACATATTGTTGTTTATTTTATTTTAGTTTTTTTTATCTTTAATAAATTTGCAACAATTTCAAAAACTCTTTTGTCACATTGTGTTTATAATGGGTATTGTGTTTAGAATTTAGAGGAAATAAATTAATCAATCCATTTTGGAATGAGACTGTAACATAAACAAATGTGGAAAAAGTGAAGCGCTATCAATATTTAACAGATGCACTGGTTTTACTAACACAAACAAACAATGAACAAAACTTTTATTACAGCCTCAAATCTTCTTTGTTAACGCTAGTTAATGGAAATAAAGTTGTTTATTGGTAATTTGTCAGTTCACAGTGCATTAACCAATATTATGCGTTTTGATTTTAATAATGCATTAGTAAATGTTGAACTATGATTAATAAATGCTTTATTAGTTCATTGTAATAAATTCATTAGCTAACATTGACTAATGAAATCTTGTTGGAAAGTGTGACCAAAACATTTGCCTGACCTGAAACTTCTGCCTAATTCAAAACCTGATTCATGACAACAGAGGCTTTGCAAGAGAAACATGTGACATGTTTGATGTCATAAAGGCGGAGCTTAAAGGAGGATCTGATGTAATATATCAATTAAATCTTTTTTACGTTGACATCATAGGACAGTTTCAGCCATATCAAAAAACATCATTGTTCTCTTTCTGTAAACGCTCACCGGCCACTTTATTAGGTACACCCGTCCAACTGCTCGTTGACGCAAATTTCTAATCAGCCAATCACATGGCAGCATATCGATACACTTAGGCATGTAGACATGGTCAAGACGATCTGCTGCAGTCCAAACCGAGCATCAGAACGGGGAAGGAAGATGATTTAAGTGACTTTGAACGTGGGATGATTGTTAATGCCAGACGAGCTGGTCTGAGTATTTAGGAAACTGCTGATCTACTGGGATTTTCACGCACAACCATCTCTAGGGTTTACAGAGAATGGTGAGAATAAGAGGAAATATCCAGTAAGCGTCAGTTCTGAGGGTGTAAATGCCTTTCTGATGCCAGAGGTCAGAGGAGAATGGCCAGACTGATTCCAGCTGATAGAAAGGCAACAGTAACTCAAATAACAACTCGTTACAACCGAGGTCTGCAGAAGAGCATCTCTGAACACACAACACGTCCAACCTTGAGGCAGATGGGGTACAGCAGCAGAAGACCACACCGGGAGCCACTTCTGACAGCTAAGAACAGGAAACTGAGGCTACAATTCACACAGGCCCACCAAAATTGGACAATAGAAGATTGGAAAAACGTTGCCTGGTCTGATGAGTCTCGACTTATGCTGCAACAACATGGAAGCATGGATCCATCCTGCCGTGTATAAATGGTTCAGGCTGGTGATTGGGGTGTAATGGTGTGGGGGATATTTTCTTGGCACACTTTGGGTCCATTAGTACCAACTGAGCATCGTGTCAAGGCCACAGTCTACCTGAGTATTGTTGCTGACCATGTCCATCCCATTATGACCAAAATGTACCCATATTCTGATGGCTACTTCCAGCAGGATAACGCGCCATGTCATAAAATGTGAATAATCTCAGACTGGTTTCTTGAACATGACAATGAGTTCACTGTAGTCAAATGGCCTCCACAGTCACCAGAGCTCAATCCAATAAAGCACCTTTGGGATATGGTGGAATGGGAGATCCGCATCATGGATGACACATCTGCAGCAACTGCGTGATGCTATCATGTCAATATGGAGCAAAATCTCTGAGGAATTTTTCCAGTACTTTGTTAAATCTGTACCCCGAAGATTTAAGGCAGTTCTGAAGCCAAAATCAGGATCCTGCCCAGTACTAGTAGGGTGTACCTAATAAAGTGGCTGGTGGGTGCATATATGCATGTGTGCATATTAAATTCAAAGTGACACAAGTGTGTTGTTTCTTGCAGCTCGTGGCGAATCTGATGCTGTATTTTGGTGCCATGCTGGTGGGTGTGATGTCATATTTCATGGCTGACCGTAAATACCGCACAGCGTTTCTAGAGGCCAAACAGTCTCTGGAAGTCAGTCTCACGCTGAAGGAACAGAGTCAACAACAGGTACGCACACAAACACACTCGCATCAGTTTAATAGGTTATTAACTGGACCGGATGCCTGAGTTTAAGGCTCAGTCTGTGAGATTAATGAACGTGTAGAGATGCTCTAATTGGGCACAGTGGTAAAGCTCTGCCCTGGGGCCCATGTGTCCTGTTACCTGTTATTGGCACATCTGAGCAGATCTCCAGGCAAGGACGCACTGTACACACACACACACACACACACACACACACACTGTTGTCACTCTTATTGCAGTAATGAAGTCATTCCCCAGGCTGTTGTTATTGTGACAGCAGTGCCACTAAAGACCCAAGAGTCCAAATCTGCCATTGCACATTATTTTATAGTGGTCACACAGTACATACAAAACCTAAATTTAAAGGAACAACCCACTTTTTTGAAAATAGGCTCATTTTACAAATGACCTATAGTTGAATAGTTTAGTTTTATCGTTGTCAAATCCATTCAGCCAATCTCTGGGTCTGGCGGGAGCAATGTTAGCTTAGCATAACATATTGAATCGCATTAGACCGTTAGCATCCAATTCAAAAAGATTTTTAAAAAAAAGTTTTAAAATAATTTTTCTACTTAAAGCTTGACGGAAATGGAACAATGTACATTTTCCAGGTCGATGTGGCTAGGAACTATACTCCCATTCTGATGTAATAATCAAGGAACTTAAACTAGTACTTTTACTAGTTATTTAGTGCTTTTTGGACTGAAGGGCTGCAGACAAAGGCCCAGTATAATATTTAATTTCACTTAAAAATGCAAAAAATGTGTTTTTATTTTTTGTTTTTGTTTTTTGAAGGCACTTTATTGCATTTGGAATGTTTTCTGCTATTTATATATTTGCAATATGAATATAGTTTCGCAAGATGACTATTTAATATGCAATAAAATGTACAAAATTCTTTAAAAAATATATTACATTAATATAAAATATTAATTTATACAAAATAAAATATTTCCCTGTACGGCGGCGCAGTAGAGCAGTTGGTAGCACTGTCACCTGACAGCAAGAAGGTCCCTGCAGTTTGGTCTGTGTGGAGTTTGCATGTTCTCCTCGTGTTCGCGTGGGTTTCCTTCGGGTGGTCCTGTTTCCTCAGAAGTCCAAACGCATGCGCTATAGGTGAATTGGGTAAGCTAAATTGTCAGTAGTGTGTGTGTGTGTGAATGAGGGTGTATGGGTGTTTCCCAGTGATGGGTTGCAGCTGGAAGGGCATCACTGTGTAAAAGATATGCTGAAGAAGTTACTAAAGGTACTAAGCCGAAGAAAATTTAATGAATGAATAAAATATAATAGTGGCATTGTTTAATATGAATTTAAGTTTTAGGATTACTTTGATGAAATATATAGTCTAAGATACTATAGAAAATATAGGCTACCATAGTAATTTACAGTAAATACTACAGTAGAACCATAGTATAGTAGAGTAGGCTACTTGAATAAGTCTGATGTCGTGATTCTATAGTTGCAAAACAAATATAACAAACATAAACAAATTATTCCATATTGCACACTCAAAGAAATGCTGGGTTATTTAAACATAAATTTGGTTTAATAAGGACTAATCCAAGCACTGGGTCCAAATTTGGTCATATTTATTTGATTAAAAAAATTAACCCAGTAGTTGGTGCATATTACACCCAGAATAAATTAAATTGCTTATGAAAACAATGTAACATAAATACCAGCGATTTGTGTGTTTCGGTGGAGTCTAACATTATTGAAGTATAGAAATTCAGTAATCAAATGCAAGAAAACACTTTCTACAATCTTCATTGTTTAAATAAACTATTAATCTTTGTTAAAGTGGTAAACTTTAAAATGTATTGTGTCCAAATCATACCTGTCAACATCGGGATGTGAAAATAAGGGATATGCACACCATAATAAGGGGTTTCTTTACTGTATAAACTTACACATTCTGATTAAAGGGCAACGAATGGATCTTATTTATTTATATTTTTAGTTTGATTACATTAAATAACAAGTGTCACACATCTAACGTTATAGTAAAAGCATTCGATTGTTTCCTAAATTTTTATGCTCATTTAGGACAAAATTAGTTGTGTTGGAAAAAAAAACCACCAAGATCGACATCTTTAAGTGTTGTTATTATTAATTATGAGTATATATCTGTTCGAACACACACCCAACACCCAGACACTCACTGCGTGTGTACAGAATCCATTTGGGAAACAGCATCTATTTATCACTATGGAGCGTGTCAGCTGACAGTCATGTACCGCTATGACTGTTTTGAGGATTGCATTGGAGGGGCGAAGGCACCTGTATTGAAAAGGAAAGGGAATCCTGCCGTTTTTATATTTATTTCGAAGTGTTTTCATGCCTAAAAACAACGAAAGCACAACAGACTCATATTTAAGAGAAAGGGGCGGCCCCTGGTGGTTCGGCGGTATGGTTTGCGTATAGGGAGGATCGGCTCTTTAATGTTTATTCACACGTTTCAGAGAAAGACTGAAAATATGGAAGAAATACAGGAAAATACCTTTGCGGGACGATAGCAGGATAGAACTGCAAAATGCTGAAGTATCCAGGGAAAAACAAGAAGGTTAACAGGTATGGTCCAAATGGTTTAAATTAACTTGAAATGGCTCGATGTCTTGCAATGCGACTATTGCAGATTCGGGCATTGCGATATCGATGCAGAAACGATATATTGTACAGCGCTAGTTACAATTGCAAAGATTTTTTTAAACAATTGCACTACAACAAGATGTTTTGTTCATGTAAAAATATACCTTATTCTCATACTCTAATCTTGTCTATTTTTAATAAAAAATAAAAATAGTAAAAAAAAAAATGTTTCCCAAAATAATAGTGAATATCAATATTTTTCAAAGTATCGTATCGAAGTTAAAAATTCCACTATCGTGACAAAACTACGGGATAATGTATTATCCATTGGATGCACACTTCAGAATCTCGCCGGAAGTAATAGGTTATCCGGGTCCTCCTTGATATTCGACTCGCATACTGTTTTTTACATAGTTGCAACACAGGCTCATTCTGAAAACATAGCTCTATATACTGTACATCTCTGGTGATTGCAAATTATGTAGCCAGAGGTACGTATGGCTGCATTTTGTCTTTAAAACTTGCATTACAGGGCAATATGGCTTTGTTCCTTTTAACGCTACCAGTTGACCGCTTACCTGCGTATAGCCAGTTTTTCCGCTGTTACCAGTTTATCCAGTGGCTCGCCTTGTACGTTAGTGGACTTGTGACATGGATGCGAAGACGGGTTCGAGCCCAGCGAAGAACGGTTACAAAACACAGGTAAAACAAAAGCAAGTAAACAAGTAGCAGGTAAAAAACGGTGAGAATATGGTAAAATCTGAAAACATGGTAAAAATTCAGGCTACGGCGTGGGATTTTGATTTTCTGAATTCCTTTTGAAAACATTGTCGGTTGGGTTTGGGGGGTGGGGGAGGGCTGGTCAATCGGTGCTTTTGTAAACACTATCGGTTGGGTTTAGGGAAGGAGGAGGGTGGGTCAGTTGATCGGTCAGTCTGTCAGTCGACTGTGGCCTCTGGTGATTTACGCGAGAAGAACAAGCACGAATAGCACTCGTGAGAGAAATTCACGTAAACAAAAACTGCAAAAAAAAAAAAAAAAAAGTACCTCCTGGGATGTGTAAATGTAAAGGTGTGGTGTGTCATTGTTCCCTCATTATCATCGCTAAACGGAATTTCAACCCTAAACAGCCTTTTAAACACTTCCCAACATTTGTTGATCACTCAGTCCCGACCCAAACCTACACGTTATTCAATATTGCTGTTTTATTCTCACATTGTTTTATTGAAAAATCAAGTTCCAAATAGTTTAATAAATGTCTTTATGAGTTTTTAGCATTTATGTCAATAACAACATTTCATTGGACTTCTTAATCATAAGCAGCAGTCGATCCGAACAGTTTACTTGCTTTCTGTCGGCGTCTCTTTCAGTCCGTCCCGCTCATGTGGTCACATGGTCTCCAGAGATCAATCCCAGAATGCCATAGCAGCAGGGGCTTCTGGGAGTTGACTTCAACTAGCCAATCAGAGCGCAGCGGATGGGTTTAGCTTACTATGGCAACTGCATCAAGAGACAAATATGCTCTGAGAAAATCTAAATCCCAAAATCCCACTTCACTCATATGTTCATGAAGGGGAGAGAGGACAAAACGCCTCAGATTTAGATACAGCTGTTTATGCAATCTCCAATACATGAAAAATATGTGCCTAATCAAGATTCAAGATCAGATAAATATAAGACAAGGTAATTCTGTATTGCCCAGTTCTGTTATTAGTAAAATTGAATAATAATATTAATAATTAATTAATAATTCCTTACATTTATATAGCGCTTTTCTGGGCACTCAAATCGCTTTACACATAGGGGGGAATTTCCTCATCCACCACCAGTAATAATAATAATAATAATAATAATAATAATAATAATAATAATAATAATGATAATAATAATAATAATAATAATAATAATAATAATAATAATAACAACATATAATAATAATAGTATCTAAAATAGTGCATAATAATAATAACCTTGCAGGAATATATTTTAAAATAAATATTTGATATACGGTTGAAAACAAATTGTGTTTTTCAATAAGATGATTATTTAAGCACATTTTGAACATAATAGTTTTAATAAGTAATAATTTGCTTAATATTTCACTGCTGATTACTTTGTATGAGACTAGTATTCAGTTTAAAGTGCTATTAAAATGCTAAATTGGGTTTACTAGGTTATATTAATTAGACAATTCGCTTTACACAAATCGCTTTACACATAGTGGGGAATGTCCTCATCCACCACCAGTAATAATAATAATAATAATAATAATAATAATAATAATAATAATAATAATAATAATAATAATAATAATAAAATAATAATAATAGTAATAACAACATATAATAATAATAGTATCTAAAATAGTGCATAACAATAATAACCTTGCAGGAATATATTTTAAAATACATTTTGGTTTACGGTTGAAAACAAACTGTTTTTAAATAAGATGTTTATTTGAGCACATTTTGAAACATAACAGTTTTAATAAGTAATAATTTGCTTAATATTTCACTGCTGATTATTTTGCATGATACTAGTATTCAGTTTAAAGTGCTATTAAAATGCTAAATTGGGTTTACTAGGTTATATTAATTAGACAATTCATTGGACATCAGTTGTTTGTTTGATAGCCGATCAAAAAATAATTGTAATATTGACCTTAAAAATGATATTTAAACTGCTTTTATTCCTACCAAACTAAATAAAAATTTTTTCTATAGAAAAAAAAGAGGGAATACTGTGAAAATGCCCTTCCTGTTTTAAAACAACACTTAGAAAATATTTGAAAACTAATTAAATTTCACCGGAGGGCTAATAATTTTACTTTTAACTGTGTCTATATATCAGGGGTGCCTACACATTTTTGCATGAAGGGCAAAAAACCCAATACTATTGAGAGCTGTCATGATCACCAGCGATCTGAACTCCATAGATTGCTGGAATGCATGCACGCCATTTTTGGACTACATCTCCACACATGCACTCCACTCACACACACATTTTCCTCATCCTGACCGATTGCACAGACACCACCGGAGGATTGTCAAGGACTGATTACACAAACCACTTAAGCAGCACACACACTCACTCCAGTCGCTGAGTCTTGATTACTTTAAGTAACATTACAACGCGTTTTCCTTGATTTGTTTTCCGTGTTTTGACCCTTGCCTAGTTTGTCTTTTTGTCACTGTCTGCCGCCTGCCTTCCGACCTCTCGCCTGTTATTGTGACTGCAATTTTGGATTGCCTTCACACATCTGTTTGCACCCCTGTTGACCTTTCCTTGCATGACATCCCTAATAAACCTGCATGTGGATCCGAACTCTGCGTCAGGGAGCCCGGTCTATTGAAGAATATGTGGAGGACTTCATTAACCTGGCATATTTAACATCACTAGATGAGGTATGCCTCATGATATTTTTACATGGTGGGCTGTCTAAGCCACTGTACATTATATATATATATATATATATATATATATATATATGCACTATGCACAAGCCTCACTCGACGATAATGAACTATATTGATCTGGCACTAAAACTCAGTGGTTCCCCCTTCACTGTTGGCGAAGTGGTGGACACCCCTAAATATTGTTTTTGGGGAGGGGACAGTGTACATTACTAGGACATTACTAGGACTCCAGTCTAAGGCACATCAGTCACCTAGCATTTAAATTGAAACAATTAATTTCAAATGAAAATGAAACTATTAATTTCAGTTAGCTTTTTTGAAGCTTAACAATAAACAATAAACAATTAAACAATAAAACAATTAAACAATAAAACAATTAAACAATAAAACAAACAAATTAAAATTTGCGTTACATTTGAAATGACAATCTCTTATGGTGGGCCGAATCAAAGATAACCAAGGGCCAACTTTGTCCTGCGGGCCTTAGTTTGGGCATCTCTGCTATATTCGTTCATTATATAGTCCCTTTAATAATCAGGGGTCGCCACAGTGGAATGAACCGCCAACAAACACCCAGACACCCTTGCATTCATACACATACACTACGGCCAATTTAGCCTATTCAATTCACCTAAGCTACATGTCTTTGGACTGTGGACTCCACACAGAAAAACCAACTGACCCAGACGGGACTCGAACCGGCGTCCTTCTTTCTGTAAGATGATTGTGCTACCCACTGCGCATTTAAAGCTTTTTTGTAGCAGAAAATGACATGTGGTCAAAATATCAAATGTTAATGGTATTCTCCCAAATATGGATTTCTTAATCCTTTGTATTGTGTTTTTTGAGTGTGTATATATTTATCTGTGTGTAGGAAGAGTTATTGCTGTCCATCTTACCGAAGCACATCGCAGATGAGATGCTGCAGGGTATGAAGAAAGGAGCCAACCAGAAAACAGATGCTCAGCAGTTTAACACCATGTACATGTACCGCCATGAAGACGTCAGGTAAAACATTAACAATAACATTATAACCGTCCTTCACTTTTCCTGTATTTTATCCTGTATGCCAATTTTATTTTGACCCACCTTTGGAATCTGCAATTAATGACTTGTTTTCATGTCAGAACTACAGCTTATATTTAGCAATTTGAATAAAAGTGTGAACTGACAAATGCAAAATCACAATTGTAAAAAGAGATATTCTGAATTATGCCTTAAATATATTTAATTACCCCTTCTCTGTGGTGTAAACAAGCTTCCTTATTATGGTCTGAATATTTGTGAAAGCATTTCTGTAATAACATCATTGCACCAGTACATGGTGAAAAAAGTGTCTTAATGAGGACCTATTATGCTTATTTTTACAAGATTTAAAACAAGTCTCTAAAATCCCTAGAGTGTGTATGTGAAGTTTCAGCACAAAATACCACACAAATATTTTTTATAACACGGTGAAACTGCCTTTTTTAGGCTTTGATCCTAATTGTGCTGTTTTGGTGACTGTCGCTTTAAATTCAAATGAGATTATGCTCTTTTCAAAAGAGGGCGGTGCTACAAATGTCTATGTGTCAGCATAATTCAAAACAAATAAACTCTTAATGTCTGGCGGATGCTTCTCACTCAGGGCTGTTTATGCGAATGAGGGAGAGACAATCACTAATGGGCGGGGCTTTCCCTGGCGAATGACACGTACAAAGGTGGAATCTCAATCAAAGTGTTTCTGTATGGTTTTTATCAATCGTGTTAATAAAAAATTGAATTAATTCATGTTTACTATTAGAAGCTGGTTACAACTGTATTTAAACCCCTTATAACAGTGATTTATGCATAAAAGGACCCCTTTAAATAAATCTACATGTCTCTCTTGCTGAATATATTGTTTTATTCAGAAATACTTTGACGAAACTAAAAGGGTTGTCATTTCATGTTGACGTTTAACAAGGCTGTTGAAACTCTTGATTTGATAATCTAACATCTCTCGTCTCTCTCCAGTATCCTTTTCGCAGATATCGTAGGTTTTACACAGCTTTCATCTGCTGTGACTCCTAAAGAACTTGTCAAAGTGCTCAACGAGTTGTTTGCTCGCTTCGACAAACTAGCAGCGGTGAGTAAAAACAGCAAACTATTATAATTCATTTTCCTTCAGCTTAGTCCCTTATTTATTAAGGGTTGCCACAGCAGAATGTACCTCTAACTATTCTGGCATACGTTTTACATAGTGAATGCCATTCCAGCTGCAACCAAGCACTGGGAAACACCCATACACTCTTACATTCACACACACACACACACAAACACACGTTCATCCAATTCATCTGCATGTCTTTGGACTGTGGGGGAAACTGGAGCACCCACTGGAAACCTACACAAACACAGGGAGAACATGCAAACTCCACACAGAAATGCCAACTGACCCAGCTCGGACTTGAACCAGTGACCTTCTTGCTGTGAGGCGACAGTGCTAACCAATGAGCCACCGTACTGTCTCTAAAACAGCGTTTATTAGTAATAAAACAAACTATTTTAAAGCTGTTAAAACTAATTTCTAGTAACTGATTTCTTTTCTCTTTGCCATGTATCAGCTGAAAATGACATTTAAAGGCTTAACTAGGTTAATTAGGTTAACTAGGCAAGTTAGGGTAATTAGGCAAATCATTGTGTAACAATTGCTTAAAGAGAGGCTAATATTATTGACCTTAAAATGTTTTTTTTTATTGTAAAACTGCTTTTATTCTAGCCAAAATAAAGCAAATAAGACTTTTTCTTGAAGAAAAAATATTAGGAAATGCTGTGAAAAATTTCTTTCTCTGTTAAACATCATTTGTGATATACTTGAAAAAGAAAAAAATTCACAGGAGGGCTAATAGTTCTGACTTCAACTGTATGTTTTATCTAAAGTAATACATGCATATGCTATGAAGTATCAGCATGATACATATTAGAGCTGCACAATTAATCGAAAAAAGATCAAACACACCCAGGGCCGGAGTGGGACTCCATTTCAGCCCTGGAGTTTCAAGCCTCAGACCGGCCCACCTCAGTTCACGACTGACTATATTAAAATAAGATCATTTCCAATTCAGTTGCTAATTACACTAACACGTTTTTTTTGCTGCTTTAGAACTTCAAATGTTCAACAACCCTAACAGTATTATATGTCTTAACAATAAAAATGAAAACAATAAATTACTCTAACAAGGATCGAACCTGGGTCCGCTGAGTGTTGACCTAACATTCTAACCGCTGGACCACAACAGCTGTGTATTGAAAGGAGACACAACTATGTTTTATCATCATTAAAAAAGATGGTGGTCAAGTAAATATATATATTTAAAAAGTGTGAGTACTGAGAGCAACAGATTCTGGAGCTAGGGACACCGGCTCTCGCGGCCAAAAAACGGATCGGCCCACCGGGAATTCTCCCGGTCCTCCCGATTAGCCAATCCAGGCCTGAACACACCTGAACCAATTAATTAGGACCTGAACACCTTGTGATAATTACAGGCAGGTGTGTTTGATATGGGTAGCAACTGAAATCTGCAGGAAGGTAGATCTCCAGGAACAGGATTGTGCACCCCTGCTTAGACGATCTTAATCCAGCTTTTCTAAAATTCTGCCAATCATATTTTCAAGTTCAGGAGAGAAGCAAAAGCGGCTGCACGAGTCTTTTCATTGTTTCACACACGTTGCTCAGCGACATGGACACCTCCAAATGATGTTAAAAGAGTCACATACTGTATTTATAAGGTATAATTCACCCAAAAATGTCATTTCTGTCTTCATATAATGATGTATTCGCGGTCGGGAAATCACATGTCGTGAGCTGCTGACTGTGCGGGCGCGCGCCCTGCTGAATGTTTAAAGTGTTTACAGCTTATAAAGTTGTAAATAATATTCAGTTTGTGGCACAGAGTGATCGTTTGAGAGCCGCGCGCGAAGTATAAACAGCACTTAGCAGTGAAAATGAAACCGAAAGCGTGCACATTATTTAAATGATCATATCGCATTTAGAGTTATGACTGTGACAAGCATTTGATGTTGTGCATAAAAATAAATGTTTACAGTGTCAGTATAACTACTTTAGCCTATATATTCTTGATTTTACAAGTAAATGGTCTAATAATGTTCTCAATGACAGATTGCAAGCATAGGCCTATATCTCAAACATAATTCAACATCAGAATTATTATAAGTTGAATAGAATTATGTATAGAAACCAGTAGACATACATATATTGTTGTTTTACCATATGTTTGAGAATAAACAATAATGTCATATTAAGCTTTATTTTACATCTGCAGAATTGTGAGAGAATCGTGATCTTTATTTTAAGCAAAAAAACTTGCGATTCTCATTTTAGCCAGAATTGTGCAGCTCTAATACACATGATGTGCAGATAATCACCAGTATTGTTTTCTCTTTAATAGCAACACCACCAACTGAGGATCAAGATTCTTGGAGACTGTTATTACTGTATCTGCGGTTTGCCAGATTACCGTGAGGATCATGCTGCCTGCTCTATTATGATGGGCCTGTCTATGGTGGAGGCCATCTCGTAAGTACACGCCCACTGGGCGGAGCTTTGCCTGCAGAACCCAATTACTGGGCAGGGCTTTATCTACTGATCATGGCATATGGGAGGGGTTTTATTTTGAAAGTAACACTTTACAATAGGTTGTGTCAATAAATATTAGTTAAATATATTTACTAGCTTGAACAAACAATGAACATTACATTTATTACAGCATTTGTTCATGTTAGTTAATAGTAAATGAATATACAGTTGTTCATTGTTAGTTCATGTTAACTCACAATGCATTAGCTCATGTTAACAAGCAAGACTTTAGATGTTAATAATGCATTAGTACAAGTTTAACTAAGATTGATAAATGCTGTACACGTTTTATTCAGCATTAGTTTGTGTTAGTAAATACATTAAATAATGAAACCTTGTTGTAAAGTGTGACCGTTTTATCTCTAACAAATGCCATTTGTGAGAAGCGTTATCTAAAGCACAGGTCAGTGGGAGCGGCTTTGTGAACAGTTAATAAGCACTGGGAGAAGCTTTATCTACAGAAACATTATGATGAACTATGAATAAGTGTAGTTTACGGCTGTACTTTCACAGTAACCTCAGAAAGTAAAGATGCTATTAGGAAATGAGGGGAATGTATTAATTGTTGATGTTGTCTACTGTGTGTGTGTACATGTTGAATGTGTATTAAACAATATAAAAACAATTTTGTTTTTTCAGAATGGTTGGTATTGTAGTAGTAAAATTATAAAATAACAATTTTATAACAATTATAATCAATTGAATTTTTTTATTCATATTTATTTTTAAAGTAGTTTAGGGTAGAATATTTAGATATTGTTAGACTACATCAGCGGAACAATTTTGACAAAATCAGTTATATAATATATGTGATAATCATATTATCATTTATAAAATAACTGACCATTCAATTTTATAATTTTATATTTTAGTAAAAAATATTATTATTACATATTATAAAATATGTAATTTTACAATTATAGATCACTTTTTTATAGATATGATTTTTAAATTCATTTTATAGTTAAGTATAATTAGCAACTATTAAACGGACCATCTAAATTGTTTGTGTCACCTGTACTCAGCTATGAAATAAATATTGCTTAAAATTTTGACCTTAAAATGCTTCTAAAAAATTTAAAACTGCTTTTTTTCAAGCCAAGATAAAACAAACTAGACCTTCTCTAGAAGAAAAAAATAATGCATGAAATGCTATGAAAAAATCTCAAGATCTCTCTGAAACATCGCTTGGGAAGTAATTGAAAAAGAGGAACAAATTCACAGGAGGGCGAATAATTTTTACTTTTGCTGTATAAATATTTTACAAAAAATATTTATAATTATAATATATTTTAAAAATTTGTTTTTCTTTTAGAAATTTTTTGATAAGATTATTTGTAATCTTATCTATAAATATATAATTATTATTGATTTTATAATTAAGAATTAACAGCAACTATTAAGCGGACAGTCTAAATTGTTTGTATCGCCTGTGCTCAGCTATGTGCGTGAAAAGACCCAGACAGGAGTGGACATGCGTGTTGGTGTTCACTCGGGCACTGTGCTGGGTGGAGTCCTGGGACAGAAGCGCTGGCAGTTCGACGTCTGGTCCACTGATGTGACTGTGGCAAACAAGATGGAGTCAGGGGGCATCCCAGGGTGAGATCAACTAAAATCTGTTAAAACTGAATATTAAAATTTTTTTGCTTTGGTGAATTACCCATGGGTGGATCTTTTCTGTTGATGGACCTCAGTGCTGCATTTGATACTGTTGATAATAACTAGTGCTGGACAGCAATAACATTTTTTAATCGTGACTAATCGCATGATGCGGCACGGTAGCTCAGTGGTTAGCACTGTCGCCTCACAGCAAGAAGGTCGCTGGTTGAAGTCCCGGCTGGGTCAGTTGGCATTTCTGTGTGGAGTTTGCATGTTCTCCATGTGTTGGTGTGGGTTTCCTCCAGGTGCTCCGGTTTCCCCCACAGTCCACATGCGCTATAGGTGAATTGTACAAACTAAATTGGCCAAAGTGTATTAGTGTGTGTGTGAATGTAAGAGTGTATGGGTGTTTCCCATACAGCATCCGCTGTTTAAAACATATGCTGGAATAGTTGGTGGTTCATTCTGCTGTGGTGGCCTCTAATAAATTAAAGACTAAACCGAAGTGAAATGAATGAATGAACCGTCATCTGGGAAATTATTTGAATTTCCGTTTAGTAAAAAAACATTAGTGTTTCATTTGGGACGACACTTAATCCATAAACTGTGCTGTTGAATGCATAAATGCATAGTGTATAGTGTGCCATTTGGGATGCAGTGATGCAGTTACACTTTCTGTGCAATTGTAGGCGTGTGCACATCTCTCAGAGCACAAAAGACTGTTTGCATGATGAGTTTGAGCTGGAGGAGGGCAATGGAGGAGAACGCTGCGATTACCTTCTGGAGAAGGGCATTGACACGTATCTTGTGGTCATGGCCAAGGAAACGGCCAAAACGAACGGAGTGGGAAACGGGACAGTGAGTATCATGAGGTCTTACTCTCTGATCTGTTGTTCTCATTTCCAAACTCATCTGAAACCTTCATCAGGTGATCAACACCAGCGGCAGCAGCACTTCAGTGAAGAACACAGCCGAGGAGTCTGAAACACAGGTGCAGCCATCCATCTGTCTGTCTGTCTGTATATCTGACTTTCACCCATCCTTCCATCCATCTGTCTGTCTGTCTGTCTGTCTGTCTGTCTGTCTGTCTGTCTGTCTATCCATATGTCTGTCTGTATATCTGTTGTTTCTTCTATCCATCTGTCTGTCTGTCTGTCTGTCTGTCTATATTTCTATATGTCTGTATATCCATCCATCCATCCATCCATCCATCCATCCGTCTGTCTATATGTCTGTCTGTCTGTATATCCATCCGTCCATCCATCTGTCTGTCTGTATATCCATTTGTCTCTCTGTTCATCTATCTATATGTCTATATGTCTGTCTGTCTGCATATCCATACATCCGTCCATCCATCTGTCTGTCTGTATATCAATCTGTCCATCCATCTGTCTGTCTGTATATCCATCCGTCTGTCTGTCTGTCTGTCTGTCTGTCTGCCTGCATATCCATCCGTTCATCCGTCTGTCTGTCTGCAAATCCATCCGTCCATCCATCTCTTTGTTTGTATATCCATCTGTCCATCCATCTGTCTATCTGTATATCCATCCGTCCATCCATCTGTCTGTTTGTCTATATGTCCGTCTGTCTGTCTGTATATCCATTTGTCTCTCTGTTCATCTATCTATATGTCTATATGTCTGTCTGTCTGCATATCCATCCATCCGTCCATCCATCTGTCTGTCTGTATATCCATTTGTCTCTCTGTTCATCTATCTATATGTCTATATGTCTGTCTGTCTGCATATCCATCCATCCGTCCATCCATCTGTCTGTCTGTATATCAATCTGTCCATCCATCTGTCTGTCTGTATATCCATCAGTCTGTCTGTCTGTCTGCCTGCATATCCATCCGTCCATCTATCTGTCTGTCTGTATATCAATCTGTCCATCCATCTGTCTGTCTGTATATCCATCCGTCTGTCTGTCTGTCTGTCTGTCTGTCTGCAAATCCATCCGTCCATCCATCTCTTTGTCTGTATATCCATCTGTCCATCCATCTGTCTATCTGTATATCCATCCGTCCATCCATCTGTCTGTTTGTCTATCTTTATGTCTATATGTCTGTCTGTATATCCATCCGTCCATCCATCTGTCTGACTGTATATCCATCCGTCCCTCTGTTCATCTATCTATATGTCTATATGTCTGTCTGTCTGTTTGTCTGTATATCCATCCATCCATCCGTCTGTCTGTCTGTCTGTCTGTCTGTCTGTCTGTCTGTCTGTCTGTCTGTCTGTCTGTCTGTCTGTCTGTCTGTCTGTCTGTATATCCATCCATTCGTCCATCCATCCATCTGTCTGTCTGTCTGTCTGTCTGTCTGTCTGTATATCTATCAATTCATCCGTCCGTCCATCTGTCTGTCTGTCTGTCTGTCTGTCTGTCTGTATATCCATCCATTCGTCCGTCCATCCATATGTCTGTCTGTTTGTCTATCTATGTCTTTATGTCTGTCTGTCCAGCTGTCTGTCTGTCTACCTATAAGTCTTTCTGTCTGTCTGTCTATCCATCTATCCGTTTGTCCATCTGTCTGTCTTTCTGTCTGTCTGTATATCCATCCGTCCATCAGTCTGTCTGTCTGTCTGTCTGTCTGTATGTCTGTATGTCTGTCTGTCTTTCTGTATATCCATCCGTCCATCCATCTGTCTGTCTGTGTATCTATTGTTATCATTATATCCATCCTTCCTTAGCAACAGTACAGAACAACCTAGGGTAGCAACCCCCTAGAAACTGCACAGCCTCACCCTATCAAGTTTAAAATACACTAGCAACAGCCTAGTTGGGCACAAAGCAGCACCCTTGCAAGCACCCATAATTCCGTTGTTCTAGCTCTCTGTCTTGACCTTTGACCTGTGCATGTGGTTTCTCAGCACCTGCAGTTGCCCAGCATAACAGAAGAAGGGATGGAAGAAGAGCATCTGAATCTGCTGAGTAAAACTCTGCTGGAGCGAGAGGCCGAGGAGATGTAATGCTTTATTCCTATTTAAGGACAGTGTTGTTGCCATGCATCTTGCTCACATCTTCATTTCTTTCTCTCAGTCTGGAGGAGAAGAAGACGTCTGCTCTGTCTCTGAGGTTTGAGGATCCTGATCTTGAGTCTCGCTACTCGGCAGAGAAGGAGAGACAGACGGGTGTTGCATTCAGCTGTTGTTGTGCTGTTCTGATCTTCACTTCAGCCATGGAAATCCTCATAGATCCTCAGTAAGTGAAGTATTTTACATCTAGTAAATGACTCACTGATTCAAATGATCCATTCACAGAGAGCCTCTAGTAAATGAATCACTGATTCAAATGATCCATTCACTGAGAGCCTCTAGTAAACGACTCACTGATTCAAATGATGCATTCAGAGATCGTATCCAATAAATGACTTACTGATTCACCTGATCTGATTAGAATGAGCTGTCAGTAAACGACTCACTGATTCACACGATCGATTAGAGTGAGCTTCCAATAAACGACTCACTGATTCATATGATCTGATTAGAGTGAGCTTCCAGTAATCGACTCACTGATTCACATGATCTGATTAGAGTGAGCTTCAAGTAAATGACTCACTGATGTACATAAAGCGATTACAGTGAGCTTCCAGTAAATGACTCACTGGTTCACACGATCCGATTAGAATGAGCTTCCAGTAAATGACTCACTGATTCAAATTATGCATTTAAAGAGAGTATCTTGTAAACGACTTACTGATTCACATGATTCATTTAGAATGTGTTGCCAGTAAGCAGCTCACTGATTCACATGATCAATTTAGAGTGAGTCTCCAGTAAACGACTCACTGATTCACATGATCCATTTAGAGTGAGTCTCCAGTAAACAACTCACTGATCACATGATCCATTTAGAGTGTGTTGCTAGTAAACGACTCACTGATTCACATGATCCATTTAAAGTGAACTTCCAGTAAACGACTCACTGATTCACACGATCCATTTAGAGTGAGTCTCCAGTAAATGACTCACTGATTCACATGATCTGTTTCGAGTGAGTCTCCAGTAAACGATTCCCTGATTCACATGATCTGTTGAGAGTGAGTCTCCGGTAAACAGTTCACTGATTCACATGATCTGTTTAGAGTGAGTCTCCAGTAAACAACTTAATGAATCAAATGATCCATTCAGAGCAGAGTGAGTGTCTAGTAAACTTAGTTATAGATTGAACCTTCAGTAAATGCTCTAGTAGTGCCTGATTTAGACCACCACTGCTAATATGACATGATTATTTTTGGATTCGTGTAACATTTTTATTGTAATTTTCAGGTATGCTGTAATGATGTCTTACTTAATTCTGCTTGATTTCTGACAGATTGATTGTGAATTATGTGACTCTGGCCATCGGTGAGCTGTTACTGCTGATTTTGACTTTGTGTTCACTAGCGGCCGTCTTTCCTCGAGTGAGTCCAGAATCACAGCAATAGTTGCAATGATGATAAAGTGAATAATATCTCTTATAGGTTAAAAAAAAAGAGAGAGGGAGCGAGGGATTGTTTTTTTCTTAATGGAAATACAATTGACAATATTAAAAATCCACCAAACTTGGCTCTTAGCTTTGGGCTGATATTATTTTTAATGCTACCTCATGTTGTTTAAACTGATCAGGACAATTATATGAAGGACACCATGAATGTTCATTTAGGTACCAAATAAAACAGTCCAGGAAATGTCAGTCTTTCACTGTTGAAGCTTAAAAACTAGCATGAGACATGCTAACAACATGTTGAATCGTACAAATGCAAGCAACATGCTAATTTATTTTAACAAAATGACAATCATGCAAAAAAAAAGCAAACAACAGCACGTTATTACATGTTAGAAAATTGTTACTTTGTGTTAGCAACATGATAACAGCATATGAATTCTTGTGCTAAAACATTATAGTTTATTCTCTGTACATGTAAACAAAGCTAACCATAAAAGAAACATGTTAGAAACATGCAAATTCACGCTACCCTTATGCTAAAATCATTATAGTTTATTCTCTATACACACAAACAATGCTAACCATATAAGAAACATGTTTACAACATGCTAATTCATGCTACCCTTATGCTAAAATCATTGTAGTTTATTCTCCATACATGCAAACAATGATAACCATATAAGAAACATGTTTACAACATGCTAATTCATGCTAGCCATATGCTAAAACATTGTAGTTTATTCTCTACACATGCAAACAATGCTAACCGTGTTAGAAACCTGATATCAACATGCTAATTCATGCTAGCCAAATGCTAAAATCATTATAGTTTTTCTACATACACACAAACAGTGATAATCATATAAGAAACATGTTAGCAACATAATAATTCATGATAGCCATATGCTAAAACACTAGTTTATTCTCCATACTCGCAAACAATGCTAACCATGTTAGAAACCTGATATCAACATGCTAATATATGGTAGCCATATGCTTAAACATTGTAGTTTATTCTCTACACATGCAAACAATGCTAACCGTGTTAGAAACCTGATATCAACATGCTAATTCATGCTAGCTAAATGCTAAAATCATTATAGTATATTCTCCATACATGCAAACAATGATACCATGTAAGAAACATGTTAGCAACATGCTAATTCATGCTAGCCATATGCTAAATACATTGCAGTGGATTCCCCACATACAAACAATGTCATATTAGAAACATGAGACCAACATGCTAATTCATGCTAGCCATATGCTAAAACATTGTAGTTTATTCTCCATACATACAAACAATGCCAACTATATCAGAAACATGAAACCAACATGCTAATCCATGCTAGTCATATGTTAAAACATATTTTTTGCTAAACACAGCTTTTTATGCAGACAATGTTAACAATATTAGAAACCTAATACCAACATGCTAATTCATGCAAGCTATATGCTAAAACATTGCCGTTTATTCTCAATACATGCAAACAATGCTAACCATATTAGAAACAAATCAACATGCTAATTCATGTGCTAAAAACACAATTTTTTCCATACATGCAAACAATGATAACCATATTAGAAACCTCATACCAACATGCTAATTCATGCTAGCCAAATGCTAAACAAACATTATAGTTTGTTCTTCATACATGCAAACAATGATAACCAATGCTAGCAACAATTTATGTTAATAACATTCTGACTCGTCTTAATATGTACTACCATGTTACGAACAAGCTAGCAACATGCTAATTTATTTACACAACTTTTACACCTTCACTAATTCTGTGTTGTGTATATCAGGTGTTTTCTCGGAGGCTGGTGTCGTTCTCGCAGTGGATCGACCGCACACGATGGGCTCGTAACACATGGGCCATGGCCGCTATATTTGTTTTGACCATGGCAGAGGTGGCCGATATGGTGAGACAGAACACACTTTCGCTCTTGTGTATCACTTTAAAAATGTGCACTTTTAACGTTGATCACCAGTTGGCACCATTACCCCTTAACTTAAAAAAAAGTTTCTGGTTTTTATATAAAGTATAAAAAAACTAATTAAATACATAAATACACATGTTTACTATGTTCTGAGGGCTGAGCTGCTTATTTAGATTTTTTGAGACATATCAAGATAAGTGCAAAGGTCTCTCTCTCTCTCTCTCTCTCTCACACACACACACACACACATATACAATACTCTATTTACTGTAACTCTATATAGAAGCCATAAACTAAACTTTCTTTGCTTCGCAACTGATGATCAGCAGCAAAAATTACACATTTTGCCTCTTCCCAAAAGAGAAAACCATCAACAATCAAGAATGCATGATAATATGTTGTCATGGCTTTGCAATCAAGAAATGTGAATATAATGGAAATTAATGGAGCAAAAACAGCCACCAACATAATGAGAGTGTAGTCAATTTGCCTAGATTGTTGAGTTTTTGAAAAAAAAAATGATGTGATATTTGCTGAATTTATATGCAATGCTATCACAATTTTGACATAAATGGCAAAAAACTGTTGCTTTAACGGGTATTACAGCAAAAAAAAACTTTTTTGCTTTTATCGTACTAAAACTCGATAGTCAGGCAAGGTCACTCCTGTTGTTGCCATGAGTCTGTTGACTAGGGGTGGGCTGATTGATCATTAGATAAAGGTTTTGTACCTTTCTATGTTTCATGAATTTTGAATATGGTAATAATAGTAATCATATAAGCACCAATAGTAGGCCTGAAGCCAGCCTGGTGAAAGGGGTGGTTCTCTTTTCTCAAAAAGTGGACCTTTTCGCAGTTATATGCCTCATTTTCTAGTTAATTATGAGATATAAATACTGCATTTTAGTGACATTTTAAGCACTATTCTTAGATGGATTAGCTTGTAGGATGGTCATTATAACCACCCTTTTGATATGCCAAAAATATTTCCTAAATATTTAGAATCAAGAAATATGAAAAATACTTCTTTTCAAAATACAAGTTTATTACATCATATATTATTATAAAAACTTTAATTTAAAGTTTTAAATTAGAAACTGAAGACTATTGTCATTTATTAGGCCAGGGGGGGCCAACCCTGTTCCTGGAGAGCCACCTTCCTGCAGATTTCAGTTGCTTCCCATATCAAACACACCTGAACCAATTAATTAGGACCTGAACACCATGTGATAATTACAGGCATGTGTGTTTGATATGGGTTGCAACTGAAATCTGCAGGAAGGTGGCTCTCCAGGAACAGGGTTGGCCACCCCTGTATTAGGCAAATAACTAAGTGGCCAGCACATTATGCTGTGCGCTTCAGCGCCATTTCTCCTCTGTTTTTGAGGTGATGTGCATAAGTAATCCTTTTATATGTCTGATGTGGTCCAAACACAGTGAATTATGTTTGATCAAACAAAAGAATAGTGAAATTTGAAAACAATGATCGGTCGCTGTGGCTTGTATAGCACCTCTCATCAGTTGGAATGCAATCCCTGCTGAAAAATCCAGCTTAAACCAGCCTAGGCTGGTTGGTTGGTTTTAGCTGGTCTTCCAGGCTGGTTTAAGAGGGGTTTTGGCCATTTCCAGGCTGGTTTCCAGCCATTTCCAGCCTGGTCTTAGCTGGTCAGGCTGGGAGATGACCAGCTAAAACCAGCTTGACCAGCCTAGCCAAGCTGGGAGCCCAGCCAAAACCAGCTATGTCCAGCTTAAACCAGGCTGGTCAAGCTGGTTTTTGTTGGATTTAGCTGGTCATTTTCCAGCCTGATCAGCTAAGACCAGGCTGGAAATGGCTGGAATGGCCAAAACCCCTCTAAAATTAGCCTGGAAGACCAGCTAAAACCAGCCTAGGCTGGTTTAAGCTAGATTTTTCAGCAGGGATAACTTTTGCATAGATTGTGGTAGAGACATTTTTCTTTTTTCCTATGATTACAGACATGTGCAGGAATCACCAAAACTAGTTACAGCACGCTAGACCGCACAGAACCTAAAAGATACACTTTCAAATTTGAGTTTATAAAAAAAAATCCAAAAGAGCCTTTTTTTTTTAGGTGTTTATTATAACACAGACAACATATACAGATATTTCAAAAACTTGCAATATTGTTTTATAAAAACTCAAAGGGTTTTCTTTAAAATGATATAAAATTTTTGCATTTACACCTCTGCATGTGGATTTGGGAAGCTTTTAAATTTGGGTAGGCAAAATCCAGGCGGAAATCCCCAAATAGCAGCAGAGTTTAACTGGTTAAACAAGGTTTGTGCAATGTTTTAGATATGATACTATATAGCCAATTTTGTTAAATTGTTCTGTAATTTTAACTTTGTGTATTGTATTTTACTTAAAGCGATTCAGAAAAAAAACACTAAAAATCACTATAATCACTATAAAATATTTAATGTCATTTAGAATCAAGCATTCCCACTGTAGTGTGTGTTATTGAACGTGGGCACAGATCTGTTCTCAGTCAAAGCAGTGTTTTTCTTGTGGTTTGTGTTCAGCTGAGCTGTGTTCAGCCTCCTCTGCTGCTGCTCAACTCTTCCTCCGGCGTGACGCTTGAGTCTCTGGGTAACGGTGGATGTGCTGAAAACCCCAAACACTATGGATATATTTCAGTGCTGTCGCTGGTGGCCACTGTCATGCTGGTCCAGCTCAGCCATGTGGTCAAGCTGGCACTCATGCTGCTGGTCACCATAGCAACAGGAGCTGTAAACATCCACAGCTGGATGTATATTTACGACATTTACGATTTCATCCGCTACCTGGACTACAGGTGAGACCAGCTCCAGTCTGAAATACATTGTGGATACTGTAAATTGATTGCATTTCAAGCGATGTCTGCCAAATGCATGAATATGTAATTGTGTCCTCAGGTATTCAGTGGTTCCAACCAGATATCTGCTGACTGTAATGATTATCATCATGATGTTGGGTTTCTACTACTTTGCACGTCACGTATGTCCAGCAAAAGCTAAATATACAGTTGAAGTCAGAATTATTAGAATTATTAATTAATTATTAAATATTTCCCCAGATGATGTTTAACAGAGGAAGGAATTTTTCAAAGTATTTCCTATAATAATTTTTCTTCTAGAGAAAGTCTTATTTGTTTTATTTCAGCTAGAGTAAAAGCAGTTTAAAAAACAATTTTAAGATCAATATTATTAGTCCCCTCAAGCAGTATATGGTTGCAACATAGGCTCATTCTGAAAACGTAGTCCTATATACGTTTCTGGAGGCCGCAAATTATGTAGCCAGAGGTACGTATGGCTGCATTTCATTTTTTAAACAATTGCTACGGGGCGGTATGATGCCATTCCTTTTCGCGCTTTCCAGCTGACCACTGTACGTCGGTGGACTTAAGATGCAGAGAGGAGTTGACTATGACGATGACGTTCGAGTCTGATGAAGAACGGTTCCAGAAAGCGTGTATGACTAAAACAGAAGCCAAAAAAAAACAAACAAAAAATAAGTAAATAGCAGGGTGAAAATGTGTTAAAATCTGAAAATGTGGTAAAAGTCAGGCGAGGGCTTTTTTTTTTCTGGATGGCTTTAGAAAATTGTTGGTTGGGTTGAGGGAAGTGGGTGGGCAGGTAAATCAATAACATTAGTTTTGGACAAAATTTTATAAAATTGGAAGGAAGATGGTGGGTCAGTCTTTTGGTCAGTCAGTCAGTCAAACAGTAAGTCAACAGCGGCCTCTGGTGGGTTTATGTGAAAACAGCAGGCGCGAATGACACTCATGTAAGAAATTTCTCACTAATTTGAGATCTGAAAAAGCGTACACAATGGCCTCCCGTGGACTTTTAAAAACAAAATCTGTAAAAATACGTACCTTCTGGAGCCAGGGCTTGATTTTACTGATTTTCACCTCAGTTTACAGATTTTATCTCAACCGCCGTCCTCCACCATCCGCTGTTTATTTCACTTTCTTCCGCAACTCCCCAACCCCCTTCACTTTCTTCCGTGACAAATCCCCCCGCTCTTCACTTTTGTCTGCGACACTCCTCCGCCATCCAACAGCCCCATCTCGTGCGCGGCACCTCTACATCCTTGGGTAACATGGCGGATCCGTTACCCCAATCTGTTCAGGGACCTCGCAATTCACAAATTAAGCACTGCCAGGGACGTATTTGGCAGCTTCCAGAAATGTATATAGAGGTATGTTTTCAGAATGAGTCTGGGTTGCATTTTTACATTTATTTACAGAACAACCCACCGTTATACAATGACTTGCCTAATTAATCTAACTTGCCTGATTAACCTAATTAAGCATTTAAATGTCACTTTAAGCTGAATACAAGTATCTTTAAAAAAATGTAAAATATTATATACTGTCATAATGGCAAAGATAAAAGAAATCTGCATTAGTTAGATATTAGTTATTATAACTATTATGTTTAGAAAAAAAAAACTTATTTCCGTTGAACAGAAATTAGGGAACAATATACAGGGGGGCTAATAATTCTGACTTCAACTGTCTATATATATATACAGTCTATCTATAAATCTGCTCTGGCATGCTAGTTCTGGCTTTTGTCCCCGTGTCAGGTGGAAAGACAGTCTCGTAAGCTCTTTCTGTGGAAAATTGAGGTGACTGATCAGAAGGAGAAAGTGTATGAAATGAGGACATACAACGAGGCGCTGGTCACAAATATGCTTCCCGAACACGTGGCCAAACACTTCTTGGGCTCCAAGAAGCGAGATGAGGTGTGCATCAAAACTTGTTTGTTGTCATGGGATGAAAAAGTAAAAATGACTGTGACTTTATTTTTACAATTCTGTCTTTTTTCATAATGAAAAATTTAATAAACATTTAGTAAATATGTTTTTTTTTTTTATTAAATGTGACTTTGATTTAACTTTCACAGTTCTTATTTTCTTTATGTTTAAGAGTCTACATTTCATAATTGAGAATTGACATTTCTGAACTGTCCCTTTAATAAACGTGCAGACTGATGTTTATTTGTCTGTTGCAGGAGCTTTACAGTCAGTCGTATGATGAGATCGGCGTGATGTTTGCCTCTATTCCCAACTTCTCCGACTTTTACACAGAGGAGAGTATAAACAACGGAGGGCTTGAATGCCTGAGAATCCTTAATGAGATCATCTCTGACTTTGATAGCGTGAGTCGCTCTAGTTTTTCATTTTATTTATTTATTTATTGACTTTTTTTTTTTTTTACAAAGAATGTGCCATGAAGTCTTGTCCAAAGGTACTACAAAAATTATAAACAATAATAGCAAATTGGGCTGCACAATGTACGTTCGCCTCACAGCAAGTAGGTCGCTGTTTCGAGATATCGCCACTCAGCCTTTTAAAACTTCTTTTTGACCTCAAACGAAAAAGAAATTATTTTACTGGAGCCTTTATATGTCAAAAAGATGATCTTTACGTGTGCAATGTTTTTTTTTCTTATGTAAAGCTTCTGGATCGCACGGAATTTCGCCACATTACAAAGATCAAGACCATCGGCAGCACATACATGGCAGCGTCAGGAGTCACGCCGGAGAGCAACACTAATGGATACGCTGACCGCAAGGTAAAACCGAAAACACGCACTAGACACCAAGCAATTTTGTGTTTAACACCAGAACTACCGAGGTGGTCATTATTTTTTGCAATTTAATAACTTTGTTGATATAAAACACAAATCTGTAATTCCCTGACTTTGACTAAATATGTTTTTATTTTCCTTTTAATATTGTTATTTTATTAAAATGACAAAACACAAATAAGATTCCTTATTTCTACAAAGAACTACCATAGCGATCAAAATAACCACATGCATTTCAGATGCGTGCTACTTTTTCCTGGGACTTTGCATATATGTGTGCCTCTGTTGCCTAGCAACTTCCTGCTATCAAAACCATAACTTTATATTGGCAAAAACATAACTTTACTTTAGATATGTCTTACAAAAGCGCGAAATGGGTTTCTCTCCTGTTTGAGAAACTGAAAATGAAAGTGAGTCGTGGGCATTTGTGGGTGGTTTAACATAGACTAACTATACATTTATAGTAATACCAACTGTAATACTGTAATACCAAAAAAGATTGTATTTTTAGTGTGATGATTTAATATAATTAAATCACAGACATTCAAAGCTTAATTTTAATATCTCAATAGAAACTTGAAATGCAAATAGTATGTGTCAATATGACGTACTATACGAGTTGTTCAGAATGGTGCATTTTTTTTATTCAATGCTTGACATAATCTCTACTGAAACATGAAGAGAGGGCGGGGGAAGTAGCTCCTCCCCTTGAAGAAAAACATCCAATAGCCTTTTGTTTAATCACAGCTTTGCCAGTGAGCTGATCTGGAATGCGTTTATTGTACGGAGCGTTTCTGTCAGCGCTTATACTTCACTGGTTCAGAGGTTGCATATGAAAGGCGACGATCGACGCACAGCTTTAATGTAAAGAAAGTGGGATAGAATGGTAAAATACGTGAGAATTTCGGCAAAAACAGGAGGGTTAACATGAATGAAGTGATCAGGAAGTCCTTGTGGAGAAACAGTTTTGCTAGATAACACAAAACATCTTTGCGAGGGAACGCAAAGAAAAACTTTAAAACGTTTTCCTATCACTCATTTTTTTTTCTTCCACCTATTTTTTTTCCCACCATCACGTCCCTTCCGGGTCTCCGTAATTTGGACCCCTGAAATGGAGGAAAAACTAGTGTAAATTTGACAGGAGCACCTGTGTGTGTTTGACATGTCATCTGAGCAATATCACAACCGGGCCAAAAAAGAAAAAAATTGAGGAGAAACTGTTAATTCCCTTTAAAATCCAGGTGAGCAAAATAAGTACACTTTCTACCCCACTAAAGCCTTCTTTTTTTCATTAGTTTATAACGAAACATATATTACAAGACCTCGCATTGTTTCCATGTCGCTTCTTGCTTGTGTTTGGTTGTGAGACATTGTAAAGTCATGCAGTGTGAAACCCCTGTCAACGATCCATCTTGCAGTGTAAACATAGCTGCGATTGAACGCAAGCCCAGATGCTCATGCAGTGTGAAAACATCCGTGACACGACTGCTTTGAAAATCATGCTTTCTAAACTCTGCATTAAAGATATTTTTAAAACCAACTTACTGATACTAACATCTAATTAAAGTTTTAAAGATTCATTTGCCGCTGCGCTAGTAACACACTGGGTACATCTGCTGGTTACAAGGAGGTAATGCCTAATGAAAACCAAAAAAAATACAGTAAAAATAACATTGTTGTCATTTGTCAGTGTGGACTCAAATATATGTATTGTATTTATTACATTTATTATAGTTATAGTTATCGTGCTTGGTGTGAACGTGCCTTTAGATTCTTTTTAACGCAAAAAAATTCCTGGGTAGACTGTAATAGGGTCTATGCACAGCTAGTTTTTTCAGTCAGTGATAAATTTGCGGTGAAAGGTTTATGTGACTGTTTTCAATTTCATAAGCTACCTTTTACAGCATCGATGTTGTGATGTAATTAAAATACAATCGATTGAATAAACTCAAGCATTCATTTAGTTAAACAAGATGAAAGCAAGTGGCGTTAGAAGCAGCAGGCTAGCAGAGAAACTCCATTGAAAATAGTGAGGTAGATCAAATTTCCGTATTTTAAAGACATGGCTGGGAAAAATATAATTTAATGCAGTGCTTCTTGTCCAGTCTGAGACAGACTTTATATCGTATATCAATCAGACAGTGAAGATTGCTGAGTTAAAAAAAAATCAGATCTTAAACGTGCCGATTCTGCATGACAGTTGTTGTGAATTTCTCTATCCGGGTCACGGCACCAAAACTGTTTTGAAATTCTAAGACGAGCCAAAAACCAGGGAAAACTTTTGGGTATCTTCAAAGCAGAATGCTTTAAGTATCTCAGCGTCGCTGTGGCATCATCGAAAGAACTCTGAACTAGTAGAGCAGACATCTAACACCTAAACTAAGCATGCAAATGAATTGTTGTTGTCAGCAGGGTACCCATTCACGATACCTTTTAGCATGAAAACAATGTGTGCAAATGGTGTACTGGAATCAGAACCCGTCCAGCCAGTTGACCAGCTTGAAAGTATCACTCAAAAGACAAAAGCAGAGTCATTGAGATTATGTTTTTAGCATTTGCATCACTTTGGCACAGTCAGTGCTCAGGAAATCAAAATATTTTAAGGTCTGTCACACCTTAGCTAGAGTTTGAATGAAATGGGCTAATTAAAAAAAATAATAAAGAATATTATTTTTCAGTTATATATAGATTAATGCTAATTTGGAACAAGATTATATAAATTTATATTCCCACACAGTTCACCGGAAAGCGCTAAGGCTGGCTGACTAAAAGTTAAAATGTGCATACATTGAGCTTGTGACATATTTATAATTATGATGATTATTATGACTTGTGTGTGTGTGTGATACAGATAGAGGATCAGTCCCTCCTGGATCGCTGGCAACACTTCGCTGATTTGGCAGATTTTGCGCTTGCTATGAAAGTGATGCTTGGAAATCTAAACAAGCAGTCGTTCAATAACTTCATGCTGCGCATCGGTGAGCAAACCTCTGTCTGAACTACCGCTCTGTGTTATTTGAGCATGTGTGGTTTGGGCGTGCTGTTTATGTGTGTTTTATCATCAGGTCTGAATAAGGGAAGTGTTTTAGCTGGAGTTATCGGCGCTCGTAAACCTCATTTCGATATTTGGGGAAACACTGTGAACGTGGCCAGCCGTATGGAGTCCACTGGGGTTATGGGAAACATACAGGTAATATAAGCATTATTTATATCTATATGTAGAATGTTTAATTGAAGACTTTTATTTTCATGTAAGTATTTAATGTTTGGCTGGACATTCTTATGTCAATATTTTTAATATTGCTCTATATTTTATTATTTGATTTTTTTAAACAATGGACCTTTTGACAGTCTTAACACATGTACTTTTTTCATTTTATTGTAAACATATTTAATGGATTTAATATTTACTATATTAAATAAGTATTAATCAAATATATTGATTTCTTAAATCTTTATGAAAATATTTAATAATTAATATTTCATGTAATTATGTGTGTATTACTATATATTTTTCTTTAATAAAGCTAAAATATTGTACTATATATTATAAAATGTTTATTATAAATGTGTTTAATATTTACTATATAACATATTAAATGATTATTGATATTTATTATTATAATTTTATATGTATGTATGTATGTATGTATGTATGTATGTATGTATATATATATATATATATATATATATATATATAGCGTTGATGTGTGTATATACAGTGTACACTCACCGGCCACTTTAATAGGTACACCTGTCCAACTGCTCATTAGCGTAACTTTCTAATCAGCCAATCACATGGCAGCAACTCAATGCATTTAAGCATGTAGACATGGTCAAAACGATCTGCTGTAGTTCAAACCGAGCATCAGAATGGAGAAGAAAGGTGATTTAAGTGATTTTGAACATGGCATGGTTGTTGGAGCCAGACGAGCTGGTTTGAGTATTTCAGAAACAGCTGATCTACTGGGATTTTCACGCACAACCATCTCTAGGGTTTACAGAGAATGGTCTGAAAAAGAGAAAATATCCAGTGAGCGGCAGTTCTGTGGCCGCAAATGCCTTGTTGATGCCCGAGGTCAGAGGAGACAGGCCACTGTACTCAAATGACCTCCACAGTCACCAGGTCTCAATCCAATAGAGCACCTTTGGGATTTGGTGGAAACGGGAGATTGGCATTATGGATGTGCAGCCGACAAATCTGCAGCAACTGTGTGATGCTATCATGTCAATATGGAGCAAACTCTCTAAGGAATATTTCCAGTACCTTGTTGAATCTATGCCACAAAAGTTTAAGACAGTTTTGTATGCAAAAGGGGGTCAACCCAGTATTAGTAAGACATACTTAATAAAGTGGCCTGTAAAGTGTGTATCCACACTATATATCTTTTTCTTCTTCGTTTTTTACTTATCTTTTATTTATGTCTCAAATAGTATTACACTTTCATCAGATGCATGTCAGACACCATACATCTTCTGAATAACACTCATTTGTATAAGCACACATACATCCACTTTCTCTTTCAGCCACATATACAATCCTACGTATACTGTATGTGTTAGCGTTCACTTATGATTTGAGTCACTGTAATAATAGCATGTAATGACATGTAATGGCAAAACTAGCCTGATTTCATGTACTTAAATCAAAACTAACCATATTGATTTTGTTAGCTCACATTGCTAGTTTTGTGGTGAACAATTATTCTGTGTAGGTAATCTAAAATTGTAATATGAAAATGCTCTTCCTGTTTGTTTTCAGTTAAATGATCAGATTATTTAGGGGCATGGCTAACATACTTAACCATACCTTTCCAACCGTCAGTTTTTACACCTAACAGAAATGGTGAGGAGGAGGTGTCTGCTAGGCTGTAATAACGCTCCCCAAACCCTTATCCCAATCTTTCTGAATGAAATGCCTACTTTACTTCATCCAATCAGCTCGCAGTAGAAAAAACAAGCCACACTCACTGTTTTCTCATCTATTATTTTGTTTCTCAAGGAACTGTGTCACAATTCGAATAACAACTTTAAGGCACACATCAGGAATGTTCTTTGCATCTCTGTAATAGTGTTTTGTTGTGTTGTTCCTCCACAGGTGGTGGAGGACTGCTATAACATCCTGAAGGAGTACGGTTTTCGTTTCGTCAGAAGAGGACCCATCTACGTCAAAGGAAAAGGAGAACTGCTGACTTTCTTCATGAAGGGCAAAGACCCTGTCGAGAAGACGAACGGCATGACTCTCCCACATCAGATACAAGGCAAATCTTGAGATCAGGAAGAAAAAAAGGACATTGTTGCTTTATTTTATATGACTTTTATAGGGCTTTTAACTTTTTTGTTGACATAAAAGTGGAAAGGGGACAGTGGGTTTCTGTGAAGTCTGCAGCTCATGCACTACCCAAAAGGAAAATTACACATTTAAAGGAATTAAAATTGCACTATTTTGAAAATAGGTTTATTAACTGCTCAACTAGAGGTTAAACAGGTGAGTTTTATCAATTTTAAATCCATTTAAATCCATCAGCCGATCTCCGGGTGTAGCAGGAGCACTTTTAGGTTAGCATAGTTCATTGAGTCGGATTAAACCATTAGCATCTGCCCAAAAATAACCAAAGAGTTTAGATAATTTTCCTATTTAAAGCCTGATCTTTCTGCAGTTACATCATGTACTGAAACCAACAGAAAATTAAGTTATAAATGAAAAGTTCAGATGCAAAACCTCTAAGTGCCGTCTGAAATTTTGATCGAAAATTAATATTGTTCTCAGCCTCCTTTGTTTATATTGATATTTAAAAGACCCTTTAAACTTAAAGACTTCTCGAAATGTCTTTAGGAATTTTTGCCCATTCCTCTTTGCAGTACCTCTCAAGCTCTATCAGGTTGGATGGGAAGCGACGGTGTACAGCAATTTTCAGATATCTCCCAAGATGTTCAATAGGATTTAGGTCTGGGCTCTGGCTGGGCCACTCAAGGACATTTACCAAGTTGTTGTGAAGCCACTCCATTGATATTTTGGCGGTGTGCTTTGGGTCCTTGTCCTGCTGAAAGATGAACCTTCGCCCCAGTCTGAGGTCAAGAGCATTCTGAAGCAGGTTTTCATTCAGGATGTGTCTGTACATTGCTGCATTCATCTTTCCCTCTATCCTGACTAGTCTTCCAGTTCCTGCTGCTGAAAAAACATCCCCACAGCATGATGCTGCCACCACCATTCTTCACTGTAGAGATGGTTTTAGCTTGGTGATAAATGGTGCCTGGTTTTCTCTAAACGTAACGCCTGGCATTCACTCCAAAGAGTTCCAAGAGTTCCAGAGAATTCTGTTTCTTATTATCTGACTTTGAGAGTCCTTCAGATGCCTTTTGGCAAATTCCAGGCGGGGAGTGACGTCCGTCTGGCCACTCTACCATACAGGCCTGATTAGAGGATTGCTGCACAGATGGTTGTCCTTCTGTAAGGTTCTCCTCTTTCCACAGAAGAACGCTGGAGCTCAGACAGAGTGACCATTACCTCCCTTCCTAAGGCCATTCTCCCCTGATCACTCAGCTTAGATGGCCGGCCAGCTCTAGGAAGAGTCCTGGTGGTTAAACATCTTCCACTCACGGATGATGGAGGCCACTGTGCTTGTTGGAACTTTCAGAGCAGCAGAAATGTTTCTGTAACCTTCCCCAGGTTTGAGCCTCAAGACAATCCTGTCTCTGAGGTCTACAGACAATTCCTTTGTCTTCATGCTTGGTTTGTGCTTTGACATGCACTGCCAACCCTGGGACCTTATATAGACAGCTGTATGCCTTTTCAAATCATGTCCAATCAACTGAATTGACCACAGGGGAACTCCAATGAAGCTGCTGAAACATCTCAAGAATGAACAGTGGAAACAGAATGTAGCTGAGCTCAACGTAGAGCTTTACGGCACAGGCTGTCAATACTGATGTAAATCTGATTTTTCAGGTTTTTTTATTTGTAATAAATTTGCAACAATTTCAAAAACTCTTTTTTCACATTGTCATTATGGGGTATTGTGTGTAGAATTTTGAGGAAACAAATGAATTTAATCCATTTTGGAATAAGGCTGAAACAAAAAATGAGGAAAAATTGAATCGCTATGAATACTTTCCGTATTCGCTGTATACGTATAGTGATACAGCTAGGAACTATACTCTTATTCTGGTGTAATAATCAAAACACTAATCATTATTACACCAGAATGAGAGTATAGTTTCTCACCATATCAGCCTAGAAAATAGCCACTTTAATTGTCCATTACTTTTAGTACACGATGTAACTATACTGAAGAGTCAAACTTAAAATAGTAAAATGATCAAAACTATTTCTGTTAAATTTTTGAGTAGAGATGCTAATGGTCTAATCCGATTCAATGTTCTATGCTAAGCTATGCTAAAATGCTACTCATAAGACAAGGAGATTGGCTGAATGGATTTAAAAGGGGTCAAACTCAACTGTTTAGATCTAGCTGAGTTGTAAAATTTTATTTAAAAAAAAGTGAAGCATTCTTTCAGACACATTCACAGCCAAAGGTTGTATTATCCCTAAAAAATCTGTCATTTATTGTATTTTAAAAACACACACTACAATCATTGTGACAGGTCACAAATGCGCTTTCTGTTATGCTTTTCATATTTAAACCCAAACTACGCTAAAATGCTGATCAATAGCGTATTTTCTGAAAAAATGCTGGGGTGTCATATCACAATATTAGGGTTAAATAAGGACAAACCTAATGTTGGCTTAGTTTCATTTATAAATTTTCCTTCGGCTTAGTCTTTTTATTCATCAGGGGTCACCACAGCGGAATAAACCGCCAACTTATTTAGCATATGTTTTTCACAGTGGATGGCCTTCCAGCTGCAACCCAGTACTGGGTAAGACCCATAGACACTCATACACTACGGCCAATTTAGTTTATTCAATTCACCTATAGCGCATGTGTATGGACTGTGGGGGAAACCGGAGCACCCGAAGGGAAACCCACACCAACACGGGGAGAACATGCAAACTCCAGACAGAAATGCCAACTGGCCCAGCCAGGACTCTAACCAGCGACCTTCTTGCTGTGAGGCGACAGTGCTAACCGTTGAGTCACTGTGCCGCCCATTGGATTAATTTTTTCAATTATATTTTACTGACACGTTTTTAACACAACAGATTTGTCCATATTTGACCCAGTTATGGGTTCCGACAAGTCAACAACCCAGAATTTTTAGAGAGGTATGCATTAATATGATAAGGCTGGGAAACTTAGGTCACATTAAACAACGAATTGTCATTTGTAATGAATGATTGTTATTGTTGGCTTTATCCAGCACATACAATGAAGTCTAAATGAGCAGGATCATGAACAAATGACATGAAATATGTTGTATATCATTAATTTTTTTCTATTAAGAGAGCATTGACAGAAGCAGTTATTTTTATTTTATCGATAGCTTTAGCTGCGATCATCACACGGACAGTTTCATTGGCATATTTTTATTTACTAAATGGCATTTTTAACAATCAAACATAAGTAGCTCAATCTGTCTGATATTTCACTGCTTTCACTCATAACATTCAGTATGTCTTGTGTTTATTCTGTCAAACTCTTGGTTATAGATCAGATTATTATGGCTCTGTTTAGTAGATTTAGTGGATTTTAGCATTTTATGCCGTTTTCAGTGTTTTATTGTTTATCAAAATGGGAGAAATGTTTTAATGACTCTTAACAAGGTACATTAAACAGAGCCAAACTTGACTTTCTTCTTGTTGTGTTTTAATAATACATTTAATGATTTAGTACACTCTTAGAAATAAAGGTACCTGATCTGTCACGGGTGGTACCTTTTCAATAGGTACAAATTTGTACCTTAAAGGTCCATATTAATACCTCAAGGGTACATATTAGTATCTAAAATGTACAAAGGTGTTCTTCTTAAATTTTTTAAGTACTAATATATACTTTTGAGGTACTAATATGGACTCTTTAAGTACAAATGTGTACCTTTTGAAAAGGTACCACCCCAGTGACAGCTCGCGTACCTTTATTTCTGAGAGTGTAGGGTAGTAATGCTGACTAGAATATTAATACATAACTTGAAATTATTTGACGGTTGAAGTAGGCCTGTCACAATAAGGAATTATTGTTGTGTGACTTATTGTCAGAAATTGTTGATATTATTGTCATTTTGAGATCATTTTTGCCACTGTTTATATAAGCACTATATAATAGCATAATAATGCAAATAGCCATAAACACTTTAAAATACTTAGCATTCTTAAGGTTATTTAGATTCTATAATTTGATGTTAAAAAGGTAAATGTCCTATTATATACTATTAAATGTGCTATTAGGTAAATGCCCAATTGTTAACTTTGACACAGATTAGCTAGAATGTAAATGTCATTATAAAATGGCTTTAATGTTATTAGTGAATTTGTAAATATATAATTCAATTCAATTCACCTTTATTTCTATATTGCGTTTACAATGTGGATTGTGTCAAAGCAGCTTAACGTGGAAGTTCTAGTAGATTGAAACTGTGTCAGTCCAGTTTTCAGAGTTTAAATTCAGTTTAGCTCAGAACCATGCAAGCCAGTGACAACAGTGGCGAGGAAAAAAACTTCACCAGTTGGCGAAAGTGAGGAAAAAACCTCGAAAGAAACCAAGGTTAGATTGTAACGAGACAGAAGGTTGGTTAGATAAACATGAGCTAGATTATTTAAAGCTTTATATGTAAGAAGCAATAAATTCAATACAGAACTTAACAGGCAGCCAGTGTAAGGAGGATAAAATTGGGGTGATATGATCATATTTTCTAGACCTGGTAAGAACTCTGGCTGCTGCATTTTGTACTAGCTGAAGTTTGTTAATAGAGGATGCTGGGCAGCCAGCAAACAGCATTAGCTCCAGTAATCCAGCCTAGAAGTCCTAAAAGCAGGGATTAGGTTTTCTGCATCTGAGATGGATAGCATACTTTGTAATTTTATCAATATTTATCAGATGAAAGAAGGCAGTTTTTGTGACATGAGAAATATGATTTTCAAAAGTTAAATTGGTGTCTTATATGACACCCAGATCTTTTATAGTAGAGCTAACGCTAACTTTGTATCCCTCTAATTGCAGATCGAGTTGCGAGATCTGCTGTGTACAGGATTTTGGACCAATAAGTAATAATTCTGTTTTGTCTGAGTTTAAGAGAAGAAAATTGTTGTTAACTTAGACAGTTTAGACAGTTCAGACAGCTCATCAGTACTATGAACTTACATCAATCAAACTAACTAAAATATGAAGTTTAACTTTGTATAACTTAAAAATTTTACTTAAAACCAGATTAACTATTTAAAATCAGTTGAAGCAACATAAAATGTCTTGACTTTTTATTAATCTACGATAGATAGATAGATAGATAGATAGATAGATAGATAGATAGATAGATAGATAGATAGATAGATAGATAGATAGATAGATAATCTGTGATCTCTATAAATAATTATGATTAATGGTGAATTAATATTCTCTTCAGTAAGATTCTAACTTATGTGCGCCCTCTTTTGACTGGAGCACCGGCCGGAAGTGAGGCAGCGGGGGAATGTCCGGTGACGTCAGAGCGTCTGAACGCCATTAGATCTGCAGCTGTTTGGAGAGAAACAACAACAACACGAACGACCCTCTGCACGGAACTCGCTCTGGACCGCGGGAGCCCGACGCCTCTTTCCCTCCACCGGGCTTCACCGGCTTCTAACCACGGCCGCTCTCGGTGAGGAAACTCTGGCCTCCGCTTCCTCCTCCTCCGACTCGGACACCGGTGGAGCGTCGCCGCCCCCGCGGAAGAAGCACCGAGCCTCGGCGGCGGAGGGAGTAGGAGAGCCCGGGGCTTCAGCAGGCCTACTGTCAGCGACCCACCTTAGCCGAACCGGCGCAAACATGCAGTCAAACGGGACCGGACAGGAGCAGAACCACCCCGCGAACACGCAAAACGGAGATGCCAACGGCCTCCAGAGCAATGCGGGCTCAGCATCGGGGGCCTCCGGGACGGGTTCAGGATCCCTGAAGAAAAAGAAGCGGCTGTCCCAGGCGGAGGAGGACGTGATCCGCCTTATTGGACAGCATCTGCACGGGTTAGGGCTGAAGTAAGTGTCGCGGTAACCCAGAAGCACAACCGGGCCGAGTCGGTTCTGGTTCAACCCGGTTTGACAGATCGAGCGCAAGCACGCAGACGTTATGTGATCGACGAAGCGAGTGAACGACATCGATTTTTAAGCATCGTAATTTATGACAGTCCAAAACATCTCACTATTATAACATACTGCACACATTTGTATTATTCAACTCGTAATCGGACTGATGCACACAAAGAATGATGCGGTCACAGATGACAGCTGCTGTGACATATCTTTTGTCAGCGGCCGAAGGCATATTTATTATGAAATATGCTGATGGATTTATTAAAATCTTGCGTCTTTTTAATGTCAGCGCTTTGTTTATGCGTGTTAACATGACATCAAATCATTATGACATTCTCTGTCTCTATGCTTTTTAATGGCGGCCCTGGAATGCGCGTGTGTGTGTGTGTAGCAGCTGGTTTACATTAGAAAGAAGCCTGCATCTAATTTTAGTGAAGATCTGCTAAAGTCATCAGCTGCCATTCAGATTCAAGCACTGAACATGAATCCTGAATAATCTGCGTCAAAATCTGTGTGTTTGAACACACACACACACTCACACACACAAATGAGGTCTGGACTTACAAGATGAGACGAAAACATGAAGAAAACTGAAAACATCCATCCCCTCCCCCTCTCTCTCCCTCATACACACACACACACATACACACACACACACACTCTCTTTTGTAATCATAGCATGACGTCACTCAGTGAGACCCTGCATTCAAAACACTTTCACACTGTTCTGGAAACCTTCACCTGTCTACAGTCAGCTTCATCAACATGTTTGAGCTCGTCTGCCTTTGTTCACCTAAAAATGGGCTACTGCATGTCAAAGTAAGTCAACATGTGACATAAGAGTCCAGTTTATCTCCTGTCAGCTGTTATAATCACACAAATACACAAAATACATTTTAATGGTGATTATTTTTATTTAATAAGACGGCTAGTTATGTTACATTTATGAGACAATAATCAATATTAGAGATGCAACTTGTTAATAATTAACTCTATTAGATAACGTTGGTTTTATATGCGCACATTCGTTTATTTGTGTACAGTGACCACCTGTGACATGCTTTCTAAATTGTTTACTTTGAATATTCGGTTTGAAATCGCATGCAAGTATGACTTCAAAATAACATTAGCACTATTTAATCAACTGTAAACAATGTTGTAATTTGATAGTCATTGGCTGCTAACAGTGGTGGAAAGAGTACTGAAAAATCAAACTTTAGTAAAAGTACCATTACTTGCCTAATAATGTAGTTCCATTAAAAGTATCTATTGTAAATATTACTCAAAGTATGAGTAAAAAGTAGAGCGTTCAAAAGTACTCGAATAGTGAGTATTTTGCTGTAAAAAGCTGATGCATTTACATGTAATTTGTGCATGTGTGTGTAAACGTAACATTCTGTAGTGCGTTTAGTTATTGCCCAGCAGGCACACAACATCATAAGACGTTATTAGGTTAGATTTAGGTTGTGATGTCAGGTGAACAAAATTCAATGTCTAGGGACAACGCTACTTTGTCCAGCAATGACATTGGTATTTGGTTGATTTTTAGGTTGTGTTAGAAAGTGCCCAAAATCCAACATCTTAAACCAATGTCATGTTGACATCAAATACTGGCATTTATTCGTCATGTATGGCAACCAAAATCCAACATCTGATAGACGTCATAGTGGTAATATCCACACAACATCAAGCTGTTACATCATTAGACATTGATATTTGGTTCATTTTAGGATGGACGCTGGACATTGACATCGGCCTGACGTTGGGTTCTTTTGTCTACACGACGTCTCCTTGACGTCACGGTACAACATCAATCTGACGTCATGTTGACATCTTGTGCCTGCTGGGTGTTTAAGGCTGTTTCGGTCATCATACAGTAAACTTATGTCATCTTCTCATCAGTGACATGCATCTAAACAGTCTCTGGGTCATTGTGTGTAAAGATGTTGGACATATTGGAAACTTTTAGTGCTTCCAAACAGTTTACTTCAATTATAAATCGCCCATGTCTTGAGGTAGTTCATTATGATGCGATTTATCTTCTGTGTGTGATTTAATTGGACAGGAATCACAGGACTGAAGAAAATTAAAGTAGTGAAGTAAAAGTACAGATACATCACTAAAAATGTACTCAAGGTAAAGTAAAAGTACACCATTTTAAAACTACTTAGTACAATTTCTGAGAAAAACTGCTCAATTACAGTTATTTTCTTGTTACTTTACACCACTGGCTGCTAATATGATTTCACTATGTAGAATGTGCAAAAATACTTTGCTGAAATTAAATTATTAAAGAAAAGGTCTGATTTTTATGAATATGGTACCAGCTTTACTCCATTATTAAGATTCTTTATGCAAGATGAGATGCAAGCAGTACTCCGATGTAAATTAAAAATGCTTTAGAAACACAGTCGCTCCCCTGCTGTCCAAAGCCACATCTCCTGATATCACAAATGCGCACCGTAAAGATTACAACGGACAACTCAATAGTTCATGTCATTCGCCTGTTTGAAAACTTTAAAGTACTACTATTCTGATGGAATAACTGTATTATATCTAGCACGTTTTCAGGTGTGTAGCAAGCAGATTTTTTCATAATGTGTAATATCTCATGCATGCAAGGATCGCTGCTCACTCTCTCATGTGCTTTGTCCTAAAGCAACTACTGTATGCTTAGTGTTTGGCTTGCGACGTTCAGGAATTACACTTATTACCAAGCCAAACTTGCATGCTGATTCAGAGCGAACACAGGTACTCAGCGCGGCACAGGTTGTTATTGTGCAAAAATGAATCAATGTGATGTGAATATAAAACCAACTTCACCCCAGTAAAGCAGGCTAGGCGGAATAGCGCTAATTGCTGATGATTTGTTGTTAAACTAAATAAATTATACATTATCGATGCTGTATAAAACTGAACATAGTCACATCAATCTTTCGCAACACTGTGCATATAACCCATTCGTAAAACCACACAATCTCCGTCAGCTTTGCGTGACTAAAATAGTTTTAAAACAGAGAACATTACCTGTCTAAAGGAAATAGTTCAGCCATGGTGTCATGCTTTCCTCAATGTGCAAAAGTAACTCCAATATTGATTCAGGTTCTTTTAAAATTTTGATTCAGCATTTTTTTTTTTTTTTACCACTGTCACTCTCTCGAGTGCACGTGCAAACGGCGGATCTGCGTGAAAGGCTGTGCAGATGTGTAAATCTACATTTGTTGACAGACAGTTTGGGCTACTCATCAGAATTATGGGAATTGTCGGCCAGACAAATTTTAATTGGATGGACAGTTTTTTAGTTTTCTGCCTCACCCAGAATTTAAAAATACATATAAATACATTTAGATCATTTACTTTAATCATTGTGAAGTGACTTTCAACCAGCACAACAAACAAAAGATGTTTCTGAAGACAATCAACCTCTGCACCTTTAATTCTCAAAACTCTAAAAATACAAGGGTAGCAGGAAAAAAAGTTATGCAGAGGATAAAAAATATTAATTTATAAAGAATAAAACAAGTCAGAAACATTGTAAATATAAAACCGATGCAAAAATACACACACACACACACACCTCACAAATAGGCAAGTCTAAAAAAGTAAGGCTTCAGGGATGCTTTAAACTCTTAAAAAGATTCTGCGTGCCTAATAATATAAGGGAGTGAGTTCCAGAGTTTTGGAACAGTAGAAGAAAACGCACGGTCATTTTCCAAATATTGAATTTTATTTGTATGCGTTTAACTACGAATAAAAATATATAGTTATTGACATTAATTGAAAAAAATTGTAACCACAACTGAACCATGGTTTTGCTGTGCTTATATTTTAACCATGAGACTTGTAGTGTGCATGTGCAAATGTTAATCAGTGCACCAAAAAAAACATGGTGGCTACTTTTTTACTGCAGTAAAACTATTGTTAGTTTCTGCAAGGGAAAGACTGAACGTGGAAACAGTCAAGGTATAATTATGCTGTTTAATGAATGAAAAGTGTTTTTATTTATCTTTATGTCTGTCTCTGTTTCCAGTCAGACGGTGGATTTGTTGATGCAGGAATCGGGCTGCAGACTGGAGCATTCATCAGCCACAAAGTTTCGAAACCACGTCATGGAAGGTGAATGGGACAAGGTGAGGATTCTCAATCCATACGCAACTTGCATGTAAAGCAGAAAACATTTATTATAAACGTTATAAACATTTATTTTTAAATCACTATCATTGTTGTGAAGTCACAAAGTTTTGAACATGTTACAGGGTGTCCACAGGGTCTTAAAAAGTATAAGAAGTTGATAAATCAATGTAGAGAATTTTAAGGCCATTAAAAAGTCTTAAATGTTATTTTGCAAGGTATTAAATTTGATATCATATTTGATTACTCAATGTATGGTTGTTTGTTAAAGTTTGCCTGTATTAAATCTGTGAATATCAGGATGGTGTGTAGTTAATGAAATCAATTTAATCCTACTAGATTTGACATCATGCTGCTTTGTTTAATGCAGTAACCAAGCCAACACTCTTATTTCTGCAGTTGTATTGGCGCCAACCTGATGAATTAGCTAGATTTTTATTCAGTATATGAATGATGTTTTAGTTTTGGATTAGTTACTTTTATTAATATTTAGTAAATATACTGTAAGTTAAAATCTCGCTAGTGTTTCCGGTTGAAAGTGGTTATAAGGTTTTAATATGTATACAAAGAGTCTTAAAAGAGATCTTAAAAGGAATGGAATTTCACTCTCTGATTCCTGTATATACTCTGTTTTAAAGTAAATGTGAATATTTATATATTTATACTTACTTTTCCCCTCTTTGTTGTAGTTTTATAAAAAAAGAAACAAATTGAGAAGAAGAATTGACATTAAAGTTCCACAAACTGCTTTCTGCTCTTCTTATGCCAATTTAAGTTGGAGGCCCCTGATATAAAGGCTTAATTTTAATAATGATGAAGTTTAAATCTTGTTGTCGGGAGAGGCGGTCAATTTTATTCTAATTTGAAGTCAGAATGTTTACACTTTATTTCATGGTGTCCGTATTATAGTAAAGTTTTAGATTTGGCTTTATGGTTATGGTTATAACTAATCAGTCTCTCCAGGATTTTGCGTCTAGTGATTCTTTAGATCAACATTTCACAAAACCAATAATGGCATAAGTTTTAAGAAAAGCTGTCATACAGTCAATTTAAGCCACAGATTTTACAAAAATGTTCCTGCAAAATCCTGGAGGAACTGTCTAATTCATGGATGTCAAACTCAATTCCTGGAGAGCAGCAGCCCTGCACAGTTTTGTTCCAATCCTACTCCAACACACTTACCTTTAGGTTTCAAACAAGCCTGAAGGACTTAGTTTCATTAGGTGTGTTTAATTAGGGTTGGAACTAAACTGTGCAGAGCTGCGGCCCTCCAGAAATTGAGTTTGACATCCCTGGTCTAATGTAATGCTTTTACCATAGTAAGTGTCTGTGACTGGGGAATTAGCATAATGTGTTATCATCAGAAGAATAAACCCAATTGCATAGTATATATTTTTATTTTGTTTGAGTCTTTAATTTACACCTTTTATTGACTTGATTTAGAATTATAGATTTTAAACTTTACATTTGAATTAATATTATTGATTTTTTTTATTTTATAATTCATATTTTATTATTTTTGTTACTTTTTATTTATTTGTATTTTATTTTTCAATTTTAATTTTTATCAAAAATATTGTTTCTGTTTTTCCACTTGCACTGAATATTGCTGTAATGACTAGCATGTGTGGCACTAGATTAGAAACAATTTTTCATCAATGTAGTTAGTTCCATTTTTCCACATAAAATATCTTATTTCACTTGTAAATGTTCACATTACTCATGTGCCATAATTTGCATGTGCTGTGTCATGTTTATCAAGGTCTATCCATGCTCACCCATAGATATGGAGAAGGCTATGGGGAAAAAAAGCTAAACCCCTGAAGCCCTAAAAAAAGCTTTATTTTGGATTTTTAAATAGTTTTTTTCTCTAACCACAGAATTTTGTGTGTTTTTTTTCCTTTTTCCACTTCAATTTTGTTTATTTTTTTTACTGATGTATAGATATGAAGGACGCTATAGTAAAAAAGCTAACCCCCTGCCCTGAAACCCCCCCCAAAATGTTGAATGCATGGACAGGTTTTAAATTGGGTTCTTTTCTCTAACCGTAGATGTATTTTTTTACACTTCATCACCAACCTTTAACTAAATAGTGTGAGGTCGTTTGAAAAGTGAACTCCTAATATTGTCTGAAAAGTAGTTTAAGTGGGCAGAAATAAAGAACAGTTTATTTCCTAATACTGGGTTCCCACTGGAAGAACATATGCATTGTAAAACATATGCTGGAATAGTTGGCGGTTCATTCCGCTGTGGTGACTTCTGATAAATCAAAGAATACGCCGAAGGAAAATGAATGAATGAAAAAAATGTTTGATAGATGTTGTATTTCGTACAGGACGGTTTCTTGAAGCGTCCAAGATGACAGGCATAAACCATAATCATGTTCAGTCTTTAGGAAAAATCTTTTCAGAGCTCACTGTGGGATCAAATGAACTCTGTAGGAATTGTTTGCACACATATCTTGGCTTGAGGAACTGTTTAGACCATTGAAGTGGATTTGGGTTTTTTTCATCTTCTGATTTAACAGCGGTAAACTTGAATGTTATTTTCCATTTTAGTTCTTCATCTATTCATAGAGGCGATTTAACAAACACATAAGGTATTTTCGTCTTGGAGATTTTGTGCAGAAATTCTGCTGAATTTAAAAATGATAGGTCCAGGGTTGTGCCGATAAACCATGTTATAAATATTGCAAAAATATCGCAGAGAGCTGAAACCTATGACGATTTTAAAGACGATAATTAGCTTGTTTCGCACTAATGTAGACCTATTACATGTTTTAACTCCATTATTGAATAAAATGATCAATAATAATAAATTAACTATAAATAAAATGAAAGCTTCAGCTGTTTACATCAGCATCAACGACACTTTTGGACAAAAATTAATTACTTTGATTGCTCTTGTGCTCTCTCTATCTCTCTCTCAGCAGCAGCAGGTATTGAAGCACGAGCTGCATGTGAGGGCACAGCCACATCTTAGAGCAAATTAGTTTGCAACTTTGTTGCATAAAAATAAAAGGCTGAATAGCAAAACTGGATTTTATTATTAACAAACATGTTAAATAAAACCATTTGCAAAAATGAAACAACTGAAAAAGAAAATGAAAGATCTCTGAAACAAGCTTAAATGTTCTGCAATAAAACGTGTTGCGGTCATTGATCATTTGAGATTTCTTTAACAGCACTGCTGGATGATTCTCTCTTGCTTTCACAAAAAAGGTTATTTATCTTTTATATACACAAAAGCATTAACGGCGTGTCCGAATCCACTTTTGCTACTTTTAGGACCGCTTACTACTTTTGCTACTTTAAAATCTGCTTTCGCCGCGGCGCATGGTCTAACAGGGTAGAGCTTATTCTCTCAATGAGTTATAGGTGTGTTTTGAGAATAAACCAATCAGAGTCTCATCTCCCATTCCCTTTAAGACCCTTTAAGTTGCGTCGCACCATAACACATTTGCTATTTACATGTCGGACTTTGTAAGTGGAAAAACAGAAGGATTCGCTAGAAAGAAAACAGTTAAACAGAGCATCTACAGCATGAGAATGAGCCTCCTCATTCTTTACTTTCACTCTTGTGGATAACGAAACGTGTTGTACGCACAGACATCCATTAGCCTACACATAATTTATTTCGTTTGTTAAGCGCAAAGCTTTGTTTTAAAACTATTTTTAAATTCAGTTCTAATTTCCGGCAAACTAATAAATGAACAATAATAATGAAGTGTGTTCAAAAAACTGAGTTATTTCCTAATACACATGCTGTCCCACCTATGGTCTAAAACCTGACAGGTGGACAAATCTAAGCTTGTTTTTTTTAAAACAAATATAAATATGCATATAATAAATAATACTGCTAATAATAATAATAACATTATACAAAAGCAAATTGTTATGAATAAACTAAAAATGCCCCCCGAGATGAAGAAGACATGAAGGCGGTGTTTTTTTATTTATGTAGGCTAGAAAATAATAATTTTTGTAATATTTTAATAATTTAATTCTTTTTGCTTTGTAAAGATATTTGCGTATTGCTGTACATCATGTCTGTTATAAGAAATGTTTAAGCAAGGCGCACAACTAATGCACTCTGAGCTGGACTATAGACCTGCTTTGATCTGGTCTATTGTGCAGTCTATTATAGTTCCTCAAATAGCAATGCGCCTTAACACGCCTCCTTTTTTAGACCAGAATGCCTATGGGCACACATATGAGCGCAAATGCATTTGCTATTTAAACAGCGTGCTGCAAAACGTCAAAACGACTCTTGCGCCGAGCTGAAACTAACAAACAACAATTGCGTCACACCACATTGCGCCGGGTGTATGATAGGGCCCGTAGTGTGAGAAATTAACTGCAGTTGGAAAAAAATTAAAAACGAAGTGCCCAAAATCACATATAGTGCCATGACGAAAACGGACTGTTACTGCGTGAAACGCCAGAGGAAACTAGCGTCGAATGCTCACATAATCACATTAATCGGACTATGTAGCATAACATGTAAAACAGAAACATTCTAACACCGACTCATGTAAACACCTTAATCATATTATTGTTTTCTTCAGATTAAGGCAAATAATTAGATCACTGATGTCCATCTAAACGTAGTTACTGTTGTTCTCATAGTGGCTATAAAAGTCCCGCAAAATGATATTCAAGCTAAAACCATTTTAATATTATTCAAAGCGCAACAGCGCTCTGTTTTTCCATTCATTATAGCTCATTGAAATTCTGCTTTTTAGTCAGGGAATTTGCCATTTGGCTTACAGTGGGAACCCCGTGGATCATGATGTTTAATTCAAAGTATTTGGGGTTGCTTGTTTTGTCACTGTGCATGGATGTGTGACTGTATTATGGTTTTACTCCGGTTAAAGGTGGTATATTTTCTCTCAAAATGCTGGATGAGAATGCTGAACTGACGCAATTTTTTCTTTGTTGGACGCAGGCTGAAAACGACCTCAATGAGCTGAAAGCATTGATGCATTCACCCAACGCTATTGTGGTAAGACCAACTGGACCCGCATGCACTCTTAATGCTGAACGCTTCTGAAGATTCATCTGGAACAAGGGCAGTAGAAAGCACTCTGAAACAGGGATGCGCAGTATTGTCAACAAATTAGGGGCATCATATTGACCTTATTCTTTCTGTACTAGCGTCCGCAGCCATTTGAATCTGCTTGGCTTGAGACTTCTGGTCTCATTCAATTCTATTGATGTTTAGACATTAAAAACAGCTCATTATGCTGCTTGATGTAGCAAACTGATATTTTCTTATTGTGTTGTTCTACTTTTTATGTATAGTAATGAACACACTTGTTTTAGAGTTGTAGTTTGACCGTGTTCTACCATTTATTATTTCTAGTCATCCTAGTTCAGGCAACTGAATCGGAAGTCCACACTTCCAAATCACAGAATAAGGTCAATAGGATCCAAGATTAGTAAAAACCTTTTTTTTTTTTTAGGGTTTTCACAATAATGGAATTCGAAACCCATCAGTTCTGGTATTTTAAAAACGTCTATTTCCCGCTAACATTTGAGCGCTGTTGAGCACGTTTTTAACCAGTTGTGTTCACGTGCTCATCAGAAATAACTGTGATTTTCCGTAAAGGTCATCAGTTCACCGAACTCACCGATGCTTACTGAATGTAAACACAGATATAGGAACACTGGAGCGTTTCAAAGTCACGATTCATCAGTGGAATGCTCGTATGTCAGCTTATAGACAAACCAGCTGATCGACATGACTTTAAAACGCTCCAGTGTCTCTTTATCTGTGGCTACACTTAGTAAACAGCCTTGAGTTCGTCGAACTGATGACCTACACAGCCAATCGCAGTAATTTCTGATGAGCACGTGAACACAATGGCAAATCACCGCTGATTATGAACGTGCTCAACAGCGCTCAAATGTCAGTGAGAAATGGACATTTTAAAAATTTTTGTACAGATTGGTATCGAGTTCCAGTGTCGTGACAACACTATTTTCTTTTACGCTTTCTGTGGTTATAAAAGGGGCTTCATTTATTTTTCATTTTGTTTAGTCCTAAATTGTTCTTGTCTGTTTTCACGTGATTTAAACTTGCGGTCTGAATTTGTAAGTGGGATTTTTTTTTTATTTATTTACTTTTTATATCATTAAATAGCCAGTTTCATTCTTTAAGATGAAGCATCATTACTTGTAAAGAGTCGTAGTACACTAACAAGTTATGCAAAATCAAATTCCACTAGCATAGCCAGAAAAGAGAGTCTGACTGTGTAATATAAAAAATGGGTGCACTCAAAAAAAACAACAACATTTTGTTCAAACTGCTATTTAAAATGAGCTGAAACCGCACAATTTTTGAGGTTTCTTTGGGACAACTTAATGGTTTTATGTTCAATCAACCTAAATTTGTAAAAACTAATAAAATATCTACATGTTGTCCCAACACAAATCTATTGTGTGGGAACCAACATTTTGTACAGTGTGTGCCACTTCTATTATAAGATTTAGTCAAATAACAAATTTGTTCTTAATATTTGGCATAGATAACACGCAAACTAATATATTTTAATATTTTAAGGGCAATACATTTATTGACATTAGCATTATCATTTTATTTTGTCGTAAAAGAGCCTATGTATGCCGTAAAGGTGCGTTCACATGAGACACGGATGAAGCATCAAGCGTGAGTGATTTACATGTTAAGTCAATGCTAAAAACGTGTTAGTTGAGCGTTTTGTGCATTTGATGCGCTTAATGAGGAAATAGAGCGATTCGCTCGAGTTGGAAAATCTGAACTTTAGCAGACATCCGCACCAGGTTAACAAAGCAAGAGCTTGCCCTATTAGGGGCGCAGTTATGACGTAGAACCTGTTGTTTGTGTCCTGAGGGGAAATCCTTTTGCCGACACCAGACAACAGTTCATCAAACTTCACTCAGCTCAGTCAGAAGCATCACTAAAAGCTTCCACCATCCAGGTTTAATTTCTAGAGAGCTGATGAACTCATAGAGCTGGGTGCACCTCAGAAAGGATCCAGTGGACTCGGACATGGCGCTGAATGAATATACGCTTTTTTTCAGCATTCCTAAAGCACAGCTGCTCTCTCAGTAAAATCCCTGTTAGCTATTTTGCAACAAAACTAGAGTCGCCAGGCAGACAGGAGCCCCGCCCAGGACACAAATCAGTGTCTATTGTGAAATGCGCGAATTAAGCAAGTAAACTCAATGTTAATGTGTCTATTTATGCATTTTACGTACATGTCCCATGTGGTGTGAACACAGCATCAGGTTGTAGTAAACTTTCGTGTTGTCCGTGGCGACTGATGATTGAACAAATGTCATCATAAACTATGCTTATCTGTCATGCGTATTATTTAAGCTCTTTAACTATATTATAAAATGATCATATGAGACAGTTAAAAACTTTTTGCTTTCAGTTTACATTTTCATTTTAAAGTTCTGAGGTTACAGAATTAACCCTTTAACCCATTAAAAATAACATAAATTTTCATTCATTTAATTTTGCATGGATAAATAACAGCATGATAAAATAACATGACATTATAATTGTACCTGCAGCACTTCAAGGTTCTTTAACTTCAAATTGATTTAAGCACACATTAGGTCTATGTTTCATTTAAACCACTGCAGACATCACAGCCCAAACATCTTTTAAAAAAATGCACAAAAAAAAATGTAAAAAGTGTCTAAACGTAAGGCTGCTGCATTGCAGAGTGTCTCAGAATGCCACTTTTCATACCTGTAAAAGTGCGCTTCATAGAGATTTTAAAAGTGAATACAAATCATTCAAAAGGGCTCATTGTTGGGTCAAGTGTACTGTTGTTGTGCATTATCCAGTTTAATTTTAGTTTATTATCTGAATAAAGTCAGCCCTCGCCTACTAAAAAGCTAAATAGGCAGCCTTCTGAGTTGCTATCACTGCTAAAACAAAACAAAATTGATGGCAAATTTCCAGTTAACGTGACCACTGATCAACATGAAAGTGCCAAATGAGGTGCCGGCTCCAGAAATGACTTATAAACCCTAATTGTAAGAAATCAAGTTTAGAAAAACTGTTTCTATTCAGACTCTAGGATATTTTAGATTTTATTCGTGATTTTTAAAATACATTTAATCGATTGATAATGACATTGAAATAATTACACTGCTATCTACGTCGCTGCTCATTGAACTACGCTTCTCCGCTGTAAATGCTGCATGTGAAATTACCACATATAATAATGTTTTTAACTTCAAACTCACTTCAACTAACCCGATTAATCAATGACAGCCGTTAAATCTTCTGTTTATTTTATTTGGAGTTTCCTGCAAGAGCCCCCTCTGCCCTATGTAGGGAGATTTACTACTGATGACACAACAGTGCTTCTTTACTTTACCGTGCTTTGCAGATTGCATTTGTGATTTTTGTTGCGATTTAATCACCATGCCCTGTTTGAAGGTGAAAAAAAAAATGTAAAAAGCACAATTAAATTTAAGGGGTTCGGCATAGTCTTGAACAGAACCAAAACAAAGATCTGCTCTCTTTATTGTTTTGCTGTATTCTCCTTTCACGTTCATATGTAAATTGCACAAGCTCTCAATAAAATCAGGATAGTGGTTAAAAGTGGACAGTAGAGATGGATTAAAACGGTGGGTGTAAACGGCAATATGTCTCTTTTGTCTGCTTGTGATCTAGTTGACCAAATGAGTCATATTACCAGGTGTTAACAGGGTTTTAAAGGGGATAGTTCACCCCTAAATGAAAATAATCTGTTAATTTATTCATCCACAAGTCATCCAAGATGTAGGTGACTTTTGTAGAACATTGTAGAAGATTTTGAGTTAAATCTCTGGTCACTACCATAAATTAAACGCATACAAGTGAGTTGATGAACAGGAAATGTTTATTTTTGGGTGAACTATCCCTTTAATTTTGACTGTTTTGTGTTTATATAGTGTAATCACTGATAAAGCAAGTGAATCTTTGTTCTCTCTAGCGGATGAAGTTTCTGCTATTGCAGCAGAAGTATCTGGAGTATTTGGAGGACGGGAAAGTTCTGGAAGCTCTGCAGGTGTTGAGAGGAGAGTTGACTCCCCTCAAATACAACACGGATCGAATCCATGTGCTCAGCGGGTACTAAACAGCACGCATTAACATGCTTTATTAAAACATGCATTACTGATGAGCTGTGTAGAGGGTTTGCGCTGTGATGGGTGTCGATGGCTCACTCTGATTGTCTGTGTGTTTGAAGCTATCTGATGTGCAGTCATGCTGAGGATCTGAAGGCAAAGGCTGAGTGGGAGGGAAAAGGAGCTGGATCACGATGTAGATTATTGGACAAGCTCCAGAGTGAGTATAAAAAAAACGAACACATGTATTTTCAGGGACATATGTATATAAATCTTCACCCTGGCCGAAGTAAAGTTTTGTTTTCAGTCACCTGACCCTGTGTCTATGTGGACAAACAGTGAAACAGGGTATAAAATAAGGGCAGTTTTAATAAACACCCATGTTTGTGTGGACAAGACCTTTAAGAAGGTAATTTTGTCACGTCTGATATGATAATTCCGATAATCTGTCTTGTGTTTGTGTGTGTTATTCAGCGTACCTGCCGCCCTCCGTCATGTTGCCTCCTCGACGGCTGCAGACTCTGCTCAGACAGGCCGTGGAGCTGCAGAGAGACCGATGCCTTTATCACAACACCAAACTGGACTCCAGTCTGGACTCTGTGTCCTTACTGCTGGATCACGTCTGCAGCAGGTGTGCTGCGCTTACACATTCAGCCGCTACACACGTCCCTCTGCGTTTTCACGTCACACGTGTGCGTTTGTGTTTGCAGGAAACAGTTTCCCTGCTACACGCAGCAGATCCTCACAGAGCACTGCAATGAAGTCTGGTTCTGCAAGTTCTCCAACGACGGCACTAAACTCGCCACCGGCTCCAAGGACACCACTGTGATAATCTGGCAAGTGGAGCCGGTGAGTGAAGGATGTCTGTCGTATCTATATGTGTGTACATACAGCAAAACATGGCTCTGTCCCATTGAGCATCTGGAGAGGGTTGACCATTAATGGAGATCTGAATTTCAGACTTTTTTTTTTCCTGACAGAATTGATTTAAAAGAGGTTGAGGCTATTTTAGCACTTGTCATGAGCCGGTATTAGATTCTGATGGTATGACAACCTTGGATAAAAATATCACGATTGCACGATATTGTGATTTACTGCTCTAAAATATGTTTTTATTTTATTATTTCTAGGTAAAAAACATCTACTAATGGCCCGTTTCCACTGAGTGGTACGGTACGGGTCACCTTGAACAGGCTTGCGTTTCCACTTGCAAAAGGGTACCAATGGTATCCAAGGGTACCAAACGTATCTCTGTAAATCAATAGCATTCAGTTTGCTCCATCTTTTAGTACCCTTTTGCTGTGCTAGGTACCCTTCCAAAAGTGTACCCAAAAAGTGGTACGATACGGTTCGCTTTTGGTACCTTTTGACAGTGGAAACGACCATAATCAGAATCTGAAAGAGCTTTATTGCCAGGTATGTTCGCACATACTAGGAATTTGTTTTCGTGACAGAGCTTATACAGTGCAACAGAATAACAGAGACAGAACAAAAAACAGATAATAAATATATTTAAAAAATAAAAGTGTATTGAACCAAAATGTACTGTACCACTCATTGGAAACGGGCCATAATGGCTACTTTTACGCTACATCTTAGACTTTTTTGAGAAGCATATTTGGTCCCTGGTCAGATTGGGCCTGTTTACACCTGGACACTGTTTTCTCTGATCCGAAAGCTACTGTGTTCAATTTAAGTATATTTGTATAGCGCTTTTCATAATAATAAATATAATTCCAATGCAGTTTTACAAAAGTTGCACATTATTACATTCTAATCAAATTCAGAAAGAGTTATGTGTTTTTCCTATTTTCCAGTCACTACTTTTCTATTGTTTTTCAATGTAAAGCTTGCATCTTTTGAAGCGCGGCACATGTGAGCACCATGTTTTTTAGACGCCATCTCAGGTTAAAAGATAATATACTTTCACACACAGCACAGCTCGTCAGTCAGGTCGAAAAGCAGTGAACCAATCAAAAGAGCTTGGGAGGCTGGGGAACCGTTTCGAGCTTCTGTTCATAGTGGAAAGTTGACATAACAACAGTTTTATTTACCATTATATTATGGATGAGGAGGTGCTCATTGTGGCCTTGTCCAGATATCCTAACTTGTATGATACATCAAGTTCTTATAAACTATTGTTTTCCAATTTTAGAATGCGTTTGTTATTGTCGTTATTACATTACATTCATAATATTGCGCTGCATGGATCTCATGCTACGCTGCGCCTTTTTTAAACCCATTCCTGATCGCCATACTGCATGTTTTTAGAAACAAAGGTGCATTTGGTGTGAATGAGCTGTTTAAGGTCCCGTGAAATGTGCATTTTTATTCGATGTTTGAAGTAATCTAAACATGAAATGAGGGTGGGACATAGTTTAGCCCCTCGCCTCCGGGAAAAAAAAACAGCCAATAACGTTTTGTTTTATCACAGCTCTGCCCGTGAGAGTGGTTAAGCTCAAGCGTATCAAATGTGAAGCATCTTGAAGGGGGCGGGGCATGTCAAACACTAGAGAGCTTTTGATTAGTCAGAAGATTTGATGAGAAACTTAAGTATGAGGTGATGTGAATGAAATCAATAGTTAAAAGGCGGAAGTGACAAACTACAAGCTTTACATGTTTCATATCTTATAAACGCCAATTTTGTCATTGTTTTGGAGTGCACTAGCTTATTTGATATCCTAAAAACAAACAATTCTGATACTAACATTTAAAAACGTTACTTTAATTTTATGGGACCTTTAAGGCTTATTTATGCTTTTGCATTAAAGGCATGCAGATGGTCCAGTGGTGGGTTAGCCTGACACAGACCCTGACATGCATCTCTTAATAATGTTTTAACTACACGTCATGGTAACATGTAGCACAAAAGCTGTGATTACTAGGCTGTAGAAGCAGTGGTGCGTTTGGGCGGGGACAAAGTCCTTTTAAGACAAGGGTGTCTTATCAAGCTAATCAAGTTCTTTCAAAGTATACTAGAAACTTCCAGGGAGGTGTGTTGAGGGAAGTTGGAGCTAAACTATACAGGACACTGGCCCTCCAGGACCGAGTTTGGACACCCCTGCTTTAAGGCAAGTCATTTCACTTGGCGCCATCTTTGAAATGCCTCTCGGGCAGTATGCTCAGGCCTTCTGTCTGAAAGGGGAAACATCAAATTCTCAAACTGTCAAGCTTACGATTACATTACATATTTGGAATCTCCAATAAAACAAAACAACAACTGTCTCGTAAGTTTGTTTCTAAACGTTTGCATCAAACAAAATCCAAGCTAATGCACACTCGAAAGGAACGAGATCACGGCTTCAACCTCATTTTGGTCATTCTACACATTATCATTCTCTGGATAATGATCGTCTGATCGTGCTGATTTAATGAAGTAAACCACATCTTGTTCTTGATGGCTAATCTACTCCAGAAATTAAAAAGTTAATGGGTGTTTGAGTAGTTGTTGTCATGTGATGTACATTTGACAGGACGGACTGTACCTCGTGTTCATTTTATACAGATTGCAAAGCCCAAAATTTTTTATTTTCAAGTCTAGTTGGTTGATTTAAAAGGACAGATTTCAAGAATGATTTAGGCAAGGCAAGGCAAATATTAGATATATAATATAAATATTAGATATATAATATAGACAAATATAGACAAATATTAGATATATTTGTCATGTATGTGAAGCAAGTGTTTTCTGAGATTCCACTGCGTTTGTTGTAAAAGCGCACGTCTGGTCCGAGCTTTCCCCCGGAGTAATGTCAGTCTACAGCGGTCGATGATTGGCTCCTCTACTAGTAGGCGGGCCTTCATTCGCCATATTGGCCATTACACTTTTCCCTACTGAAAACTGAAAACTGAAATCTTTGGTGGGGATGAGAGCTGTGGGAAAGGGGCAAGTGAGAGTGTTTAACAAGGGTCGATTCCCATGGAGGAGCTCTAGATAGAGACTTTTGTTTTGTGTATAATTTGATTAAAGACTAAAGACTAACTAAAGACCTTGTCTTCCATGAATGAGTGTGAGTTTTAGCAACTTGTATAGTAGGTTAGCATTTCACACATTTCAAACAAAACGCCCATGAAGAAACTTAACAGAGGAACATAGAAACCCCATTGCAACACACAGATCGCAGAGATATAAATCCACGTGCAAGGCATGCGCCATGGGTTACGGCGATCACTCTTAATGCAGAGCTATAATTCAACCTTTAAATGTCCCATGAAATTAAAATAATATATTTTTTTAGATGTTAGTTTCAGTCTGTGAGTTTTAAGGATATCTATAAGCTAGTGTGCTCCAAAACAGTGCCAAAATTTGCATTTAGAAAATATAAAACTGATACAAACATCTGAAGCTTGCAGTTTGTCACTTCCACCTAAATTGATTTATATCACGTCACCTCATACTCAGTTTCTCATTGAATCTTAACCAATCAAACGCTCTCTTGTATCTGACATGCCCCGCCTCTCATTTGCTTTCATTTGATGCCTTTTAACTCAACCACTCTCACTGGCAGAGCTGTGATTAAAAACCATGCTATTGGCTGTTTTTGTAAAAGGGGAGGAGCTACTTTATGTCCCACCCTCTCTTCATTTTTTCAGTTGAGATTACGTCAAACATTGGAAAAAAACGCATATTTCAAAGCACTTCATGGGACCTTTAAGGTATGGTGTATGCAATCTGCATTTATACAATAAATTGTGCTCGTCAAAAAAAGGATATTTTGATCCAATCAGAAAAACACATGAAGTGACCAGGTGTAAACAGCCCCAATATGTCTGAGTCATTGTATTATCAGAGTGTCCTGTTTCAGCTGTGTGGTTAAAAAGCGGGCTTTTAGTGTTGGCTTGTTGCAAGTGACAGATTTCTGTAACCAGTCAAGATTCTACAGCGAGTCTAACTTCTCCATTCTGGTAATGTGCTGTCGTCTTAAGGTACTTTAAAGTTGGTGCTTTTAAATGGAAATGAAAATAAATGTGTGCTGTACTCTACGGAACCAAACTGCTCAGCTGAAAAGAACCATAAATGTGAATGGTATGGTCTGTTGGTAGAATCAGAATGAGCTTTATTTGCCATGTGTGCGCAAACATACAAGGAATTATTTCTGGTTTTCAAGAGCTCATGTCACAAACATACATGCATGCATACATATCAACACAAGAACACAGAAAGGCATTGAATGTGTTGTTTGTGCACAGGACACACATCAACTGAAGCTCTTACGGACTCTGGAGGGTCACGCGTACGGTGTGTCATATCTCGCCTGGAGTCCTGATGATGTTTACCTAATCGCCTGCGGTCCTGACGACTGCTCTGAGCTCTGGCTCTGGAACGTTCAGGTAAACAACACATCTGATTGAATCTGGCCTGTTTTGTTTTTTGGTCAGTGTGAATTTCTGAATATTTTAGCATTTTATTTCTGGGGTGGTGGAGTGCTGCCTTCAAGTCATATTTGTATTTATTATGATGTGTCATAAATAATGATTGTTAAATTTTACATTAACCATATTTAACTATTTAGGCATATTAAAATATACTCGTTTAAGCATTTTTAAGGCGCATTGTTAATATTTAAACATTTTAAAATCTTTTACTAAATTTAAATAATTAAATGTTTAAATTATAAAGGTGTTTTATTAGATTTAGAAATTTTCTAATTTTGAGAATATTGTCATTATTTCTTATATTGACAACATTTTAAAAATAATTTTGAGAGCATTGTGTAATTTTATGGCAGTTAACATTGTTAATTGCTGTCAGTTTTATGGTGATTTAGGATTTCTAATGATGAATAATTAATAATTATTAAAGGAAGATTCTAATTATTTTGTATTTTTTTATTATTATGTATTGCAACAGTATTCTGTATGCTTAAGTTCTTTAAATTTGCACTATGATGCTCATATGATTGTCAAATTAATAATTGTTTAAAAAAAACAAGTATGTGAATGATAATTTTCAGATTTATTAATTGTATTAATTGTTTATTAATTCATTAATTGTTCAGATTAATTAAATGTTTGCATTGTTGTTTTATATTGAAATTACAGTGTTTATAATAGAATAATCATTTCTAAATGTTAAAGATTACAGAAAAATTTAAAAATTATGTTATTTTATTCAAGCCAAATTTACTTTTCATTACAGACAATTAGTATTCTTAAATTGGTAACACTTTATTTTGATGGTCCATTTGAGTATTAGTAGACTGTCTGCTTAAAATCTGTTGATACCGCTCCTTCAATAGACTTTTAACTGACTATAAGAAACTTTTGCATTTACGTGTCAGCTTGAACTTACACTAACACTAACCCCAACCTAACACTAACCCCAACCTAACCTACTCATAATCTAATAATTAGTTGTCATGTAGACACAAAGTAACTTAAATTCAACAAACGGACCATCAAACTAAAGTGTGACCCTAAAATTAAATCATACCACAAATTTTAATACCCATCATAAATATATTGCTCAGTGTTCATCATAGTCTCTGAGATGCTTTTATTAAAAAGAACATGTACTAATCATGAAGTCATTAATATTAGTTTGTCTCTGACCTCTGACTCTCTTCCTTCTGCTGGTGGTCAGACAGGAGAGCTGCGAACAAAGATGAGCCAGTCTCATGAGGACAGTCTGACCAGCGTCGCCTGGAACCCTGACGGCAAACGCTTCGTTACAGGAGGACAGAGAGGACAGTTTTACCAGTGTGTAAGTATAGAGCTTACACTCCGTCACTGGATGTCCGCATTGTCTTAAAAAGTATTAAAAGGTAATGCACACACTCTCTCTTTCTCTCTCTCTCAAAAAAATAAAATAAAAACCTTTCCCTTTTTACTCTAGCACTAAATTCTCTGAGCACAAACAGTATCTATGTATAATTGTCAGTTATTGTGTATATTGACTCGTCTTGTTGAATCGCTGAATGCCTCCTCAGTTTTAAATTGCTTTGGACAAAAGCGTTTGGTAAATGACTAAATGTAAATGTCAAAATCACTAAAAAGTCTTATATGCTATTTTACATGGCATTCAAATTGATCTGCGATTATTGGAATGCTTTGTAGTTTATAAAATCGATCAAGACATTTGTGCTGCTCATTACATTACAAACCACAGGAGCGGGCAAATTCTTCTGCAGGATAGCGCTCCTTATACTTCAGTCTCCACATCAAACCTCCTGAAAGCAGAGAAGATCAAGGTGCTCCAGGATTGGCCAGCCCAGTCACCAGACATGAACATTATTGAGCATGTCTGGAGTAAGATGGAGGAGGGAGGCATTGAAGTTGAATCCAAAGAATCCTGATGAACTCTGATGAGTCCTGCAAGAACACTTTCTTTGTCATTCCAGATGACTTTATTAATCAGTGATTTGAGTCATTGCAGAGATGTATGGATGCAGTCCTCCAAGCTCATGGGAGTCACACAATATTAATTCTGTTTCCACTGCTGCATGACTTTAGATTCTATACTAGACATTATTTCTGTTAAGTGACAAGACTTTTGTCCAAGCAAAGTCGGACCTTACTGTCCTAATTAAATCATTCAAAATCAAGGCATGATCATATTTTATTTTGGTAAAATAAGTGTAATCTAGAGGCCTTTGCCTTTCATATAAGCCACTTCTGATAACAAATGATCAACTAGAAGTCAAGTCATTATTTGTTATTTCTAAAACTTGGATAGCCGACAAGACTTCTGTCAGGTAGTGTATACTGTTAAAATGTTGCCAATGTTACCGTTTAAAGCCTAAAGTGGCGATGAGGTCTTAAAATGTGTTAAAAGAGTCTAAATAAGGTCTTAAAAGGTATTGAATTTCACTCACTGATTTCTGTATATACCCTGCATCAGCAACACATACTGGTTTCATGCTAGTTAATGATTAGGGATGCAAACAATTAAAAAACAATTGCTTGATTGTCGATATGTCTTTAAAGCAGTACAATTTAGTGATTAAAGGCACAATATGTAACACCACAAAACTAGCAGTGTTCGCTAACAAATCAATAGTTTTGATTGTATGTGTACATTAATCATTTAGCTGCTCATTTAAATGGCGATCGTTCATGTAACTTCATGTAAATGTTCACCTCTAGTTAAGATGCATTGGTTGTTTTTGAACAGGATCTTGATGGGAATCTGCTGGAGTCATGGGAAGGTGTTCGTGTGCAGTGTCTGTGGTGTATGGGCGACGGACGGACGGTCCTGGCCTCTGATACACACCAGCGGATCCGCGGATACAGTTTTGAGGACCTAACAGACAGAAACATGTAAGCAGCTGATCAAACTCTGTTATCTGACACTTGAGTTGAGGAAACTGTGTGACCTTTCACGTGTCTCTCTGTTTGTAATCCAGAGTTCAGGAGGATCATCCTATAATGTCTTTCACCGTTTCTAAGAACGGAAGATTAGCTTTGTTAAATGTAGCAACTCAGGTAAGTGAGTTTGAGTTTTAAACTAACATTATTGTTATTATTTCAACATTTGCAATATAAAATGATGACATTTTTACTCATGTTCTTCACAATTATATTAGTTTTTAACCATTATTAAAAAGAATAAATATAAAAAATGAGTTTTTTCAACAATATTCTTTAAAATTATAATTTCATTGCAGCAATATTTTTTATTTACATTTTAAATTGTATTTAAATCGTGTATTTTTGTAAAGAAAAAATGATTGTTAATTTATAATAATAAATATTTTTCAGAATTTTTCTTATAATGAATATTAATTTTACTGCAGCAGTTAACTGTAAATTGCTATCTTTTTAATAGTTTTAATCAAATTAAATTATTAATCATGTAACTAAGATTGATCATTAATTATCTTATTAATTATTAATAAAATTAAGATTAATAATTAATTAGGTTATCAGTTATACTTTTGATGTTTTAAGAAGTAAAAAGTATCATTTTTAGAGATTATTTTACATATAATTCTATAATATTCTATAATAATTATTTTTAAAAATCATGTTGTACGTATTTAGCAACATTTGTATTTGTTTACAGTGCTCAGCATATGTAAGGACAAGTCTCACAAATCTCTCTTTTAAATTAATATTTTAAACAGGAAGCTTTACAATATTATATTTGTGCATATACATCAGATTGGTCAGTACTGAAGCCAAATCTGGAGCTTATCTAACAAAATAACTTACGATAACGGTCAAAAAACCAGTACACTCAAATTTATATGTTATAGAAAAATATTAAATATAAATTTAAAAAGTGGAGAATTCAAGAGAAGCAAACAAATAAAACATTTAGTTGAAATTTTTTCGTTTCTAAAGATGTTTGGTAACTAAAATATTATTTTAATAAATAAATCAGTTTGATAAATCTGTTTTGTTCAATGCACCGAAATATATTGCCTATATTCACTGAGAAATAGATGAAAATTCATTTTCAAAATGGGCTGTACTCAATTATGCTGAGCACTGTAATTGGATTGCAGCAATGTTGTTCATTAGAGTAAGCACAGGTTATTAAAAGTAAAACTGTTTTTGTTAAAATTATTACTTTGTGCATTAAAATAAAAAAAACAACAAAAAAAACAGATAAAGTATCTTTTAATTTCAATCAGTTGCCAATGGATATTTTTAGCTAAATTACCTAAAACAAATATATGAAAATGATATAAAAAGCATATATTTACAGACATGTAAAAACACATACAAAATTGCAAAAATACACAGCACACGAAAGCAGTGGTCTCAAACTCAATTCCTGGGGGTCTGCAGCTCTGCACAGTTTAGCTACAGCCACCTCTAATTCACATCTGCTTAATAGCCTCTAGTACTCATGAACACCATAATTAGTTGTATCAGCTGTTTGATTAAGGTTGGAGTAGAACTGTGCAGAGCTGCGGCTCTCCAGGACTTGAAGTAGAAACCAATGTACTAAACATTTAGGAAAAATTACAAAAATTATTTACAAAAAATCTCATAACTCATTTTGTTTTAATACAAGCTATGGTAGTATCTTCTTGATTCCGCTATAACCCTGACCTTTACATTATTTTTTAAATTACCTTGTTGTTATTAACACATTTGTAATGTTAAATAATAAATAATAAAAATAAATATGAAGAATTTGTAATAAATTATGTTTTTTTTAAACAACATTTCTTCAGCAGTATTATTTTATTTATATTTAAATTGTATATAAAATTGTGTTTTTGTAAAGGAAAAAAAAGTTAAATGATAAAAGACCAAAAATATTTTTCAGAGTTCTAAAATACATGTTTATTTACTGCAGCAGTTAACTGTGTTATTTATTATCTTATATTGTTTAAATTTAAAAATATATATAATTAATCATGTAATTAAAATTGATCATTTATAAATCTTATTAATTATTAATAAGATTAAGATTAATGATTAATTGCGCTATCAGTTAGAATTATGATGTTTTAAAAAGTAAAAAATATAATTTCAAGAGATTATTTTATATATAATTCTATAATAATTATTTTAAATATATATTTTTGGTTTAATGTTGTATGTTGCATGTGTTTAACATTATTTGTGTGCTTAATTGTACTGCAGCAATGTTATGTTTATCAGGGTAAGCACAAGTTATTAAAAGTAAAACTGTTTTTACTTAAAAAAATAATAATTAATTAAAGATGAATTACTTTATATATTACCATGAAAACACAGAAAAAATACAGATGAAGTATTTATAATTTTAACCAGTTGCCAAGAAAATATTTGTAATTGATTTGATGTGTTAAAATGCCTTAAACAAACATATGAAAATTATATAAAAGCTAAATATTTAAAGACATGCAAAATTGCAAAAATACATGTTGCATGTATTTATTAGTTTTTTTGTACCGCAGCAATGTTTTTTACAAAAGTAAAACTGTTTGTTCAAAAAACTACTTTCTGCATTAACATAAAATATTTATAACACAAAACAAAGAGGTAAAATGCATATAAAATTAAATGTATTTTATTCCACCCAGTTGCCAAGGACATAATTTCAATAGATTAGATGTTAAAATACCTAAACCAAATATGCAAAAGCTCTATATTTAAAGACATACACAAAAACACATTAAAAATGGCAAAAACACACAACATAATTACACAAATGTATGCTAAAATGAAAATTATGAACATATCTACTCATTTTATGTTTTAATAAAAGCAATGGTAGTATCTCCTTGATTCTGCAATAACCCTGTTCTTTATGTTATATCATTTTTTTTTTTTCTAAACACACTAAACATCTCTCTTGTCTTACACTATCTAGATCTCATTTGTCTTCATAACATAAACCTGTGTGTGTGTGTGTGTGTGTGTGTGTGTGTGTGTGTGTTTGTGTTTGTGTGTGTGTGTGTGTGTGTGTGTGTTTGTGTGTGTGTGTGTTTGTGTGTGTGTGTGTGTGTGTGTGTGTGTGTGTGTGTGTGTGTGTGTGTGTGTGTGTGTGTGTGTGTGTGTGTGTGTGTGTGTGTGTGTGTGTGTGTGTGTGTGTGTGTGTGTGTGTGTGTGTGTGTGTGTGTGTGTGTGTGTGTGTGTGTGTGTGTGTGTGTGTGTGTTCTCTCAGGGCGTTCATCTCTGGGACCTGCAGGACCGTGTGTTGGTCAGGAAGTATCAGGGTGTGACGCAGGGTTTCTACACCATTCACTCCTGCTTCGGCGGACACAACGAGGACTTCATTGCCAGCGGGAGTGAAGGTACTTTCAATTCAGTCCTTGTTCTCTCTCTCAGGAGTGTTTCTCAGTCTTGTTCTCTCTCTCTCTCTCAGATCATAAGGTATATATTTGGCACAAGCGCAGCGAGCTGCCGATCGTGGAGTTGACGGGACACACGCGCACAGTGAACTGCGTCAGCTGGAACCCATGTATTCCCAGTCTCATGGCCAGCGCTTCCGACGACGGCACAGTCCGCATCTGGGGACCCGCACCTTTCTTGGACGCACAAGAGCTGGATGGGCTCACCGGTACAGATGCACACCTCAATATAAAAACATGCTGGAGATCTGATTTACTGGTTCATAGCATAAGTGGGGCTCTCTGATCTCCAGAGTTCCCATAGGTTATGGAATTTCTGAAACATCATGGAATTTTATAGTCTATAAAATTACCTATTATGCTTTGCATGTATGCGCAAGGAGGATGCTTCGAACTCCCTTCAGCAGCTTGATGCATACTGTAACCAGGGGAAGTGACACTGAGAACAGAGGTGCGGATCCACATGCAGGTTTAATAGCAAGGTCAGACCAGCAATGGTCAACACAGGGGCAAACAGAAGTATGCAGGCAATCCAGAATTGTAATCAAAAGGCAGGCAGATAGTCAGAGGCAGACAGCAAACAGGAATAAAACATGAAAACAAGGCGAGGGTCAAAAACATGGTAAAGCAAGACAAAGGAAATTTGTTGTAGTGTCACTAAACAGATAACATAAATTATCTAAAGGGGTTAAATGCGATACCTTGATGAAGTCCTCCACATATTCCTCAATAGGCCGTTCTCCCTGACGAAGACGCATGATCTTAACACCCGCTGGATCCATTGTGTTGCTGAGTCTTCTGTTTGCCCGTATGTTGCTGTCCTGACCTTGTTATTAAACCTGCATGTGGATCCGCACCTCTGTTGTCAGTGTCACTTCCTCTGGTTACAGAAGACTCAGCCAGTGTTTGTGTTTTAACAGTACTTATAGTCCAAGTAATCAGTCTGTGAGCAGCTTCAGCTGTGCGAGTGTGATCAGTCAGGATCTAGAACGTGTGAGCCGAGTGCATGTATGCAGTTGTAGTCCATGAAATAGCGGATTTGTAGTCTGTTAGCGATTGTGAGTGTTTTCCCGCGATCTATGATGTTTAGATCGCTGGTGATCGTGACACATACACTGTAAAATTCGACAGTCAACTTTATCAAATGAAATGAGTGTAGTAAACTCAAAATCGACTAAAAGTTAATTCTACTCATTTGAAAAGAGTTTTGAACTCAGTGTTGAAGGAAATTACTTAATTAAATACCTCATTACTTCAGCTTAACTGCAGTAAGTTAACAGTACTTATTTGGATTAGTTTTTTAACTCAAAACGTTTGTAGCAATCGGTTTCTTCAAACGGTTTGAGTTGCCTTAACTTATTGGGTTTTCCAGTACTCGGTTTGTTTGAGTTCTCTTCATTTATTGGGTTTTACTGTGCTCAAATAGCTTCGTTTACTCAAATGGATTAAGTTCACATTACTCATTAGCAGGGCCGGAGTGGGACTCCTTTTCAGCCCTGGAGTTTCAAGCCTCAGACCGGCCCACCTCAGTTCACGACTGACTATATTAAAATAAGGTCATTTCCAATTCAGTTTCTAATTACACTATCACGTCTTTTTTTGAGAAAACAGCTGCTTTAGAACTTTAAATGTTCAACAACCCTAACAGTATTATATGTCTCAACGATAAAAATGAAAAAAATAACATACTCAGACGAGGATCAAACCCGGGTCGGCGACGTTAAAATCTAACGTGCTAACCACTGTACCACAACGGTTGAACAGTGAAAGGTGACTTATATCATTATTAACCTGCAGGCTGGTTATATATAAAAAGAGCAGAGCTGCGGTAAAATAATGAATAAGAAGACTGTGGTCAAGTAAATAAATAAATAAATTTAAAAAGTGTGACTGCTAAGAGCAACAGATTCTGGAGCTAGGGACACCGGCCTTTGCGGCCAAAAAACGGACCGGCGCACTGGGAATTCTCCCGGTCCTCCCGATTAGCCATTGCGGGCCTGCTCATTAGGGTTAGTTTTTGAACTTAAATAGTTTGTTGCAATCGGTTTCCTCAAATGATTTGAGTTGCCTTAACTTATTACTTTTTACAGTGTATAAACAGTCACATTTGGACAGCTTTGAAATGATAGTTGTAATATATTTTACTTACTTTTAAAGCCTTTGAACTAATACTGCTGTTGATCAGCGCCACCTCCTGGACTGATCATTTTAAAAATGCAATCTAATGGCAACAACGAAAACATGAAAACAACAGTTGTGAGCCATTTAGCCTTATCAGACAGCATCTGTGCTATTTAAATGCAGCCATCGTCATCACAAAAGTGATCATTTTCTCTTTTTTTAAATAAATAACCAACCCAAACAAATGTAACTCACCAAAATGTTTGACACACACACACACATACCGTCCCATTAGCACATTGATGGCCCATTTTTACTGACTGGTACAGTATGATACGATACAGTATGGGTCAGTTATCAGGCTTGTTTTTCCACTGCCAAAAGGGTACCATGGGTACTATGGTACTGTACGACAGTAAGTTTCAGTCGTTGTCATTCTCGCTTAAGGACATCTCGCTCAAAGTAAAGCAGTGCAGGTCAGTCACATATCATATCATAAAACAGATGCTTTATACACATAAATACTTGTGTATAAATGTTCATTACTAACTTTTCTATGAACAGGATTTGATTATAGCTGCAGATTAATGATAGGGGGAAATAGCCTACTATAACGTCTTCAGTTATAAAAAAATAAATAAATAAATGCAGCATATATGAACATACAGGTCCTTACTGTCTCCAATATGTTATCAATTACAGAAAAACCACACACAACAGACATTTAATCTTTATTTAGGCTCAAAAACAACATGCATCATAGCCCACAGTCTGTGCAAACCTCTCATCTGTGTCTGTAATGTTCACCAGCACATGTGACCTCTGTTAGAAAGTAATTCTGTCATTCAGAGTTCATAATAGTCCAGACAGCGATGAATAACATGGCAGTTTGTTCATGTTTTAGGTTGCTGAAAGAATCATTTGTCTCGTTTGTTTTTTGCGCATCACTCTTACGTTTGTCCTTTTACGAAAGTTGCTGTTGCTTTCATTTAGAGCACTGTTTGTGTTCTCCTATGGTGAGAGCAAATTGTGGCGATTGACCACTTTCCTCCTCCGTGTTTCCTCTGTTGTTATTTACAGCGTCGATGTCTCCACACACGCTCTTCCTTCTACTGTCATTAAACCGTGTACCACAATGTAGCTAGTTTAATGACATACAAAACAGATAAATCCAATCTGCCAGTTTACATGATAGTCGCATTGTCATATAGCCAATTTATATGTGATTTATTTCCACATGTGAAGGAGGCCTGAAACCGATCTTTGAATATGTGAATGCATGCACTTTTTTTGGGTTTAAACAGTCATATAATAGATCCCATCTTTGTTACGTATGAGCAAAAAATCGAAATTGGGTCACATTTTACTGGTAGTGTAAACGGGGCCTTTGAGAGGTGAGCGTCAGTCACGGCGAGGGCTATGCAACCGCACAAAGGCTGCACGGGAGCAAACGCATGCACTTGATGCAGAAGTATAAACCAGCCTTTTTCCATGCCCACTTTTCTACATGTTGTGGTATATACTGGATAAAAAAAAATGTTGGAGTAAAAAATACAATCCAAATTGTACTATTTTAAAGTATTACATTAAATATTTCCATTTAAATTAACTCCTTTTCTATTAAAATGCATTTTAAAATGTCATTTATTTCTGTTGACGTAAAGCTGAATGTTCAGCATCATTACGTCAGTACCATAATCCTTCAGAATGCCTCATATTTTTATGTTTGTGTGAAACCCATCTAATAATCTGTAACATTGCAGATGTCACTAGCTATAGACTTCACGCAGCCGCCATTTTTAAAAAGCTGTGGTGGGTAGAAACCCGGAAGTATCGTTGGGAGTTACATAGAAACGTTGTGTAGCTGGCTGTATATCTTATCAGCAAATAGAAAGTGGCACAAATTAATAAGGAATGATAAGAAAGTCCGTCCTGAATGAATAGTGAAAATAAAAAAGGATATTGGACCTCAGCTTAGTTAAGGGAAATGGCACTAGTTAACTAACGTTTTCTTTCCCAGACACACGTTTTAGATGCCATTTATCAAACTCAAGTTATTGAACTAATTCTTTCACTATATTAGACTTGTCATGATACTGAATTAAAAGAATTAAACAATTTCCTACTTCCATTTAAGGCACTGTTGATGGCTTTCTTAAAACAGCGCTGATTTGCCATTGTGTTCACGAGCTCAACAGAAATGCTTCTGATGACCTTCTCGGCCAATCACTTCACCCACCGCTGTTTACCGAGCACAAACACAGACGAGCGATCTGCTTTATGACTCGACTGATCTTCACAGCTGCTTCGCGCGTCTATCTGTGTTTGCACTGGGTGAAGAGCAGTAAACTGATGAGCACTGGTGAATACTATGGTAAATCAGTGCTGTTTATGATCGTGCTCAACGGCGCTTGAATGTTAACGGGAAATGGATGTTTTTAAAACTTCAGTACCGCGACTACACTATTACAGACAACATGAGGGTGTGCTACAGAGGACTGAAGTGGTTTATCGCTCACCAGGTTACATAGGCTGAAGCAAAACAGCGTCCCCATAGTGTTTAACTGGTGCCATGAACTGAAGCATTGCAGGACACTTGAGCAAATTACTCTTACAGAGATTGTGATGTTGTTTGATGCTAAATTGCTTTTAATTGTTTAAATTAAACTTACTGAATGATATTAAAATGATGTTTAGACCATTTCTGCATTTTGAAATCTCTACAACAGCTGGAGGTTTGTAGTCTATAGCATGTTTACAGTGCTTATCCTATACTTCCGGGTTCCTTCTTACCGCAGCCTCGCTTTGGTTCTTTAAAATGGCGGCTGCATGAAATAAGCGAATGTTTCCTTCCAAAAATGCGAATGAACTTTATGCGCAAAACAGGAATATCGCATAAAAGACGTGCAAATAAAGCAGAGTTTTCATCCAACGAGTCAAATCGCCACTTCCTGATTATCTGGCGCCAAATATCAACAGTAAAAAACTGAATTTGCAGCAGTTGGAAAAACTGAGCGAGTCTTTTCTTCATTTAATAAATGACTTGCGCTTCAGAAGACAATCCTGACAAGCAGTGAACACGTGGTGGTGTGGCGTGAGACATGTAGCACCGATGCTCTTGACAATTCTGGAGGTTATTAATAATATAACACTAATTGATTTGTACTCATATGTATATATGCTCTATATGTCATGTACATATGCAGTTATTTGACTGGACTTGTGGATATGTGCAAGTATAGATTTCTCATGGAGGAATATGATTAGGTATCTGTACAGTTGTGGATGTACATGTGCATATGTATCTACATTTCAAATATGTTTTTTTATTATTATTTGCAGGCATGGTAGGGATTTGGGCTTTGTTTTTTAAAATGTGAAAAACCTTAAATAAAATATATTAAAAAAAAAAAAAAAATATATATATATATATATATATATATATATATATATATATATATATATATATATATATATATAATAACACTAATACTGAAACAGTTAAGGCGTTATAGAATGACCACAACAACATTTTAGATGTTTTACAGTGTGCTCAGTCTGCTGGTTTGTCCATTTACACACATTTTTATAATCACATCATCCCTTAAAACAAAATCACATGACATTTTTTTTATGCGCATATTGGAATTTGTTCGGTAAATGTGTTTCCATCGCAGTTTATGTGCATCTTATTGAATAAAAAGTTTATCCTACTCGGTTATGCTCATGTTTTTCATGTACATTTTCAAAATGTATGCACATCTTGGCGTTCCCATCAACCAATTTTTTATGCGCACATCCAAAATGCACATCAAAATAGGTGGATGGAAACATAGCTGCTGTAATGATCAATTAAGTGCATTCTTACTGAATAAAATAATCTCCCCTGTTTCCTCAGAGAGTTGCAGCAGTATGGACAGTTGATGGCAGCTCTGCAACGGACGCCTTCTTCTTACGACAAAACATGCGAAATCCAACAGAGAGAAAACACGATTACAGCATTGTCCTCCTCCACAACGACACACGAGTGCAAACAAACCCGAAAGAGATTCAGAGCTTGGCTTTCAGGAGTCTGGAGGCAGCAGAAGCAGAGACCCGGCGCTGATCCCGGATCAGATCTCGTTCCCTCAATATTACCCTCTCATTAGCCCCGAAGACGAGACGCCCGGGGGTCCGGCTGGGTCTATAAACTCACACTCAATCCTCCAGCGGCAGAGGACGAAACACTTATTTTTTAAAAGATATACTAGTCCTAGCAATTCTCTCTTTGGTTCCTTTAGCAGCTGATCAGCTTGGGCTTTAGTGTTGATGATGGAGTGCTGTAGTTCTTTCTGTTCTTTTGTTTTTTAACTCAAATACTTTGTTTTCAACCGGACCCCCTTCACCCATCAGTAGGGGCCGAGTTTGAAGATTCAACTTAATTTGCTTGGGCCACCGAAGTGTGTGTGAGCAACCGAGCTTGTGTGTGTGGGAGCTTGTGAGTGTACGTGTGCAAAAGCGTACGTGTGCGCAAGCGTACGTGTGCATAAGTGTGTGCAAACGTACATGTGTGTGCGTGCGTGCGAGCATATGTGTGCATGCGAGTGTGCGCTTGCATGCCAGCGTACTTGTGCGCTTGCGTGCGAGCGTACGTGTGCGCTTGCGTGCGAGCGTACGTGTGCGCTTGCGTGCGAGCGTACGTGTGCGCTTGCGTGCGAGCGTACGTGTGCGCGTGCGTGCGAGCGTACGTGTGCGCGTGCGTGCGAGCGTACGTGTGCGCGTGCGTGCGAGCGTATGTGTGTGCGAGCGTACGTGTGCGTGCGTGCGAGCGTACATGTGAGCGTAAGCATGCGTGTGAGCGTACGTGCGTGCATGTGAGCGTGCGAGCGTGCCTGTGAGTGTACTTGTGTGCATGCGAGCGTATGTGTGCAAGCGCGCATATGTGCGTGCGGATGTGTTTGTGTGCGCAACCGTACTCGTGTGCGTGGGAGCTTACGTGTGCGCGAGTGTGTGCAAGCGTACGTGTGTGCAAGCATTTTTGTGTGTGCGAGTGTACGTGTTAGCATACCTGCATGCGAGCATACTTGTATGCGTGCGCGAGCTTGCGTATGCGTGCTTGCGAGCATACTTGTACGTGTGTGCTTGCAAGCTTGCTTATGCATGCGTGCGAGCTTACATATGCGTGTGTGCAGGCATACTTGTGCGTGCGAGTGTATGTGTGAGCGTGTGTGCGTTCGTACGTGCATACTAGCATAATTGTGTTCGTGCAAGCTTACTTGTGTGCATGTGCGAGCATACGTATGTGCGTGTGCGAGTGTACGTGCGTGTGTGCAAACTTGCGTGCGTACGTGTGTGTGTGTGCGTGCAAGCATACTTTTGTGTGTGTGCCAGCATACGTGCGTGCATACACGTGTGCATGCATGTATACATGTGTTCGTGCAAGTTTGCGTGCCTACGTGTGTGTGAACTTGCGTGCATGCGTGGAAGCATGTGTGCGAATGAGCTTGTGTGTGTGCGAGCGAGCTTGTATGTGTGTGAGTGGCCTTGCATGCGTACATGTGTGCGTGCGTCTGTGTGCAAACTTGCGTGCGTGTCCGTATGTGTATGCGAGCTTGCATGTGTTCGAGTGTGTGCTTGCAAGCTTGCGTGCTTACGTGTGTGCAAGCTTGGGTGTGTGCATTCGAGCTTGCGTGTGTGAACGTTTATAATGTGCCTAAAGCATTGGTTTCGCACATGGCACTGTCTTCACACCAGCGCGAGTGTGTGTCCCTCGTTTAGCTGTACGAATCATTTTAACAAGATCAGATCGAAGCCCTCGAGACCTTCATCTGTGGAACAAAACTTGAGCACCATTTTGTATTGTTTAGGTTAGTATCATTTCTTTTAAAGAAAGCTGTTAGCAAAGTTCCTTGTTTTCACCACTTACCTTAGAGAGGTGCGTTCAGGAGAGACACTTTGTTATATTAGTACAACAAAAAAACTAAGATTGAAACCTGAGGGCAACATACACGTTCAGAACGTGTGTGAAAAGGTGCCGACAGCTTTAAACAGAGAGATACTGTGACACTGTCAATCAATCAGATATTGGGCGTTTTTGTGGAGTGTAAATGACCTATGCAGCAACATTCGAGCTGAGAGCCCCGATATAATGTTTCCTGCAGCAGCCATACCAGCATTAAGAGAAACCTTTTAAGATCGCACAACATATCCACGATTAGTTCAGTCGCATCCAACACGGTCAACTTCCCTGATCTGAGATGTTTACACCAAATATCAATCTTTTTCCAGTCCCCCTTTTTTTGGAGAGAAATATTTGCTATGGACTGATATTAAATGTTGGAAAAGATGCTTTTCTGCCTGTTTTTATGAAAGATTTTGTTACGTTTTTTTTTTTCTTTTTGGTTTACAATATTTTTTATTTTGTTTGACTTTATCTCTGTATCATTATATTAAACTATAACCAGATAAATTGTCTCCTCTTTTTTTAAAATATCTTTTATTTAAGCATTATTAGCACTCTTTTTTTTAATTTAGAAGAACATTAACCGTGATTTTATTTTTCAATTTTTATCAGCTTTTTTCCGCAGACATAAGATGGTGCTAAACGCCCCGGCCTTCGCCTCGCAGGTGGAAACTCAAAGAGAAATCCAGATTTAAAGATCCTCAAATCTTTTCTAAACCTTAGAGTATCGGTCACTTTAATACTGAAGACATATTTGCCAACCTGCAAAGTCCGAGATTCGTTTCGTTATAAAAGCAATTATCATTCATTGATCGCTTTCACTCTGATAGCTGTTAAAAATGTGTAAGTAAATAGATTTTGATATCCAATCGATCATAAGCATCTACCTGTTTTGGTTTCCATTTAATTCTTGCCTGTTTACTTGAGGACCATCTTGTGCCATAAGCAAAAACAACAAAAGAAAATCTGGACGATATTTGGTCGCTGCTCGGACCAGGCTGACGCTTGTGCACTGTGACACATCTTTGCTGTTGATTTAGCTGATCCGAGAGCAGTTTGTTTCGGCTATTCCTCCTCATTGTTTTACAGAACTAAACACAAGGCTGCTTAATTGCAGCAGTGGACATATTAATGCATATGATGATGATGGTGATGAAGGGTTTGTGTCCTCTACTAACCATATGCAAGAACGTGTCTCTTTTTTTTTTTCCAGCGAACTGCAGATGTGCGAGAGGTTTTCCCTCATGATAACTCTGCTCCTGAGCTAAGGGCATCCATCTGCATTAAGTGTGTTATTTCAACAAGTGATTGTACTGTTTTGTATTGTTGTGTAGGAGATGTGTTATGTATGCATATTTTCAATAAAGCATTCAGGGTTTTGAAACTTATCGAGCATTATGGATGGGTTGAAAAGCACTTTGTGGGGGGGTTACTAGTGTATGGAGACTAGTTATTAAAATGTGAATTTTACTTACTATTTAGAGCAGTGGTTTTCAAACTGGTACGCGGTCTTCTAGTGGTACACCGAGGAATTACAGAGTAGTGAAAGAAAAAATATTACAATTATAAACATTTGATGCGTACGATAACACCGATGTGATCAGCATTGTATGTTCTCTAAAGCCTAAAGCCTTTGATCGTATGTTCAATGTTCACTTTAGTGCATCGTTCACTTTAGTGTTCACTTCAGTGCATCGCATCATCAGCTGAAAACTCAATCTAATTGGCGCAGAACTAGAGAAAGAGGTGCGTGGTGCTTGCAGAGCAGATACGTGCTAGAGCAATAGTTCCCAACCCTCGGGCCACAGAGTGGCACCAGTCTAGAGATCCGTTGGTACCGGGCCGCACATAAAATCATTAATTATTTCCCTTTTATTTATTACTTGAGTCTGAATGATCATTTATTTTGAAAAATCTTTTTTTTTTTTTTGAAAAATGACCGTATTCTCCTGTTACATCATGGTCACTTGAGTGCCAAGATTTAACCCACAGGCTAGCAAAATGAGTATGAGCTGAAGCACGACGCGCTTGCGTATTCCAGGCGTCCCCAGTTGAAAACATCTTAACTTTTCAGAATGCCGCGAGGCACGTGACAAAAACCGACTGATCAGCTTCATATTTTGTATGGAATATAATTTCGTTAGACGAGTTATCCCAGACAAACACTGAACACCCAAACACTGCAGTGCTTTTTAATTTTCCCTCTATTTTTATTTTCATTTATTTTTTGTCATCTTGACATCCTCTGAGAAAAACTGGTTCCCAACCAATCTACATACAAGTTAATGTTTAGCTTTCAAAACGTTTTACAAATATGTCATATGTACATGCAATATATATTTAAGTGTATCAAAAATTGTATAAATATGTATATGACTGTCTAATTTTCGAACTGTGCAGTGCTGTAGATGCTTAATTTGGCCAACTACTGTACTTATTTCAATACTGGTCATTGTGTTAATTGGTGAAAAAGGTTTAAGTACCACTGATTAAGAGTATTTGATTGAAGATAAAGCATCAGATTGTTGTATTAAATAACATTTTATAGTTATACAGGTGGCTCAATGGTTAGCACTGTCACATTAAAGTAAGAAGGTAGCTGGTTCGAGTCCCGCTTGGGTCAGTATTTCTGTGTGGAGTTTGCATGTTCTCCCCGTGTTGGCGTGGGTTACCCTCACAGTCTAAAAACATGCGCTATAGGTGAATTGAATAAGCTAAGTTGGCCGTAGTGTATAAGTGTTTCCCAGTACTGGGTTGGCAGTTCATTCCGCTGTGGTGACCCTTGATAAATAAGGGACTTAGTCAAAGGAAAATGAAAGAGTTGTGACCAACTTCTGTTTTAAAGTGAGAAAACAGGATTCTTCAATGACCACTTGGATTTGTACATAAAGAAGTTAAATAAATAATTAATTCAGGGTACAGAAAATGTAAAAGTTAAAATAATTATACATATTTTTTCTGTAAATTCTGTTTCCATGTTTTTTTTTATTTTCTTTTTCTTTTTTACAAATATATTATTAAATAATAGATTCTTTTTTATTATAATTTTGTGTAAATATGCAAACAGATACCTCTGGCTTTGGCGGTTCATTCCGCTGTGGCGACCCCAGATTATTAAAGGGACTAAGCCGACAAGCAAATGAATGAATGAATGCAAACAGATTTACAATGCTCTCTTTTCACTCTTAATTAGGAAACAAATTTAAGTCAAAACTTAACCATCTGATTTGAAGATATTAATTATAAAATAAATTATTTTTATTGTGTGTTTAAATAACTCAATCATAACAAAAAAACGTGATACATCATAACAAAAAGAGCAATAGTAAAATGAAAAAATATAATCATTCATTCATTTTCCTTCGGCTTAGTCATTTTATTAATCTGGGGTCACCACAGAGGAATGAACTGCCAACTTATCCAGCATATGTTTTACACAGCGTATGCCCTTCCAGCTCCAACTCATCTCTGGGAAACATCCATACACTCATTCACACACATACACTACAAACAATTTTGTTTATTCAATTCACCTAAAGTGCATGTCTTTGGGTGAAACCAGAGGAAACCCACGCCAACACAGGGAGAGCTTGCAAACTCCATACAGAAATGCCAACTGACCCAGCTGGGACTCGAACTAATGACCTTCTTGCTGTGAGGCAACAGTGCTTACCACTGAGCCACCGTGTTGCACTTAAATGGAAACAATGAAATATGAATATAAAAACAACCAATAATATATAAATAAAAACACACTGCATATGTAAATTTATCAATACACTCAAAAAAAGATATGTTGGCGTTAATTAACTTTTTTTTGTCCACTGGTTCCACGTAACCGAGTTAAGTTACCTTTAAGAAAGAATATTAATTTTAGTGAACTTAAGTTAGTTACATAAAGGTAATGTTGTTTAGTTCAATCAATGTAACATTTATAATTTAGCTTTAATCAATGTAGTTATTTAGGTTCAATTATTCTAAAATTGATATTGTTATGTTTAACCAAATAAAAAATACATTTTCCGTTTTATTGAGTTTATTCAATAGCATTTTTACAGATTTACACATTTTCCAGCAATAAAATGATTGTCAAAATCCAAATACTGTCTTTATCTGTATCTTCACTTATTACAATAAGTTAAAACATTAATACTAATAAAATAATAGTAATACAAGTATGAAATAAATTGAAAACAATAAATGATTTTAAAAAATATGCTTACGACTCCGCCCACCGTGTCGACCTGAGGTAACTATTTCGAAACGACGATGGACAACACTGACCATAGCGTTGCTGTACACTGCCTCGGGTGCCTGACGGTTCAGGAGGACCTCTCAGGGCACTTGAGGCAGGTCTGCATGAGCGGCGCTGAGGAGGCCCTGGTCCTGGAGGAGGTGGCTCGTGCCTTGGAGTCGCGCGCCAGGTTTGTCACAGAGGGGAGGGTGGTAGGCCTGGCAGAGGTGCGGGGCCTTGTGCAGGATGACCCCACCTGCGGCTCCTTGGCCGAGTACTTCGGGGCCAAGGGCTTTCTCGTCGCGGAGCAGCCCATTACACTCAGCAGCGGCAGCAAAAGTCCATGTCCGTCCACTATGGAGGCGGATATGGCCGAGGTCTCCCGTCGCCTCGGCCAGCGGTGCGAGCTGCCTTCCAGGACCCAGACGGATTTTCGCAGCTTCTGCGTTGCCACTCTAATGTCTGGGTCCTGGAAGCGTCAGGGAGCTTAGGGTGCGGGAGTGGCTGGGCAGGCGGCCAGAGGGAGAGGCTGTAATCCTGACGCTTCCCGGGAAAACCGTGAGCCTGAGCCGGAAAGAGGAGGAGTGGCTGGAATGCTATTACAGGCACATCCGGCCGCTCTGCCTTAGGGCTCGGGCTCCGGGGGCAGAGGACAAGGGATGCTTCTTCCTGGGAGCGTCAGGACTCCCCCTCACTAACCCCAGCCAGGACGTCCTGCGCCTGAAAGCAAAGTACGTCAAGAGGCAGCCTTCGCCGCCCGCTACCACCGCTGCTATGTCTTCTCCTCTGGCTTCAGCTTCGGCTTCTCCTCCAGCTGCACTGTCTCAGCCGCCTGCTCCACCTGGCGAGGAGAGGCCGTCCACCTCTGGCCTGCAGCCCCCTCCATTGCCTCCGCCTCGTTATTGGGGGGCTTTTCAGGACAAGTTTCCGGTAGGCTTGGGTGGGAAGCCCCCTAGTAGGGCGGAGGCAGCCGCGATCGGGTTCACCGACCATGGCTACTACCATCACTGGAGGGGGGAGCAGCTCGGAATCCGGACGCGCCATCTCCTTGAGCGGTGCAGCGACCGGAAGGGCCGGAAGCCTTCCCTGGCCCGGGTGCAGAGTGCCATTAGGGCCGAGACTGCAAAGACCACCGGCGTGCCGACGGTGGACAGCGTCCTGGCAGAGTGGGAGCTCTCGAGGGCGCTGTCCGCCGTCACCAGTGACCAGCAGCTGGTCATGTCGGTGGTCCAGCAGTCTTGGAAAGGACTGGAGATCCAGACCGTTGGGGACAAAGGCGGAGGAGTCGTCACCACCATGCCCTTTAAAAAAGGAGAAATTATTTGTGATTACCATGGGGAGGAGTTGTCGCACGAGGAGGGCTTAAGGAGACGGGAGGCCCTCCCCCGTGTCTCCTCCTCCTACATGTATTTCTTTAAAGGGCTTGGTGGGAGGACCCTTTGCCTGGATGCCCAGTCCTGGCCCTGCCCCTGTCACCCGGGCATGGAAACCTTCGGAAGGCTTATGAACCACTCCTGGCACCGCAACAACGTGCGGCCCTTTGTGAAGCTTCTAACGCTGCCACAGGGGCCACGGGAGTGCGTTCTATTCCGCGCCCTTCGGGACATCTCCATGGGGGAGGAGCTGCTGCTGGACTACGGCGTTAGACGGGGGTCCTTCCGAGGAGAAGGCAAAAACTTAGATTGGCTGGACGACTGGGCGCGCAAGTCGCATTAAGAAGCATTCTTAATTCTTAAATTTTTTTGTATAATTAGCACATCTTGGGTGTATCGCCTTTTCTTGTTGATTTGCTGAATGTGTCCTCAATTGTAAGTCACTTTAGACAAAAGAGTCTGCTAAATGTTAATGTAACTAGTGTAGATTCATAAGGTGGTGTTGCACATCAAGGTTTGCGCTTCATCATGCCCAGCATCCTAAAAAAAGTCAGGTAAAAAAATTAAAATTTACCAACAGATCAAAGGAGAAAGTAGGAATTGGTTTAAGAGGAAAATACAAAAATGTTTAAAAAAATAAAATAAAATAGCTTACCATGTACTCCCTCACTTAGGGGCTTTGAGGATGCATTCACACCTTTTTTCCACTGGTGATGTTCTAAATGACATGAAATGACAATTAGTAATTTACTAAATAATTAGTAGTTAAAATTACTAGTAATTTTTACTGTACATCATTTTAATGTGTGTATAGGTATCTAAAGGCATAGTACCTGGATGATCCACAGTCTCATCAGCCAGATCTGGGACTTTAGAGGTTGAGCTGTAAACCTGTGAGGGAGAAAATAGATGGGAGTGAGCAAAGATTTAAAATAATAAAATATAATAATATACATAGCAAACTACTAAACTTAAAAATTTAAACGTGTTAGATGACCAAACAAATAAGCTTACATTAAATATGTCATCATGCTAGATGTCATCTTATTTAAGTGTCACATATGCTTGTCAAGATTTTTTTTTTAAGTTAACAGGCTTGAATACAATTAAATAATAAATAACAATGTGCCAACACCACATTTTAATTAATATTATGCAAGTTATCAAAACTGGCATTCAAACTCGACAAACCGCTTGACACTCATTTAAAATAGAGACTATCAAATCAAATAAAAAATCATATCACTTTTATTGTCACATTATCAGCAGCACGTGTGCTATGATGAGTGAAAAGCTTAGACTATTCTAACGTGACTATTCATTACTACCAAGGTTAGCAACTTTATTTTGGGGGAGTAAATATATACCAAGTATAAAATTTCACAGGAATGCAAAACAAACTATACATTTATCTGTCTATAATGTGGAAAAGACACAGGGAACATGGCAATTTCATAGCAATACTACACACAAACACAAATTAGTATTACAAGAGAGTACATTTATGATTCAAATGTTGTCACAGCCTCAGTATAAATACATAAAAAGTAAAAAATAAAAAAATCTCACCTGTGTGTCCACATTGGGGAAAGCTTTGTGCACGTTCTCAATTTGTACTGTAATCTTCATCTTTTGATTCCCATAATATGGCGCCGAGCTGAGAGTGATCGTTGTGGTTTGAATCTTCTTACTTCCTGTGTTGTTTTGAAACTGCGCATGTGCAGATATTACTTCACCTATTGACCAAAATGCAGTACTGCAGAAGCAACACAACTCCCTTTCATTCATGTTACATAAGCAAGCTGTTTAAATGTGAAAACTTACTTTTTCTATTTTTTTCCAACACACCACATAAGCGAATTGTTTAATTTAAACATAGTTACATTCTTTGGTCCAACTAAAGCCATAATTAATTTTTTTGAGTGTATAATGTAACACTTACAAGTTTTTACCCTTTCTATTGTAAACATTTTGTAATGTAGTTATTCATTTAAATAACAAAAAGAAAAATCTGTAAAGATGAGGAAGATCTACATTTGTGAAAATAATATTTACCCATCAAAATCATTTAAATTCCTGTATAGTCTATCAGGCCTGTAGCCAGAATATTAAAAGGGATGGTTCTTTATTCTGATAAATTTGACCTTTTTTGCAGTTATTCGCCTTATTTTCTATTGAATTGTGCATTTTAGTGATATTTTAAGAGCTAATCTTTGCTGGATCTGCTTGTCGGATGGTGATCATAACCATGATTTTTTGATGCACTAAAAATATTTCCTACAATTTTGTCAAAGTGCTCACCATACTATTTTATATCGAACTATTAATTTACAAACTTATTTAAAAATGCTTATTTTTAAACGCAAATCTATTATCATATATCATTTAAACATATAGGAATCTGCTAAAACTTGTTTTAAAAAAAACTGAAGCCAATGGGCAAATGAAAACTGGCCAGCTCATTCAACTTCAGAATTTGGCCACTTAATTAAAATTATAATAAAGATAAAAATTGTCTTAAAGCTTTTTTCACTCTATAATTTTCATAATGTATGATGGCATAGCCGTCAAAATGGGATAAGTGAGATCATATAGGGGTTAAATTCTGGACTTTGTCAGTGGCTAAGGGCCTGTCTATCTTGTGTTTATCATGAGAAAAAAAGAATTATGTCACAATAGAAATTTTATGCTAAAATTATATTTTGTTTTGCGTTATAACGCAGACCAAAGCGTCTTGCACGCCTGTTTGCGTGGCAGCGTCGCCCCGCCCACTTCATCTTTTAGCGCTAGAGCGCGCGTGCGCGTGCTCGGTGTCCCGTCGTCCGCCACAGTCATGGCGGCCCCGGTCGCTCAGTTTGATGAAGACTGGGAGGATTTTAACGAATTCAAAGCGGCAGATTCACACACCAGTTGGACGGCAACACCGGAAAATTCACCCCGGTTACAAAGTTTCGCATCCTTAGACGAGACACTGAGCGCGAGCTTCCCATACTCCTGCAGCGCGTGCACGAACGACTCTGTGACCGCCGTGAGCGAGAGCGAGCTTCTGCGCGACGACGAGTGAGTGACCAAAACACACTAAAATATGATTATAACACAAAATACACAGAGACCACAACATATACATGTTAGCCAGTTCACTCAATGATGTGATGGTATGAGTAGTTCGCTTTCAGGCTTAACGTTATCTTCTGTGATGGTTTGTTTACACTTGCTAAAAAAGTACCTTACCATGTTTTTGTTTGTTTGTTTTTTCACTTTTACCACGGTTAACGTTAGTAAGTCTGAAAGTTATACAGCTGCGGTTTTTATGACACTGTACAACAATAATTATATTTTACAATACTGTTAGGGTAATGTTAGGGGTAGATGTTATTAAAATACAATTTAATAGGTAAAATAATTTGAATAATTATCATTATAATTACTGTTTTTACTTTAAAGTGAGTTGTAGGTTTAGCTGGAATTACATTGTGTAACATGGTAATATTAGTGTCAGAGAACTACATACAAAACGAAATATTTGACATTAAAACTGTATTTTAGACGTGATACCTTATGATGGATTTTAGACAGGAGACTTTAATAAAGCATATTTGGAGCAGTTTACTGTAGAAAGTGTCAAAATGAAATAAATGATATATTAATTTGGTAATTTGATTAAATTAAAACGAAACATTTTTTACATTACAAGTATTTAAACTCAAATTATTAATTAATCTAATTTAAATAACTTTATTGAAATATTATTTTCAAAATAAATAAAGTGTTTAAAAGTGCATATATTTAAAAAAAAATCAGAATTATGTTTTTAACATTTGTTATCTACATTCTTTGTAAAACCATTGTTTAACCATTGTTGTGAAGTGATCATTACAGTAACAGTCATAAAGCAAATATCAAAGATGTTTTTAATGTTGTATTATAGAAGTTAAAAGCAATCACTTGAGTTTTACACTTTTAAAACGTTGGCATAATTACTAGAATATATGTTTATTTCGTTAAAGAATCGTTTGAGAAATAGTTTCTGAGCTTTTCAAAATGCACCTCTTTATCTTTAAAAGTTAAAGTTTAATATAGTTTATAAATGTGTAGTGCTTTTTTTTTAGAAAAACAGATGAAAGGATGTGTTGAAATGACACCGTCTTCAGTTTATGAAGCAATAACCTGCATGAATGTTCAAAAAGAAAGTGGGTTGTTATTTCCTTTCTATTCACAACTAGATTACATGCATCTTTATGAATCAAGGTCTAAAATCTAGTTAAGTCTTCTAAAATATGACCAAGTGTTTGGATTATTGGTTATGCTATTTTCTTGTGTAATGTTTGACAGCATATGGAACGCTCTGACGGAGAACTATGGAAATGTGATGCCGGTGGACTGGAAGACCTCTCACACTCGTTCACTTCACCTGCCCACACTTAACCTCCGACCTCAGGAGGTCAGATCTGTTCCGTGTTTGTTTTTACATGTGTGATCTTTTCCACCAGTCAGACTGAGCCCAACTGTGTGTGTTTGTGTTTTCAGAGGCTGGAGGTCAATAATCTCGACCTGTCTGATGACGAGGAACTCAGAGATCAGATGGACATGCACACCATCATCATCTCCTGTGTGAACGAGGAGCCGCTGTTTACTGCTGAGCAGGTATATAGGGCCCTTTGAAATTATTATATATTTTTTTTATTTATTTATTTATTTATGACATTCTGTTTCTTTCACTCTTTACCACTCATTTTTACGTTTTTTTATCATATAATTTTTTTTTCATATGGGTAGTAAGGGCCCTGAGAAATCGTTTAAATTCATCAAATTTTTGCTTTATTTTTTCTCTCTTTTCTCCAGAATTAGTATATATGGGGTGTTATGAAATCAGATAAAAGAAAAAGCTAATTCAGCTTTAATTTTTCCACTCTTTACTGCGGAACGAGTTATAATACCCTATGAAGTCCTTTTTTATTCATTCATTCATTCATTTTCAATCACTCTTTCGGGGCTGGGTCATGCCACTTTGGAACCCTTGAAAAGGTATCACTGCTTGTGTATACAATTATTTTAAAGTGTAGACTACATAATATTTTTTTTTTGTGTGTGTGCATTTAATTATTATATATTTTTTTAATACACTTGTTGTTGTTTGCCAATTTTTCCAATACAGTACTCCTGTAATAAATATCAGCAGTTGGTCGTACTTTCATTATCACTTTCACTTGAAATCACAATCAAATCATGTTTGTATGAAATAAGCTCTCAGGCAGGTTTACGCTTGCAGACCTTGTGCTATGGCAACAAAACAACTCTGGATCATGTCAAATCATTCATTCATTCATTCATTTTCTTTCAGCTTAGTCCCTTATTTATCAGGGGTCGTCACAGTGGAATGAACCGCCAAGTACTCTATAGCATATGTTTTACACAGGCGGCGCAGTGAATAGCACGTTCGCCTCGCAGCAAGAAGGTCGCTGGTTCAAGCGGTTCATTCCGCTGTGGCGACCTCCGATTAATAAAGGAACTAAGCTGACAAGAAAATGAATGAATGAATGAATGAATGTTTTATACAACAGATGCCCTTCCACCTGCAACCCAGTACTGGGAAACACCCATACACACTCATTCACACACAGTCATGCACTATGGCCAATTTAGTTTAACCAATTTACCTTTAGCGCATGTATTTGGACTGGGAAACCGGAGCACCCGGAAGAAACCCACACAAACACGGGAGAACATGCAAACTCCACACAGAAATGTCAACTGACCCAGCCGGGATTTAAACCAACCGTCTTGCTGTGAGGCAACAGTGCTAATCACTGAGTCACTGTGCTACCCCATGTCAGATCATAAATAATCAAATCCACATAGTTTGATAATCCACCTATGAAAGACCGACCCCTGGATTGCTGCACTGTTCACAATAGTATTCTGATCTGTAAATACACTGTGTGTGTGTGTTCTGCAGGTCATAGAGGAGATTGAAGAGATCATGCAGGAGTCTCCAGATGATGAGGAGAATGAGGGTTCGTCTCAGTTTGACCTCTCCATGATGTCACACGAGTTACACACGCTCGCACACTCCACATCCTCCAGCAGCTTCGAAGAGCGTAAGTGCTGCATGTGTGTTTGGAAATCTCTGGAAAGCAAAAAAAGCATATTTGGAAATGCTAAAAATGCAATTAAATACATTTTTTGTTATTATAAAAATAATGCAATTAATGAAATTATTCAGTTATTTTGCTGTATAAAAGCTGTTTTCCTGGTGTGAAGACATTTTATAAGTAATCTAAAAAACATTTAAAACTACACTACCTGACAAAAGTCTTGTCATCGATCCCAGTTGTAGGAGCAACAAATAATAACTTGACCTTATTTAGAAAAGTGGCAAAAGGTCGTTTTTTTTTTTTTTTTTTTTTTTTTTTTTTTTTTTTGTTCTCCGAGGAATCATATAAAACATTAAGTATTTTAAAATATGATATGCAAGAGCATACTCGCACTATGTACATTGGCCTAATACTGGGCCAAAGCACGCTTTTCCTCTCTGCCCTCTTCCCCGATGGCCCGCACTCACATTACATTCTGGCCTGGGCACGCTTGCGTCATCGATGATGCGCTGTTCAGTAAGCGCTCTCGCTCAGCACAGTGGAGATTTCTCTAGTTGTATTGTTTTATAGTCACTTGGGATGCGGTGACATGCAGTCAGATATTTCCCCGAACAGATCAGCCGCTTTTGATGCTCATAAACAATCATAAAGTCCTCGTGCTGCAGGAATTAGGAGGTTTGCTTTTTAAGAAAAAAAAACTCAAAATTTACAATATATACAATTGTACATAAAATGTGGTTTAAAAATATACATAAGGAATAAAAATTTGTAAACATACATGACTTTAAGGGCATATAGCAAATGAGTGCAAACCAGAGTTGTGCAGATATAGAACAGCATATGAAACAGTCCCACGTCACGTCTCGTCTTCAGTTTCGGGCTTAGGCGGTTGCACTCACACTCAAGCATACCGCTCCAAAGCCCAAGTGAACCGCACTCTGGCACACCTCTTCCAACCGGGCCAGGGCCGGCCAAGTGAGCCATGCATGAGTCCGATTCAGAGCACTCACACTTCTCAAACGATCCGGGCAACGGGCCTTGGCACGGTTCGGATAGCATATCGTGAGTGCGCCCTAAAATTCTTTTTTGTGACTCTCATGCAATTATTAAGTCCTCAAGTTTATTGTAGTTAATTTAACTGTAAATTTTCCAAAATGTGACTAATTAAAAAAAAATTGTGTTGAAATTTTCTGCCCCGTAGAAATTGAGATGAGCTTTAGAGTTTTAAATGATTGCTCTGAATCGATTCAAAATTTTTCACCACAGCTCTGTTTATCATAGAAAAAAATAAGTATTTCATGCTTTTGCCATGTATAAAACTCTATGCGTAAACCGATTGCCTATTTTTATTTTTACAATGTTTATTTTACTAGCGCACATTGTTATTGTTTTGGTGAATAATTAAGCCCTGCAAGTTAAACCACTGAAAATAATGTTTTGTCTTTATTATCCAATAATAAAGTCTGATCTTTTGACTCTGCGTTTAGAGTGCCGGTCTTTCTCTGATGATGTCACATTCATGGTTTCAGCCACAATATTCTTAACCATGCCCCTTTTGAACTGTTCGTTTGCTAGAAAATGATGTGCACCTAGAAAGCCCCAACCTCTTCTAACTATTCTGTTTCAGCTGGAAGTTCATCAACTTAAAGTAAAAGTATCAGCAACTTTCAGTTCACGCAGAGTTTAAAACTACCCAAACACAAAAGTCTTCTAGGGTGTTCACACCAGACGCGACTTGCGTAAGTAGATTGCGTGAAGAGACTCGTGAACATTTTACTTGCTTTCACGCCTCAACACTTCACAATAGACACGGATTCACATCATGTGAGGGGCATCTGTCTGCCTACTGACTTCAGTTTCTTTGCTAAATGGCTAACATGGGTTTCATTGAGAGAGTAGTTGTGCTTTATGTGCTTTAGGAAGGCTGAAAAACGGTGTAGATTCGTTCTGCGCCATCTCTGGGTCCATCAGATCCTTCAGAAGCTGCGCCTGGTTGATGGACCGTTTCAGCGTTACTTCCAACTGAGCCAGTCCCAAACACCCCAGACGCTCATTCAGTCAGTCATTCGGTTGAATCGCGTCATTTGCACGAACAGCCCCGGAGGCTGTCTGATCACGTCAATGCATTGACTTGACATGTAAATAACTTGTGCTTGATGCTTCATCTGCGTCTGGTGTGAACATACATCCTTAGACTTTTTATTGAATGTTATATTAAATATTACATTCCCTCTTATGCGTGTGTCAGGTCTGCGTGGTCTGTGTGTGTCGGAGCTGCTGGAGCGCCTGGAGGAGGTGGAGCGGCAGATTCGCGGTTTCTCCGAGGAGCTCATCGATCAGCTGGCGGTGCGAGAAGAGCTGGACTACGAGAAGGAGGTGAAGAACACGTTCATCTCGGCGCTCATCCACGTGCAGAACCGACAAAAAGAGCATCGAGAGCTGCTGAAGAAAAAGAGGAAGATCAAAAGCACCGGCGGCGTACAGAGATCTGACCGCTCACACGTGCCAGGAACCGTAAGCATGATAATTACCACTAAACGCTCATTAGCAAAAACCCACACAACATTGGCATGCACAGAAATCTCAGTGCATTTTTCTTGGAATGGAGCATTGGCAAAGCTCTGCACAACACCTCGTCTGTTGGTTTAGCCAGGGATGTGTGATTTTCATCGCTTGTAATTAGGCCTATCACAATAATCAATATATCGACTTCAACACTTTAGTCGATTGTTCAACATCTCGATCTCTATTGGAGGTGTCTGTGTCATTATGGTTAAAAAACACTTTAGTATATACTAGGGATGCTTCGATCAATCGGAATTGGCCGATAATCACATTTCATGACTTGATCGGGACTCAATCAGGCTGATCTCATAAACAGATTGCAAGAGTTTGTTTACGAGTTTACACACAGAGCAAGTGCATGTGCGCAGCAGCGTTACGACAGGTGAAGAAGAAAATGATGTGTGCGGGCTTGAGCGATCTCTGCACTCTCAACACAACAGCTGTCAGGAGCTTCAATCATTCTGCTGCTATCAATAGTTAGAGATGAACAAAATATTTGAATGACCTTGCAAATACAATTGACCTTACGCTAAGCCCCGCCCTCCTTAGTTGCTGTTGCTACGCCTGTTAAGCTTTCATGCCTGGCACGTCTATTTCAGTGTGTATGCGCCCGTGTCAGACAATGCCAGGGATATAATAAGTCATTTTCGGTGAACAGGTGAGATATCTGAGAAGGCCAGTCAAAAAAAGACTGCAGTATGCATATTCACGACAGAATACGCAACGATTAGAAAATAACTGAATCAAAATTGAAGCTAGCTTAGCCTAGCCATGTCATACGCTAACCATTCAGCAGCTTAGTTCATGCACAGCAGGAAAGGTGAAATTTAAAATAATCTAATAATAACTAATTAAAACGTCTAAATCTTTATTTTTTGCCAAAAAGCCTGATAAGACTTATTGTTGTGCAATATAGCATTACTAACCATTGTTGTTATTCGTTGTTGCTTTTATAGTTGTGTAAATTGCTTCCTTGTCCTCATTTGTAAGTCGCTTTGTATAAAAGCATCTGCTAAATAACTAAATGTAAATGTAACTGACGAGGAAACACGCATTGACAGTGCTGCTACATTATTCATGCACAGAAAGAGCAGCCAGAAAGGGGAAATTGATGGATTTGTGACAAATATTAGCACCATTGACTCATAACAATGTACCTTTAACTGTCAGTATGTATGTGTGCTTTTCATACCGTTTCTATTCTAATTAGCAGTTCAGTGGAAAAAATAAATAAATTAAAATGCAAATCTAAGTATAAATAGCAGAAGTGAACAAATAGATTTTTCCTACCAGCAAATAATAATCCGACACTAAATATAAAAGCAGACACTAACCCGCTATAACGTCATCGCCAATGACTACATCTCTAAAAGACAAATGAAAACATCAGTGAATTGTAGCTCTGACATTGGCATGAGGGTAATAAATTACTGCAAAACAGCTGCGAGTGAAGTATATTGATCACAAGTGCTCAGATTGTCATCACATTTCGGTTCTGTTCTTTTGATATGTAATTTCAAATATTCGTGGCTTGAAACAGATGGAAATATGTCTGCTATTTGTATGACTACTATTGCGAGGGCTTAAACGGAGCAGTGCTCTTAATAAAGAGTGAAAAAAGACAAAGACAGCTGTGAAACATAACCTGCTTTGTATTTTTGTAAGAAACACAATTTACAGTAAGAGGTGTGTGTTATTGCCATCTATTTCTGAATTTTCAAAAATATTGAAAACAAAACCAACTTAACTCCGCTTCTTTAGTGCCCCATACAGCTTGATTCACGCTGGCATCTCTCCCCGTTGGTTTTAGGTTTTGGAAAGGGAAAAAAAATTCACCTCCCTGTCCAAACTTTTTGGATGCCGGGTATAAGATTTGCACAGTCCACAACGCTTTAGGTTGTTTCCCTTGCTTGAAAGCTTGACAGACCTCCTGCGCGTAGCAACGGTTGCTGAGCACGATTAGTGTGTGGCAGTTTTCGTGTGTGGCTTAGCGAAGGGTCAGTTGTATTTAGGCATTTTTATATATAGGAACTGAAAATTCTGTTTTTGACTATTGCAAGTTCACTAAAACCTGGTTCTAAATATTGGGCAAATAAAAAAAAATAAAAAAAATTTACTTTAATATATTTAATATTATAACTTGTTGTAATAAACTTGTTGCAATCTTCTTTTCTGAAAGAAAAAGTAAAGGATTTATTGGTGTGCATTTTAACTTCTTATACATCAAATAGGCACTCCAAATCTTTTCTTCATTGAGATGCTGAATTCTTCTTCCATCATGTTTCCCAAAAAATGATCTGTGTCTATAATTTTCTGTAAAGCTGCTTTAACCATCACATGTTCACACTAAATAGTTATAGGAGACAGGTTTAAGGGATATATTTGACATTCCTAATTAAGAAGAGATCTTCACTTTATCATACTTGAAGGGAAAATTAGCTTCATGCAATAGCAAAGTTATATAAAACTTGATGCATTAGAATCAGCACTCTTTATTGGCCGATCCCCATTACAAGAAATTGAAACTCGACATCAGCTGCAAAAATCCTGATTGGAGCATCCCTAGTATTTACTATAAAGTACTATAGTATATTTTCATGTGGGGACTTCCGGTTTTGTTCGTCCCAATAAGATTTTTTTTTTTTTTTGTGAACTAATAATCATCCACCAGTCGAATTCATTCTAATGAAGTAGTTGAACTTACTTGGCATCTTAAGAAGCAGAAAATGACATCTAAATCTGGCAAACAAGCAAGGAAAGATGCCACTAAAGATGATGTACCTGCACCTCATGGTGAGATTAGCATGCTAACATTAACTAACCTATTGGAGGAGCACAGAGCATCTCTCTATGCAGAATTTAAAACCATGTTTACCTCTATGGAAATAAAATTTGACCTCTTCCAAGCAGTGGTGACGGATCACAGTCTTTGGATTATGGAACAAAATCAATGCCTAAAGTCTTGAATTAAAAAGCTTGTTGAATATCACAAACTGAAAAAAATAATACACCGTATAAACAAGTTCTTGCATTTTAATGACTTGAATTCCAGGGTTTGTATTTTTAGGTCCTGAAATTTAACATATCTGTATATTTAAGCTGTGAATATTTCAACGAAAAATATTTCAAACACGTTTTCATACTTAAAAATTCAATAATTCATATTCAATTTTCAGATTTCACTTAAAAAATATTCAATACCCTTTAAAAATACGATGTATAATATTCAAAAGGTGATTTTCAGTTCATTTTATTTCAGTTCTAATATTCGCTTCCATAAATTCAGTGGATCAAATTCGACTGATAAAATTCAACATTACATCCGGGAACTGCAGGAGAAGCAATAGATTGCAGAGTGAAGATCGCCAGCTGCTCTAGCTTTCACCAGCAGGTGGAGATGGAATAATGTAAGATTTTTAACCCAGTAAACAGGTGAGAAAAAGGCTAATAAAGGCAAAAAAGTAGCATTCAATTTTATTATCAATACCTTGGACATTATAAATAATAAAAAGTATGAGTAAAATGAGTAAATGAGGTTTTAGTCATCTATATTTGCCCTTATGTAACGGAAGCCAGCTGGTGATCGCGTAAAGCTCACTCCTCGGATCCAGGGACAGACGTTGTTCTGCAATCTTATCGGAGTTTATCTCCCATGCTGGCTCGTTACCTGCTCGGACATGTGCGGTTACTTGCACATAAACCGTCTTTTGATGAATATGATGTTACACATTGTCTATCTTTATTGACTCTTTCTTCCATAGACGCTAAGTATTATATTGACAGCTAAAGAATAAAAACGTAAGAGAAACAGGAGAGAAAATATTATAATAATAATACAAAATAGATAAACATTGACAGGGCTAAGAACAATTACGAACAAAGATTTTCAAAACCAGAGAGATTTTATGAGAATGTCACACAAAACAGAGTTCATATGATTTAAGGTTGGTTATGGATGGGGCGTCTGATTTAAAATAATTTAACGTGCGAATGCATTAAAGGAGCGTCTTCAGTTATTATTTAAACGCAGCTATGTCAGGATTGGGATATAATTTCATTATTTAAATTATGATTGTTATTATTATTATTTTATGACATGTATTTGGGCTATTGCGCTTAAATAAGTCATCCGTGATTCTAAATTAATATTTCTATTTATCCTTTTTAGCTATCACTTTGTCGTCTTTCTCTTCTTTTATTTTGAATTTTTGGGGTTCTGCCACGATTAAACATTTGCAAAATGTCTTTAGTTTGTCCAGATTATCGCTTTTCCTCTAAAATAGAGACGAAGCAGAAGGAAAATGAATGAATTGATGAATGAATGAAATGATTGACGTTTTATGCATGTGCGGTGCGGCTTGCTCACGACAAAGTCGAACGAGTGGCCGCGAGCTCCGGTGGCCGGTCAGAGCCAGCGCCGCATATCAAACTGATTAAGAGATGCTGGATGGCTGCCAATATATGATAGTAATTCTTCCAAAGTTTCAGATGATATCTGTGCTTGTGCATAATAATGTAAAATGAAAGTGAAAGTCATGACATTTGGCCAAGCATAGGAATAGCCTACAAGAGTGTTTCGATTATTATCATGACATGTCATGCTTGGGCTTTATATGAATAACACCTCGCTGTTTACCATTTTCGAAAGTGGAGCTGATGTCGGCGAGAAATTGCTTGTATAATTGTAAAAAGAGTGATGAATATTAATGGATTTCTTATATCTGTAATTTCTGATAATATAATTGATTAGTGTGAGCTTATGAGTTTCCAACACAGCAAAAATGCATCCAGAATCCTAAACCAATAACTTTGTCAAGCAAAAATTATGATTTTATAGGCTACTGATTTTTTTTTAAAAAACAAGAAAAAAGAAACTATTAGCTACCCTAGCAATTGTTTATTTAAATATGATCATCTCAAAATATAAAATAAAAACATAATGGTTTGACTTTGTGAAATCATAAAACACACTTGCAGAAAAGAGTTAATAGAATAAATGAGCAAATACATTCTCTCCAGTAGATGGCGATTAAAGCTCAGTAATACCCCATGAGGATGAACATTGAGCTGCTTTGCAGGAACCCCTCAACCACGCATGTCAAACCACGCATTATAAACATTAATCTTATGAAACTAGCTGAAGTGACAACTATATTAAATTTAAACCAGTTTAAATAAGTTTATATGTTTAATACATGCAAAAAAGATCAACATTGCTAATCATAAAATACAAACGGTTGCTGAAAAGTTATAAATAATGGTTTTCTCATTTAATACTGAAAACAAATTAAAGTCAGTTATAACTGCCTATTATCAAACCACAGGCGACTCATTTTATTACTTATCATCGGCTGCAACATTGCCACTTTTGCGTTAATACCTTTTTCTCGCCTATAGGCTACATAACAATAAAACAATAATCTGGACAAACTAAGACATTTTGCAAACGTTTAACCATGGCAGAACCCAAAAAATTTGAAAAAGAAGAGAAAGACAGGCAGAGTGATAAAAAAGGATAAATAGAATAATTTAGAATCACGGATGACTTATTTAAGCGCAATAGCCCAATTAAATGTCATACAATAATAATATTAAAAATCATAATAATAATTTAAATGATGAAAATGTATAACCTATGCCAATCCTGACATAGCTGCGTTTAAACAGCGCAAACATTACTCCTTATAGTTATGCCATATTAGACGGTTCTGTGTGAATAACTGAAGACGCTCCTTTAATGCATTCGCATGTTAAATTATTTTAAATCAGACGCCCCATCCATAACCAACCTTAAATCATATGAACTCTGTTTTGTGTGACATTCTCATAAAATCTCTCTGGTTTTGAAAATCTTTGTTCGTAATTGTTCTTAGCCCTGTCAATGTTTATCTATTTTGTATTATTATTATAATATTTCCTCTCCTGTTTCTCTTACGTTTTTATTCTTTAGCTGTCAATATAATACTTAGCGTCTATGGAAGAAAGAGTCAATAAAGATAGACAATGTGTAACATCATATTCATCAAAAGACGGTTTATGTGCAAGTAACCGCACATGTCCGAGCAGGTAACGAGCCAGCATGGGAGATAAACTCCGATAAGATTGCAGAACAACGTCTGTCCCTGGATCCGAGGAGTGAGCTTTACGCGATCACCAGCTGGCTTCCGTTACATAAGGGCAAATATAGATGACTAAAACCTCATTTACTCATTTTACTCATACTTTTTATTATTTATAATGTCCAAGGTATTGATAATAAAATTGAATGCTACTTTTTTGCCTTTATTAGCCTTTTTCTCACCTGTTTACTGGGTTAAAAATCTTACATTATTCCATCTCCACCTGCTGGTGAAAGCTAGAGCAGCTGGCGATCTTCACTCTGCAATCTATTGCTTCTCCTGCAGTTCCCGGATGTAATGTTGAATTTTATCAGTCGAATTTGATCCACTGAATTTATGGAAGCGAATATTAGAACTGAAATAAAATGAACTGAAAATCACCTTTTGAATATTATACATCGTATTTTTAAAGGGTATTGAATATTTTTTAAGTGAAATCTGAAAATTGAATATGAATTATTGAATTTTTAAGTATGAAAACGTGTTTGAAATATTTTTCGTTGAAATATTCACAGCTTAAATATACAGATATGTTAAATTTCAGGACCTAAAAATACAAACCCTGGAATTCAAGTCATTAAAATGCAAGAACTTGTTTATACGGTGTATTATTTTTTTCAGTTTGTGATATTCAACAAGCTTTTTAATTCAAGACTTTAGGCATTGATTTTGTTCCATATTGGATATCTTCACTGAAATCGAATGCA